CCTTGGTTTATTATTACAACTTGTGAGTTCTTCTTATAGGGAGGGTTTTAAGATCCTACATCCAACACCATCATGGATCCTTTTCTAAAATTAGATTCACAAACAACATCAAAGATACTCCCTCCGGTCCTTATTATAAGGTATTTTGATTTCGTCATAAGTACCTTAAGATGTATTTTTAATTAGAAAAAAAAAACTTAAAAATATATTTTCAGATTCGTTGTATTCTCCTAATTATTATGAAATATTTTTAAAGTTTTTATTTCAATTAAAAAGACATTCAAGGTGAAACCTAAGATGAAATCAAAACGCTTTATAATTAGAACCGGAGGAAGTAGTATTTAATGATTTCATCACATATGCATAGTTTGTTACACACAAGTTCTAATCTCAGTTGACTTGCATTCTGGTTCAAAATAATTATCGTATATTGAGCTTAACTTATAGTAAAATAGCTAATATAGTCACACCATTAACACACATTATTCATTTTTTGATTTAATGAACAACATAATAAATCTATCACAATGCACGACAAAGTCAACAATCAGAATATTACATTCACAGCGGAGAATATGTTAAAGGTTTTAAAGGTCGAAAGGGTTTATCGACAAATTTTCAAAACCTCGTGGTTTGATTAGTAAATATCCACAACCCTAAAGGGTAGGTGATATAATTTACTCTAATTTAAAAGTGATGTACTTTCTCCAAGTTAATAGAGAGATAAATAAGGGGTGGCAGTGATTGGGATGGATGGATGAATGTGTCTGAAACAGTTTTTTTTTTTTTTTCTCTCAAAGAAACAAAACAAGAAAAAATTTTGAGGGCCATTTTCTTGCAGAATCTTGAAAATTGTGATCAAAATTCATCAACCCCATTTATTCTTGTGGCCCCCCTTTTGTTCTACAGTACCATAATTATGCCCCCCAACCTTTGCTTATCTTTCCCATTTCACACTCCCTATTCCTTCTACAACAACAACTTGACTGTCCCAGCAGTAAATTAAACATTCATCAAATCAGTAACGTGACTAATGTTTAAGTAAAATTGCATCAATAATTTATCTAAAAATGACTAGAAACGAATAATTATTAGAGCGTTTTAATACTGTACTCGATTGTACTGGATCGAGTTGGTTGGCGATGATTGGTTTGGCGCAAGATGAAGCAGCAGATGAACTTGTTTTACTAATGTTGCAACCAAAATCTCTAGTACTCAAAAAGTGGGAAGTCATGGGGTGGATTTTTTCTCCTTTCTCCATCACAGCTAGCTATTTGTAGTGATGCTGTGTATAATAATGGTTATATACCTAGCTAGCTAGGTTAATAGTTCGGTACGTTGATTTGTGATTTTGTTGGAGATGTTCATCTTGGCGTTAATTAACTTAATAGGTTTTTACGAAAGATAACGTTTCATAATTAATTATATTCTCTTTGTCCCGTTAAAATAATTCATGTTATAAACTACAGATCTCCCTTTTTTGGCAGGTCACCTAAAATACTTAGGATGTGGATCAGCACGTAGTATATTGTAATTATTCTAATTCTATATAAATTGTAAACCTCTTTAAATATTTGGGTAGTTTGCTACTGCCATATTTCTTTTTATAACGAATTAAAGGAGTATATAAATTGTAAAAGTGTAAATATTTAGAAATTTTACGTGCTTTTATCAAATTTTCATAGTCCCCTTAATTTACATAAAAGTCATTAATGACATTAATGGCATTTCTACTCCATGGATTTAATTAATAGCACGGTCCCAACTCCCAAATTGTTTTTGTGTACCCTTTCACACTACTAAATATGAACGAGATTTAATTACATTTTGTATTTTTCTTGGGGGGTTATAAGAAGTTCGAAGAAAGGTAGCTGCCCTTTGTTTTGCATGGGAATAATATTAAGATAGGACAATAGAAATGAAGACAAAAAATTAAAGATGGATCGTTTAAAGATTCTTTAAAACATTAGGGTAAGTTGTGGGAATAAAGTAATGGATAATGAAGAATAAAGTTACACTATCAAATATAACCTAATCCATTAAAAATAAAGATAGGATGCGTTTGCAAATTCGTCAAATGGTGTGTATTTTAAAGTTGCAAAATGTAATTTACTTTTATCATAAGGGAGGTTCAATTGAACTGTTTGCATGGCAACATTTTTTTTTTTTTTAAGTCTGTAAAATATCATGCTGTTATTGGCGGGATTATAATTATAACGATGTATTAATTGAATCTAAAATTACAAAATCATACATATTCGAAGTTTTGGCATCGAGCTAGTTTTGACTTTATCGTAAATTTGCATTCAACTAGTGAAATCATACTCTTTACGTCCAAAAATATTTACAATCAAAAAATAAGATAATAATACTCTCAAAAAAGAAAGTTTAGAAAAAAAAAACACTATTATTACACATTCTTAGATAGCACCACGTAATATCAATTCCACTTATAATGTTACAAAACTAGACAGCAAGACTAAAAATTTCAGAATCGAATAATAAGGTGGGTTTTTATCTACCACATGCCCTTAAAATAAATACGAATAGTAGTAGAAGCATAAGGTTTATTTTCATTATCATTACTGTACCCACAGTTTAATACTTTAGAGACATTTTTCTGACATAATTATGACCCACAAAATGACTTCAACGCTACAAACTTACTATTTGCTCCACATATTATTGCATCCTTGTGATTTTTAAATTTTTCCAGAAGATGTTTACATTAATTTTGTGGCTGGTTGTTTATCCACAAAGCTCCACCTCAAAAATTTCAAAAAATAAAAAATAAAAGAAATCAATCCTCTTCATTTCCCCTCTTTATGATAATATAGTTATTTGTAGCCCTCAAATTCTTGCAAAGCAAATAAAATCAATCTTCAAAATTTTCATGTCCTTTTTGTAGTAGTACAATTTTACAATTTTTACAATTAGAAAGAACCTACTCATTTATGATAATCAAATAAGGTTAGTCGAGCCCCTCTCCCCCTCTCCAACCCTAAAACCCTAAAACAAAAAAAACTCCATCTTTTCCCCATCTTTCTACCATGAAAGGATGGGAAAGATAATTCTGTCCCGATCTTTATACTTTTTATTGTTGTTTAATTTATTTTTAATAAGTGAGATTATAATCTCTTCTACTAGTTAGGTATGGCGGCGACTTCCTTATGAATGTTCGTTGGTATTGTAGCGACTTCCCTGATGATGTTCACTAATATGGCGATATTTTTGTCGGTGATGTTTGCAGGTACGGCGACGAGTTCGTTGGAGTTCGCTCGTGTGGCTCTAAAAGATTCAGTCATCATAAATTTAGTTGTTAGATCTATGATTTGGGAGTTTCAACTAATTCTTAGTATTGTATCTTTGTTTCGACACGTGATACAACCATTGGTTGATAGGGTAGATCCATATGAAACACAATAAGGACACTATGATTATGGCCAATTATAAGTTGTGTTTTTCTGGCTTTATCTTTTCTTATCAATCGCTGCTGAACGGTTTCCAGTAAATTAATAAATTTTATTTCAAAAAAAAAAAATTTAGTCGAAGTGTAATTTTGGATCCGATAGAGACAAAAAATCAAAGGATAATTATTTTTATTTGTAAGGCCAAAAATTGCACAAATGGAATTTCACCATTTGGTGATAGAAATTATGTTGCACTTTTGTTTTTTTTTTTTTTTATATCCTTTGATAATGGATTTAATTAATCACGTCACAACTCGCAACCTCACCACATGCACACATATTACTCCATACTACTGCATTTTACCAAGTGGTAATTATTTCTGTCACGTTAAAAAACAGTACACTTGTACTTTCTATATTTGATGAGTATTCTTTTGACAATACAACGCCAAAAAGTAAAAGTCGAAAAAGAGAAAAAAAAAAAAAAAAGGAAAAAGGATAAGAACTATTTTAAATTACGTAAATAATGACAGTGGAAATGTACTTTTTCTGGTGAAAAAAATAAAATGACTGTTGCAGTTTTACAGGTTACCAAATTCAGTAATTTTAGCTCGTGAAGAAATTGACCAACTAAACAAGACATCTATTTTCAGCTAAATAGCTAAATTAATCACATATCACCACTGACCTCACTCCCTCAGCTAACTCATCAGTCTCATCTGACTTTACCCCCGTGCCATTAGATACTTATTTTACAGAACCCAGCTCGCTGTCATTTCCATTTTTACGTTTTTTCATTTTATTTTTTCGTTCTCTATGCCATTAATAACATCTTTGAGTTTGTTAAGCTAGAGTGACAATATTTTTATTTGAAATAATTAATCAAGAATCTAGAAACGACTATTATTCTGAAACGGCTGGATGATGTACTTGGATGTGAACTCTCATGAATTAATATGTAGTTGGATAATTAATTTTTATTCCTTGCAATTGTGCCAAATAAGTATGCATAAATTAGCTTCACAAGAGTCGCATGAACGAGTCTTTGTCAAAGGCTAGTCTTCAAAAAGAGGGAATATATACATACTTTGTTTTGATCTCATGAATATCCATATTCTATCCGAAAAATGAATGATGTTATTATGTCACGCATGAATCTTAGCTTCTTTTTTTCTTTTTTCGTTCTTCAAATGGCACTAGCTGATTAATTATCCCACCATATATTGCATGCATGGTCGAATTTATGGCAGTAGATAATCTAAGATGCTTTCACAATATCAAGTCACTTTCCAAACTTTTACAGTGTATTTTTAATCCCTTTTTTTTTCAACTAATAAAATTAGGGTTCATCTCTACCTTGTACGTTTGTATAATTTGATCCATAATATTATTTCGTCTTCCTATTCAGTAACGTCAATTTTTATATCTGATAACTGGAACAAAAGATCTCACCTTGAAGGAGGATTGTACTTCCATTTGCTTAAATATTTTGGATCGAACTTAAAAGGGATATTAAACAAACTAGCTAGCCATGGAAAGAAGGTAAAGCAAACTTCTTTAAATCAAAATTATAGCAAGGCAACTCAGCAACACCACAATGCTTGGCCTAAAATAGAAATCTTTGATACATGTGCTTCATACTTCAGATTAATTTAAACATATTTATCAAAGACACAAAGCATGCTTCTTCTTTTTTTTTTTTGGGGGTCCAAATTAAAATCAGGAAGCAAATTATGACACAAAGTGATACCAAAATCCTTTGCTTTTCTACTCAGAAACCTGGGATAAACATATGCATATTTCTATCAAAGAATCAAGAAATTGTTTGTGTGTGTGTTTCTTTCTCTTTCTCTCTTTTCTGTACTCTCCACTCTCTGACACACACAAAATGGTCTCCAAATGGCGTAAATTTGATGCCTGATAGTGCAAGCAAAGCAAGAACCCCACCTTTTAATTTTATTTTTTTTAACAGCCATTTTTTCTCTAAAAATCACTGTATTCCATTTCTTCAAGTCCTTTGAAATAAAGGGGTTTTCTTGTTTTTTTTTTAATAAAAAAGAAAAAGAAAAAATTGGTTATTAGCAGCATCAATTGTTCTCTGTCCTTTGATATTCCAACCCCTTTTTTAGCCCTTCACTACTGCTATAAGCTCAGTGCTTAGTGCTTCACTATCAAAACTGCACCTGCAAAACTCTCTCTTCTTTGTCTTCTCTCCATCACCAGTCACTTTGCAGTTCAAACTGTTTTCTTAGTCCAAATCCCTACTCAAAAACACTTTCTTATTGCAAAGGAAGGAGCATAAACCCAGATGACCTTTTCTTATGGTAATTAACATTACATCTTAAGTTACAATAGCTCATGTGTTCTTGATCATGTCTTCAAAACATTCATGTCTTTTTCTGGGGAGCTGTTTTTTAGTGTCTGACATCTTCTAATCTGTTTCCTTTCCAGGAGCTCAGATAAATATAGCAAGCAACATCAAATAGGAGGCTAGGGCTATAATTTGCTTACTCTGATTTCCTCTCAAGGGCAGCCAACTTGCTTGTTGCTAATCCATAATCATTACTTCCTTTGTTCTTTGCTGCTTGTTCTTTTCCTTCTTCCTCTCTTCCTCTTCATTTGGCTTTATTCTTCCCTCTCATAGGCAGACTAAAGAAAATGAGACAACTTTCCAGGTAGTTTCTAAGTTAGAGTGACCATCCACAGCTTTTTCTGCAACTCTCAAGAAGCAAAAAATCAAACGTGATTTAATGCTATGGGGTCCAAGAGCTTTAAATTCCTTTGTTTTGATCATCATGAGTAGGCTATTTCCTTGTAGTTGTGGTTTGTGAGGGAAAAGGGATTGTGTCAAACTCATTTTGTCAAGACTCCATTTTTCCCATCAAAGATTGCATTTTTATGAACTAATTGAGTTGTTTGTAGAGAACTAGAGATTGATTTGTTCCAAAAAGACAAGACATTTTCTTAGAAAAGATTGTTTTTTTAAGAGTGATCAAACAATCTGTCCATCACTTTTTAACATTTAATAATTATCTTAGTAGGCCTCTAAATCTCTCTTCTTGTCTTGTTCTACTTCTCAAACTCTTTTGGTCTCCAACCTAACAACACCACTACTAAGATAAAAAGGGGAGGGTCAAAGAATAAGAAAGGAGAGCAAGCTTAGAGCAATAATGGAACTACCTAACCAAGAAGGGGAGATGCCAATTCCTCTAAACAGTACTTATGGAGGACATGGACACATGATCCATCATCATGATCCTCCTCCTGCTATTGTTGTTTCTGCAGCAGCCCACAACAATAATCATATCTTAACACCATCAACAACTAATGGTCCCATTTCTGCAACAATTGAGGATCATGGTAATAATAACAATCATGTGCCTTTCAAGAAGATGATCAGATACAGGGAATGCCTCAAGAACCATGCAGCTTCAATGGGTGGAAATGCAACTGATGGGTGTGGGGAGTTCATGCCTAGCGGGGAAGAAGGCAGCCTTGAGGCTTTGACTTGCTCAGCTTGCAACTGCCATAGAAACTTCCATAGAAAAGAGATTGAAGGTGAGCCCTCTTCCTGTGATTGTTTTCTCAGCCCACATCTCAACAGGGTTGGGAGGAAAGTCATTGTGGGGCATCATCATAAGAGTCTGTTAGGCCCTGAAACTTTTGGGTACCCCACAGGAGGAGCTCTCATCCATTCCAGGGCGGCGCCACCACATCACCCCATGATAATGTCCTACAACATGGGGTCTCTCCCATCAGAATCTGATGAACAGGATGAAGCCGGTGGCGGTGGCGGCGGCGGCGGCGGTGGTGGGGTGGTGAACCGCCCACCTCATATTAATAATCATCATCATCATCACCATCAGCTGATGAAGAAGAGGTTCAGGACTAAGTTCACTCAAGAACAGAAGGAGAAAATGCTCAACTTTGCTGAAAAAGTTGGATGGAAAATTCAAAAGCAGGAAGAAGGTGTGGTGCAACAGTTCTGTCAGGAAGTTGGTGTCAAAAGAAGAGTCCTTAAAGTTTGGATGCACAACAACAAGCATAATCTGGCCAAGAAGAACATCAACAACAACAATAACAACTCTGTTTCCAGTAACATTATCAGTCCTCAAAATCATCAAGTTTAAGCAGGAGAGCTAGCCCAGATTAAAAAAAAAAAAAAAAGAAAAGAAAGAATTCTCCGCAGGGAGTAGCTAGCTGTTTCTTTTGCCTCTTTGTTGGTTTTTTTCTTCTCCCCATTTTCTTGGGGCCTTTTTGACTTATTAATCCCTGCATTAGTTTTTTAGGCTTATTGTTAATTTAAAATAAAGAAGTTGGTATTGGATTAATGTATTAATTATTGTAGCAGAAGGGGAGAGAAAGCTTCCATTTCTATGGTTATTTTAATCCCTTTATCATTGTTGTGTACTACTATTTGGATAATGAAATAAACTCAGTCTGATCAGTAGGATATTCAATGTACGGATGTACTTAGTGTTGTGTGATGATAACAATAATAATAATTAAACAAATGGCTCTTCAGTAATTAATTAATCAGATTCTTACTTTTGCCTTTTCAATCTTATTTAGTAGTTTTAGTTGTACTTTGCGGTACAAGTGCATGATTACCTTTCCATCTTTCCAAATCTAAGATAATGGTGTGTGTCGATGTTATAAGGCTTTGTGTATCAAACGTGTTTTTGCAAGTAATATTCCTTTTCTAATTTAAGAATGGCAATTTAACGTTTTGGTTGATGAAAGAGTGATACAAGAGGACTGAGATTTGAGTTTGTTGAGTTGGTAACTACTCCAAGTACTTCAAAACTAAAGGAGGGAAGTTAAAGACTTTAACTGATAATTACAGCTGAACAGTACCATATTCCAAAGAGGAAAGGAATAGTACTTGGACCCAAAAGTAAATTCCTGCGTGCACTTTATTGAGATTGGAATTTAAAAAAATTGGAAGTACAATGTTTATTTTGAGATATTTCATCATGGGATGGAAGAGGAATCCAAGATGTAATTTCTATGTATATATATTTTTTACCTTGATGTTGAACCCTTTTTTACCCTTGATTGCAAAATTTGCATTTACCACTGTTAGTATTTCACTTGTGGACTACTTCCGTTTTTACTGTTTTACTGCTCAGACTGTCTCAACTTTCACCCATTGCACGAGGAGAAGGTGCTTGTTTCATGGTAGAACTGTAAAATACCAAATCATCTTAGGACTGGTTGATGGTTGTGTAACAAATTGTGTCGCGAGCAATGTGTTAGCCTGTTATACTCGCTGTTTACGTGAACCGAACAAAATTACATATACAATGAGAACTTGCTAGACGGTTGAGAGAATATAAAAATAGAGGGTTGATTCCGTCACTAATTATATCATCGCAATAATAAATTTAAAAGATTGGTTGAGAAGCAACTGGAAGTGAAACTTACTATTTCCAAACACCGCACTCACAATAACACTAATCAGATAATCAAACCAAACATATACACGGTGAGTTTGTTGCTTATGAAACAAAGAGAGCAAGATATGGCGTGGTTACTCAAGAACTTTTCCCTCGGCATACTATACATAGGCCTAGGACCTATAGCCCTTTTCTAAAATGCTATCAATTTCTTGTTTCCTCACCACAATGTATGGGGTAGTGGTTAAGTTAAACATAAAATGGTCAAACCTAACTAGCCTTGATGGAGTTAGCTAGGTTACTATAATAACTATTGTAGTATATGTCAAACTGAGTTTTTCACGTGCATTGCTACGTACTATTAATTAGTTTAGGCAGTCACACTCAAAAGACTCGCAGCAACATAGTTCCTCTAGTATGTTACTATGAAGGGTACTGATGTTTCTAAGGCATACAGTAAATTTATCTCAGTGTGAAATTGAGATTAGTCTGAGTATGATATGAGGACCTTTATTCTCGTAAAATTGATCCGCCCGCCAAATTTTATATATATCTAGAGGAAAAAAAGCTTTAGCTTCGTCACCTCCCATGCAAGTTTAAACTGAATTGAATTTCCCCCAACAAACAAGATCATCGTCTTCTCCCGAATCGCGGACAGAATTTAATGTATGGCCAGTTGATGCAGACGGGGAGAGCGAGAGCTCAGAGCCTCAGAAGACAAGAACCAAATTGTGGAATGTTATCGATCCAAAAAATGAATACCTTCATTTCCACCTAACCACTCAGAAGCCATAAATTTGTAAAGCGATATTGCTTCGATCTTCAAGTCAAAACGCCACCCAATCTGATCGTACTGTCTGTGATTTTGAACAGACCGGACTCTTCTTATGCAGTGATTACAGCTACCAAAATCAGTTGACTTGGGCCCAGCCTGAAACCAATTATTATGCACAACCTAGGCATTATCATTTCAGATGGCATTTCTTGTGGGCTGAATTGTTCCAAGCCTCCAGCCAAAAAGAAGAGCAATAAATTTACCCATGTCAAAATCAAAATCTTTACAAAATTTATACAAAATTCTTCATCATTATCATAGGCTCGTAGCAGAGGTGATCAGTTCTCCCTCATATAAAACAGTTGAAAACTCAGCGCAATACCAAGTCATGAAGGAAAGGGAAAACCATCCTCGGCTCGATCAAACCTACCATCCATGCTTCTTTGACAATAAGTAAAAGCTCCCGGAAGCAAGAAAAGGATTCTGAAGACCCAGAAGACTCAACCCAGCCTACTCAAGAAAAAGAGAGCCATAATGCCTAATGTATATAACTAGAAGGGAACCTACAAAGCTATGCCAAAACTTCTGCTATGGACACCTACATTTAACATCTCTGGGTAACTATGAGCTCCTTTACGACCATATAAATCTAGACACCATTGTCATCCTGTACATCAGATCAGCAGCATAGCAACATGCTGAATGAACCCCAGTAACAAAAGCTGACCATGTTCCAGGTAACCAGGTTTCAGAGGACCCCAATAACAAAAGCTGACCACTCGCGTAACAATATTGCCTGGTCATCCCAATTTGATGCATTTTGGAGCAGATTGGCTATGCCCCAGCTTAATCCGCACATTCGGTGATGATTTATTGATTTATATCCTACTTTCCCAATTCACACAGCCGAGCTCTGCCAGGATTAAGCAGTGATTCAGACATCACCCAACCCTGCAGAAATTCAGGTTTTTAGTACACAAGAGATGTCTAAGATAGGAACTTGGAATTTACAGTTGTTATGCATATTGAAAGCTTGAAATCTGTCAACAGGAAAGATTGATTTGCAAACCAAAATACGATTCCCAGTATATATCCTTCAGGAGAACCATTTTCTTTAATTAGGAAACACCTACGTACTTCTAAATAATTTTCTTTCAAAGATATCCATAGAAGAACTAGATGCGACAGAAAAACAGAGGCATGTATCAACTACAGGTACTATATTATGTTTATGGAACTACCCATTCAAAAAAGGAGAGTAATTTTCTGACCTGCTCCTTTGCTTTGCTCTTGAAAGGCCCATATAAAGCTAAGACCATCTTGTAAGATTCTGCAACGTGAGCTTGAAGACTAGCAGCTGAGGGCAAGCTCAAGGAAAGATCATCTCCTCGACTTTTATTTGACGACGACTGTGTCTCGGTGTAAGAGCGAACGATATGTAGAAGCACATGGGCCTGAAATTATGAAATAAATCAGCTAATCAGGAATATAGTGAGAATTACCATTGATGATCAGGCTGGATCCAGGAATCTCACATGAAAAGCTGCTTTCAAAATGTCATCGCTCTTAGCTTGATCCTTGAGTAATGCATATATGTTGCCCTTAGAGGGATTATATGTGATAACATACTGCTCTTTCTGCAAATTTAACGAGAAAGAATTAAGTTGTTAGAGAAACAAAATGCTCCAAGGATCACATTTCATGATTAAAATGAATAAAATTAGATTATGAGAATCATTTTCACAAAGCCACTAACCTGGAACATAGGTTCCACAGCAAGATAAGAGTTGGGATCTTGAAAAGCCTCCTTAAATCTCGATCCTATGAACAAATACGGGTTGAATAAAATACTAACAAAAGGAAAGAAGAATAAATTGTATAACAGAAGGAGAAACCTATTACCAAGAACAATAGGTCTGTTCTTAGACCACGGAAAGTTGAAAATGTTTTCCATTCCATTGCCTTCCTGCAGGGTGGGAACGCGTCCTGAAGGTTGAAGGATAACCATGTATCAATATTGCAAGCATTCCCTTCAAATAGAGCCAGGATACTTTTGAAAATGTACAGGCAAGGATGGACTAAAAGAAACTCTAGCAGTATAGGACAATCTAATATAGTTTCTTTGGAAAACACGAAAAAAACAAAAGGAAAAAAAAAAATTCTTCAACTACAACACAAAAAACCGCATAAAAGAACATAGATCCATCTGAATACAATGGTCAGGATTTTCCAAAATGGTTGGATCAAAGCTCTAGTTTGATTAGGAAGTATAATTCGGATACTCGTCAGCTGGATACAAGAAATGACATGCAAACATGAACAGAGTGAAAATCTCATCATTCCTTACCTGTCTTCAGGAAGGATTCAACGGCAACAGTAAATCTTGCACGATTGAGCGTATGCAAAACCACAGATTTCACCTGCGTAACGGTTAAAGTTAGTGTTCGGAGTCAATTACAATAGCCCAAAGAAAGCCATAGAAAAGAAAATCACCACTAACCTCCTGGTAAGAGCTCATCAAATATCCACATGAGAGTAGAGCAAATGTTGAAACCAATGATGGATTCTTCTTAGCAATCCATATGCTGAGTCCAGTTCCAAGCTGTAAAATTAACAAATCCCAATCAGTACTGACAGCTAACGTATCATGCTTGGGCACATATATCAGCAACTAAGCCTACTATATTTTGTTAAACGACTTCTCCATCTAAACTTTAGATTTTGTTCTTCATGAAGTAAGCAATTAAGTCATTGGGGAAGTAAAGTGCAAATTGTATGGAACATTCAGATTGGAGTGGGGGGACTCACCAGATCAGCAATATTGCCAACACATTCTCCTTTCGCTGTTACATCCCCAATGTTTTCCCCTTTAGCAAAGGCCTTGTAAATAGGTGTACGTGTCGATGTTGATGTTACAGCAGCAACATTCTACGCGCAAAAGAATTCACCAAAATATTAAATAGTTGACTTTGAAAAAATTCAACAGAAGGCTTTGGATATGGCGCTACAATACCTTAGCAACATTTGCAGCACAAGCTAATGGAAGAAAGAGATGCGGCGCAGCTGCAGTGGCCAATTCTACACCAGCTCCCAACTCCATCAGAAGGTCACCAGTAAACCTAAGCTGCAAGATACCATTTCATGAAACAATGTTAAATGAGCAATCTCTAAGTGAATCCCACCAATACCGGATTCTTTCTCTACTGCAGTGCGATAAAAGACAAAGGAAAGACAATTACCTGCTTTAAATCATAATCGAATTTCTTCCCCTGTCGTGCAAAAAGCATCTTTCCAACACGGCCAGCACCATCCTTAAATAAAGGATATAAATCAATAAGAGCTCAATTTAGTCAAGAAATCAGATATGAAAGTTGAAAATAACTAAAGACTATATTCAGCACTGAAGCTGAAAAGGAACAAAAATTCATCTACAAGTGTCCCAAAACCTTATTACTCCTAATTATTCTTTTTTAAAAAAAAAAAAATCTAACATGTACGAAGTCCATTTTTGATAACTCTGTTTTAATTGTTATCAATTTAACCATGATAAAGGAATATGCTTTTTGCAAACACTACACTTATCCTGTCATTTGAAGGGTCATTTTTTCCACACAGAAAGAGAGAATACAAAACACACAAAATACACATATCTGCCACATTATGTCTAAATGGTCACGCCTAGAAATAAGATATACCTTGAGGATCCAGTTGATAGCTACTGCACCTGGAGCTGACTTGCTTCTACAAACTCCAACTGAACTCAGGAGAGTTTGTGTGGTGAAAACGCCCATTGCTCCACCGAAAAAGTGCTGCATACAACATTATACTTGTCATTGAATGACTTAATAGAGATAAATAAATCAAAATTTATAATGCAACAAATACCCTCAACTTTCAATTCAAAGAGTACCTTCAGAGCACGCCATGTCATGTATGGAACATAAGAAGGCGAAACACTATCTGGAAAGCCTTCAGGAACTACATAAGACCTTATAAATGACATCAACTCCTGCACCAAGTAGTAAACATTTTCATCAAATTCTCAAAGATAGTAAAGAGAAAAGCAGCTTTATTTGTACTTTCCTTCCAGCGATTCTATGGACAAAATTGCCTAACTTCTTCAATACGGGGAAAAAAAATTCTGAGGACTATAAAATAAGAAAATTAAAAAGGAGTTCAGTAAAAGGAAAACCTTTATTTCAAAAAATTTAAGTTTTAATAAGACCATATATACTAATTTCTGGAATCAAATTGAATTGAAAGCAAGAAAGAAAGAAAGAAAGAAAGCATCTTTCCTGGGGAGAAAAGCTTACATCAACGGGAGCTTGACGAGAATGCAGACAAACAGCACGGATTGAACTCTTCTTAAACTGCTTAGAATCGCCAACATCAGCAAAATACTCCCACCGGCGACCGTCCATCTCCTCCCGGCAGATAATCTTCAAGCTAGAATTCACAAATTGGTCCTCAACAAGTCCAAAGCTGGGGACTACATCACCGGAAAACCTATCCCTCTCGGCAATCGGCGGAGGCATGGGCAGAGCAGGAGGCGAGTTCGCAATGGGCGGAGTAGACGCGAGGTTAGCACTAATCCGAAGCGTCTCCCGAACCAGAAGCCTCGCATCCTGGGAAGACTTCGCCGCCGCCGCCGCCGACGCCGCCGTCGTCATTGTCTGCGACGTAGAATTAGACGGATTCTTAAGCTTCATTATATATATTTATTCCCTAAAAAGAAAATGTCAGAATGAGGAAATTGGTGAAGCGGTGGAAAAGGAGGAGGATTACTATATATATATGGAGGCAAAAAGGAAGGAACTTTGGGATTAACGATGGAAAAGGGCAGGCAAAGGGCGGTGGGAACGAAATCGAAGGGTGTAACGGAGGTTAAGAGGTAGAGAGAGAAAGGGGGTTTTTGATTACGGGGATGAGTTTCTTCTTTCTCTCTCTTCCTCTCTGGCTCCAATTTGGCGCACCTCACTATCACAATTCTCAATTCACCAAAGCCGAAAATATAAGAAAAATAAAAACAGGTGGAATTTTGGAAGTGTGATTTCAAGTGGGACCCCCAGCAGAGTTGTGTGAAGTAGACACTCCAGGTATACTACACGTATATATATATATTAAAAAGAATACTTTTAAATTATTTGCAAAACTAGCCCCCATAAATTTAAAATACGTTTTTAATTGTCGTCAAGTAATTCTCGAGTGATTATACCGGTTTAGACGTAACGCATTTAGCTACAAAGTCATTATTTCCGACTTAAACTCTAATAGGTATAAAGTAATTATCACGTCATTATTTTATGAAATCCATTTCTTCTTCAATAAATCACACTTATCCTCCTCTAAATAGACGGATCCATATCCTTTTTCTTTTTGTTTCTATCTTATTCTACAGACCGGAGCTCAAGCTGATATTTTTAAGCACAAAAATTGCTTTTACGCGCACAAATCTGCTTATACGTGCAAAATTTGTACACTTGCTCTAATGAGAGTAGGTTAAATTTAACTAACATTACACTCAAATTAAAAGTTTGTTGCTGATGCTTTAAACTATAAAAATACTTCCAATACATATGTTGTTGTTTCAAATGAAACACATATGGTCAATGCTTTAAAATTACAATTGAATTATAATGTCACTTATCAAGGTCTCCAGGACATAATTTTTTATTTTATTTTTTTTTGGAAAAGGCTCAAGACATAATATTGTATGAGAACATATAAAAAAAAGTGTTTTTGTACCATTGAGATTACAAATTGAGTTTGGGTTCACATCATTTTGGAATAGTTATATGGTAACTACATATAGATCATCTATCTATCTATAGTATTATTAGTGATGTCTGGTCGCGCAATGCATGACCTTGGCCCATTATATCTGTAGATTTTAGAAATATTTGTATCTGGAAAAAAAAAATATTTTGTATTTAGCCCGATATATTTTAGAAATATTTGAAAAATTTTAAAAATGTTTTATAAGTGTGATGTTTGTATTTGGCATAAAAATAAATTGTATTTGGCCCGGTACGTTTTAGAAATGTTTGAAGATTTTAGAAATGTTTTATAAGTGTTACTTCTTAAATATAAGTAAACTTGAGCAAATATATGTCTTGAAGTAAATGGTAGAACAAATATAAAAGTATCCTAATAAGTTTAAATATTAGTAAGATAATTTATTGATGTTCTCTATTGGTTGTGCCAAATTAATAATTAGTTTTGGAGATTTATAATAGCTTTGTAGTTAGCTTCCTCCAAAGGGTATGCGCTTAATTGTTGGAACTATTTCTTCCAAAAGTTTATATGTAGTAAAATATCAAAAATATGATTTTGATAATAGTTAATTATTGAAACTGGTTGATCACAAATATGAGAATGAAAATAATATAAATTTGCATAGGTTTCAAGATATAGCAAAAAAGAACTCACCTCACCATGGAAATAAAAAATAAATAAATAAAAGATAGCCCATTAAAATTTGAGAATTTTTTTTTCTGTAGTTAAAACTGATGTATAAAAACACAAACAAACGTAGAAACATCATTCCTTCCCTCTCCACCTCAAATTCATAAAAGGCTTCCCCATAAATTAGTTAAAGGAAGCGACCAGAACTATTTATATGATGAGGAACTAAAAAAAAGTCCAAAAACCAAATCCAAAAAAGTATATTCTTGAAACCCTAAACACAAAAAAAAACGTGCTTCATTTGTAAATAAAATAATAATAATAATAATAATAATAATAATAATAATAATTAGTCAACTGGGAGTATGAAACAAAATCAAAAGCAGTTAAACAAAGAAAAAACACACTTCATAACTGGCCATACGAAAAAAAAACCTAAGACTCCATAATTAAAAAAAGAAAACCACTCTAATTGAATGAAACATAAAAAACAAATTTAAAAAACCATACTTTGTAACAAAAACCCAATCAATCAATTCAATCAAAACATAACTAAAATCATACAAAAATTCTAGACTAACTAACCAAATAAGAAATCACATCATACTACTTGACAACGGCTCCGGTAGCTGTAACGTATGGACGCATAAAAATAATAGTAATAACACTATTCTTGAACGGGAAAAATAAAAAAATAATAAAAGCCAAATTAATTATCTGTGGAAATAAAATCATTTAAATTTTACTACCTGTAATGGCACCACCACAACGGCCGAAGCAAGATCAATGAGATTTTTTTTTTCCTTTGTGTTTATATAGAGAGGTAAAGAGAATATTTTTTTAAATTAAAATTTTATCCGATTAGGATGTAGTTGATCATCACTAATGAAAAGATTGAACATGCTAATAGGAAAGGATTATATTTCACCACATATTCTCAATTGATGATTGATGAGGAATTTATTTTTTTTAATTGTGGAAAAAGGATTGATTAAGGAGTCGATTGTCGTGGCGATGAGGATGAGGATTTGGGTTTTTTATGAACCCGTGAAATTTTTTTTTTGTTTTGACCAAAATAGGAGGTGGAAATAAATTTGGACTGCATTTGCCTTTTAAGTTTATGAGATGTGGAAATAAAAAATTATTTTAAAAATATGATGTGGAAATGCCACATGGCAAATGATAGTGTTTTCTCTTAAGTTGGTTTTTGTTTCTAATATAGTAAGATACTAAAAGAGAAATTGGGGAGAGAAAATAAAAACATATTTCTATAGTATCAAGTAAGCAAAAATCATACATGTCAATTCGTCAAAATTTTGGGAAAAAAAATAGTTTATGAATTTATGCTAATAATCCTTGAAGTATATTAATAATATCAAGTTACTCCAATCATCATAATTATTGAAATTAATTAATTTTAGTATTAAATGCTCTCATAATTTTTTTTTTAAAAAAATCACCTTACTTTGGTAACAATATTTTTCTTTAATGCACGAATAAAGGCCAAATCATGGCTACATTCATGATTTACTCAAAGCCATTTAATTAAAAAAATCCATTCTATATAAGAAAATTAAAAATCCCTAAAGCTGCTTAATTTCGGCCACCCTTATTTCTTCTGAATGTATTTAGTGTATTCTATTCGAAAGTTTATTATACTAAGAGAGAATCAAAGATGATTTCACGTATGATAAAATCATGTTGGTAAATTCTTTTAAAAAAAGTTAAAAATTAACTTTTAAAATTTATGGTCTAAACCTCTAAAAAAAATTAAATAATAAAAAATATCCAATCACATATCCCAATTTATATAGTAAATAATAATGATAAATATAATAATGAGAGAATCTATCAAATTAATGATTCGAGATATACAAAAAGGAATTGAAATTTGTTTCATATCTTTTCCCAATTTCATGAATTATGGGGTTCAAATTTAAAATGAAATTAAATTTATATTAAATACAATATTGATAAAAGAAATTGTGAACCATGACTATGGTCCAAAAATCTTTACCAAATAAATTGAAATTAAAAACTCAATAATAACATTCAAAATTCAAAAATTTTGTTGATTTTTTTCAAAAACCATCGCCACTCTATATATATACACGTCCATGAAAGAAAATTGTGCTTTTGAAGACACTAGAGCAAGGGAAATTTCTTTTTCTTTTTCTTTTTATATAAATAACTGTTGTTTTAGGTTCAATTGGATTTATAGAACTTTTAAGCATCACCGTAGATTACATCTCATCTTTCTAAGTTCTCGCCATGGTGTTTCAAGCATTCCCACGATTTGATTTTGTTTATATTTTGACACTGTCTTTCATCTTTTCAGTATTTATTGGTTATTTGTTCTCCCTTCTATAGGAATATTTAATTAGGTATTATTGTTTATTAGATAATTCAGTTTGATGATGTAATGGTGAAGAATTACTCCTCACCAAAAATCTATTATGGAATGTCGACGTATATGATTTGTCAAAATGGTGTTATTGAATATATATTATTCACTTCTTTGGTTCTATATAAATTCTCTTAGTAGGTTCGCATCAAACATTATAATTTACAAACTTGCAGATTGTCATTAGATTGTTAAGCTTATTACAACTGGAGTATGCACTACCTATAATAGATAATTCCAATCTCAACTAATACCGGATCAGTAATAATGTGAAGTTGAGGATGGTAATTTTACTCAATTGTGTCATTTAACCCCGCACATCGTGTGGGTAATATGTAGTTATTACTATTGAAATTTTGGAATCAGTTAATTATTTTGGGTTCAATCAGCATAAAGTAAAAGTAAATTTTAGGGTCGGACGTTAAAGTTGGAGGTCTTATTTTGCAATTAAATCAACCTGGTATTTTAGGAGGAAAAAAAATACTTTTTAAATTTACTTTTTTGGATTTTTTTTTTTTAATTTAGGTGGGGAGTGAAATGAATCTGGAATCTAGACGATGAACACGTGGGTCGGAGGAAAGTACTCGCCGTGCTTGGATCACTGTACATTTTGTCAGCCATGTTCAATTCTTCAGCTCTCTCTGGGATTTTTCCGTCCTGCTCAACCTCTTTTGCTGCTCACTAGTATTTTCTTTTTGCTCCTTACATCAACACCACCGCTTTATTTTTTATTTTTTTGGTAATATTATTTTTTTTCCTTTTAGCTAATTTAATTTTTTATTATTTGAATGCAAGCTAATTTTTAATTTGGTCTCTAATATCGCGGTTCAATGTACATATTCAGTATTCAGTGCTTAATACATATGGGGGTTCTCTTTACTTGTTTACCATATACTGTTTTATTTTTTTAATTTAAGCATAATTTGAACTGAATATAATTAATTTACTCAAAGTTCAGAAGAACAAATAGGATAAACAGAGTAATGGTGGCAGCGATATAATTCGGAGTAATATTTTGGAAGCATAACACCGAAAATGTATTAAGCAATATCAAATTTTACTAATTACTCTATTTAATAACGAAAAATCACAACTAAATAGAAGGAAAAAATAAAAAGGACTCGACTATAATTAGTATTCTTTTCGTATTAAAATTATTATTCATTTTAAATTTTTATTTTTAATTTAAATTATATTATTAAAAATAAAAATTCAAACCGAATAATTTCGAAATGAAGCAGTGGCTAGAGTGACTCACAAAAATCACACCGAAATAAACAATAGGAGTGGCTATGAGTCAGGAAGTCAAGGGGCAGACGGTGTCGGATCACGTCATTGTTTTATGTGGAAATGCATTGAATTACCCAATTTGACGTGCACGTGTAAATATTTATGACCGGATTCAATCGTCTTCAGCAAATTGATTCTGGTTCTTTTGGTAAAAACTAAAATGATGGATTGACTGCGTGAATTTACCACAATTAAAGTTCCGTAACGTTCTTCCATGGTTTGTTTCTTTAATTGATGGACTTCCTTTCCGGGAAATTCATAATTGCGTTTCAGAGACATTGCCACGAGTTATCTTCAGTTTATAAAGAGGATTAATTTGTCGAGGAAAAACCGGAATTTTAAAGCTAACGAGAACATGCCTTTTATGTTACTACTTAGATGAGATTGAGGATGGAAAAACCATCGAATGAGGAAAAGATTCTTTACAAAACCTGTAAAAAATACTTTAATCCCCATTTCGAACTGTGTAACATTTTTGAATTCCTTTCCCACATATTCAATTTTTTTATGTCTCGTTAAATTTTTTTATGATTGTCAACTTATGATTTACATTACTAATTGTATGTCTTTAAAATGTTCACTAACCTTTATAATGAGTTTGGACAAGTTTATTTTCTATCTATTCGTAAAATCATATGTTTGTTTTCATATGTATGTTTGGATTAAATATGCAACTTACCATATGTATGTTTGATTAAAAGAAATGACAAGAATTATACTCCTTCTCCGTCCTTATTATAAAATATTTTGATTTCGTCGTAGGTTTCACCTAAGATATTTTTTTAATTGGAAAAAAACCTTAAAAAATATATTTTAACATTCGTTGTTTCTCATAATTATTATGAAATATTTTTATGATTTTTATTACAATTAAAAAGGTATCTTAGATAAAACTTAGTACGAAATTAAAATATTTTGTAATAAGGACCATAGAGAGTACGGATTAGTGGAGTATATTAGTTTTTTTATATTTTTTATGTTTCTCTTCAGTGCAACATCATGCCCATTAAAAGATTAATATTTAACCTCCTGGTTTTCTCAGGAAGAAAAGAATGTAGGCATGACAAGCAACAACTAAAGTCTAATCTAATATTTGCGCGCGATTTGTTAAACGGTTTACAGGTAGGGAAACGGGTCACCCGTTTTTTCCTACTGGTCTATGCCGTCCAAAGACCCTGTCCTCCACCTGGACCTCCAAAAAAGTTGGGAAGAAAAAAAAAAAAAATTCAAATTAGTGAAAATCATCCTTTAACTTCATTTTCTTGCCTTCCAGGAACAAAATAGTTCCCTATGTTGGTTGACCCAACTAAGGAATTATTAAGCCCTAAATTCTGGAACTTATGTATAGTAGTTTTCAAATCACCTTTTGATTGTAATTAATTGAATGAATCAAGCTCCCCCCCAAAAAAAATAAAATAAAAATGTCATAATCAAATGGATGAGCAAGAGGAACGATTTGGGCTAGATTAATTATTACTTCATTTATTAACGCTCACATTTTTCCTAGTCCATTTTTTTTTTATAGTTACATTCACCTTTTTCTTTTTATAGTCCAAGCAATAATTTATCTTTTTCTAAAAACAAATTATATTTGTTGAACTAAAAAGTACGAGGGATGTGAATTTTCTTGGACGGAAAATTACTATTTGATCATCATTAATTGGTCATGACCAACTAAATAATATGTTTGGTGAACCAAAAAAATTCCCAACCATCCATGTGGCTCGTCAATGCTTAGTTAATGGTATTAAAATCATCGTATAAATGGCCCGAGAAAATACTACTCTCTCTGTCCCATAATTATTGTTTAGTTTGAGATTTTACTTTTTGTACAATTTGAACTGAAAATGAAAACCCAAACTAGACAATAATTATGGAACGGAGGGAGTACTACGTTAGAGCTTGAAATCGGAGCATGAGCTACGTACCGACTTAATGATGCGTACAACAAACTCGATTTTTGGCTCATTCTCTTATATATATATATTTTAGATGATACAAATATTATATTTCCTCCATCCCACAAAAATAGTCCACATTGAGTTTTGAATTTTGTACTATTTTTATTACAAATTTAAAAACTCATGGTGGACTATTTTCATGAGACGAAAGTAGTATCATTTATTAGTAAAACTATATATGCCGATACATATGACATATGTGAACGTATAAAACTGTGTAAATGAACATGTTTCACACTCGTAGAAAATAAAATTGATTATTATATAAATTTATATATCTCTTAATGATCCCTCGTTGGAATCTTGGGATGATTATTTTCACATAGTTATGCTCGATTTTTATTACAAAAATGTATATATCGAAGTTTAAACAAAAATAAGCATTGATTTGGAAGATACATTTAGCCGCATATCTACTCCAGATCAGTAAACTTTTGTCTTCGCCCCCCGAAACCAAAAATGATCATTATCAAGTTGTTCGCCTTGTTGGCTCCAACATTTGAAAGTTTCCTTGTTCCATTTTCCTTTCCCCTTTGGCAATTTGGCGGTGCATCCAAATTCCAAAATTTAAGAAACAAAAAAAAGAAAAAAAGAAAAAAAAGAAATAGTGAAGTACTACAAAAATACCTACCTTATGTTCCAAAGCCACCAACTCACATAGGTTTGATAAACAAAGAATATTACTAGTTTAGTCTTTTTAATTTTTATACTCTATCAATCTACCTACTGAAACACTACAATAAATAGAACTATATATATTTCTTTTATCTCAAATTTATTGTCGAAATTAGATTTTTATTTTTTTTATAATTTGAATTAGAAATGAAAATCCAAACTGGACAATCATTTCGGAATAAACAAAATACTCCCTCCGTCCCATAATTATTGTCCAGTTTTACTAAAATGAAAGATTTTATTTTTTGTCAAACTTAACTATATTTTACCTTAAACAACCGGATATACCCCTACATAAGTAATTGTGTAACCACTAAGATTTTATGGATACTGTTTTTTACTAAGGACAAATGTGTAACTTAATCCATAAAAAGTCAAATTGGACAATAATTTTGGAACAAAATTTTTTGGGTAAAGTGGACAATAATTATGGGACGGAGGGAGTATTATTTTGCAAACTTTTATAAAACTTGTGAGTTAAGGTAAATCAGGGCTTCGATCTCTAGATACAGTATTTCAAACTTCAGAGTACTTTTTATATTTTTAATTAAAATACTAAACATGTCATTTTCAACGAGATTATGAAAATGAAACGTAAGTGAGAAAAAATTGTGTGGCTTGCAGCAAAAATGTTTTTGGGCGAATTTTCAACGGACAAGGTTGAAACCAACACTTGGACCTGGACCTTTCAGATATACTCTGACGCCTCAGCACTTTTTCTTTTAGGGATTTACATGAAGATTGATATAATTGGATCAAAGCCAGGCCCACTAGGGTCAACTTGCGCCATTGCAACTGTATCCCAGCAATCAATGATTCATGGAACCTGATTTGTAGAAAACAAAAATAGCATGGAGGATATATTTGGAGAGGCTTGAAATTGCAGATGAACTCCCATGATATAGCTCGCTGGACTATATTTTTTCTATCCTGAAATAATTATCGTGTTAACAAAAATATGCGAACATTCCGGATGTGTGTGTAGCACTCCTGCTTTTAACGAATAAAATTGATTAGAAGATACATTCTTTAATAATATCGGATGTGTTCGACTTTTGTAATTACAACCTAACAAAAAACAAAAATACAAATAATTATTTATATTTTACACTCCATCTGTTACAGGAAAAAATAATTCACTTTGTTGAGTTAAAATTAGTGAATTATTATTACTCCCTTTGACCCAAAATTATTGTCCATTTTGAGATTTCACTTTTAGTGCAAATTGAACCAGAAATGAAAACCTAAACTAGACAATAATTATGGGACAAGGGAGTATTATTTTTGTTTGGAAACAAAGGAGCAGACTAGTGTTGTCATTATTGGAGTATTATAGATTTATATACTATACTATTATTATTATTATAGTACATGTAGACTCGATTAATCGAAATTTTATTTCACTTTTCCACCAAAAATTCCACAAGTCTGTACTGTGGATTAAAGCTGAGCAACGAGAATACTCAGTACTCAGTAGTCAGTAGTGTGTACAGCTTTGGCCCAACAACACAGGTTAAGGAAGGCCGGCCCAAAATAGTTTCCCGCCCCTATTTGCTGTGAAAACTAGAAAAAAACTGTCCCATCGTGTTCCCGGAAATTCCCATTTCCGAACACACTGATTGATTGATCCGCCGCGTCGGAGCTTCCACCTCCCAACGGTTTATACGCCGTCAGGTATCCTCCGACACCATCGCCGCCGCATGCTCTCTAGTCTCTAGAAGAGTCCGTTCGGCGGTCTTCGGTTCGGTTATTCATTTGCTTCGCCTGGTTTTTCCGGTGTCTTGGGGGGAGCTTAACAATGATTTTCTGTCTGAAGTAGTTTAAATTAATTTCGGATGGGAATTATCGGATTGGCGAATCTTTCGATTTTTACTGTATTTCATGTTGAATTTCTACTCAATTTCTCGAACTGAAATCAGAGGTTACAATTGATTTTTTTGTTATTTGTTTGGCGGGGTAAGTTAGGCTTCGGTGGTTCTGAGTTTTTTCAAAATTCCTATCTCTAGGGTTCGTGATTTGAGGAGTGAACTGATTGGTACTCGATCATGTAGTTCTATGCAGTTTGCCTCCAATTCTAGTTTTATGAAGCTTATTGACTTCTTCAACGGATTTAGAGTTTGTTTATAGGCATGGCTAGAATTTGTTTGTAAATGTTTGAAGACTTTAATTTCTGCTTGTAATGTTGCTGCCTGATGTCCTGATGGATTATGTCAATTTTTGTCCCCAGTTTGTTTCTTATCTTATAAATTCCAATGGCGTTGGAAACTCGGAATTGTCCAATCCATCAAGATCCTGTGGGTAGGATGCTACAAGCAATGTCCACCAGAAGCCAAGAGCAAATAGTAAATGCTATGGTGCCGACAAATGCAACCCTGTTTTCTGTGAAAGATCCGTTGGACACCAGAAGTTCGGTAGTTCTTTCTGTTCTCTGCATTTGATCTGAGCATGTTTTGCCCTCATATTATGCTGCCATTTCTGTGATTAGAATCTAGTGTCTTTATATTCTTTCTTTTTAGCCTGTATCTGTTTGGCCTCAGAAAATGTCAGGCTTTGTAAGATCCAAGAACAATATAAGCATTCTGCTATTTTACTCGCCCTCATTACTGTGGTCCCTGCATCTATTTTTTTCTCCTTTTTCTTCTGAAATTTGTTGACGAAGCTTGTGCAAATGATAAGCAGTACTCTTTCACTTTTAGTATTTGCATCTACATGCAACTTTTGTTCATTGTTGTACAGAAGTACCAACAAATTGAATGCTCCTATGAAATTGGTATTATTTGTTAACTGAATGTTGACATAGGCTTCAAAATTGTTCAAACATTCGGTGATAGTCAGTTTTTTGTTCCTCTTACGAGACAGTTGCCCAACTTGTTTCGGCCATTTCTTTCACATCCTATTTGATTCCTTGGTCATGGAAGCAGTTCATAAAGTCGCTGATGCTACCTTGATTTCTTACTGCTCTTCGTTCTTCCTTTCTGTGCCTTCTTCCAGTCAAATTCCAAAATGCTTTCTGCAACATCTTCCATTCAAGTGGGAAACTTTGTCTCACAGGCTAAACAGCGGTCGGTTAGCCCAAAGAAGTCTAGAAAAGCCCCAAAGTCCTCACCATCTCCTTCAAGGTGATTAGAATGATGAATCATACATTGTTACGTGAGACAATTTTGTAAAGCAGATGAGGCCTAGTCTGTTGCTAATTTAACTTTCCCCTGTAAGTATTACTAATATATGTACGCGTTCTGTATCTCAGTAAAAAGCGCAAAGTTTCTGGGGCACGTTCTGATGGAAGCAGTGAAAAATTTGATGATGTCTTAGCTGTTAGTGGTATTGATCTCATGGTAATAAGCCTCATCTTCTGAGTTTGATGGTATAGAGACAATTGTATTAAGCCCTATTGAGTTCAACCATGGAACTGAGAACATAATAACTCAATACATGAATTAGAAGGAGGAGCAAGCATTACAGCCAGCACCATCAGCAGGTATCCATGATTCAGTTAAAACTGGACAGGTTGTCCAAGAAGTAGAAGACAGGCTGTTTTTGGAGAAGATTCCTCTTCGACTGAAATTGGAACAAATTGGTAAGCTCTTCTCTTTATTGACAACCGTTGACGTATGCATTTTCTGGCTCCTGTAACTTTGCAACTAGTGGACCGACGTTGTAGCGCATTTACTTGTTCCTTGTTATACAGTGCAAAAATCTGGTTTAAAGAGTAGTGGCAAAGATGTGGACCTGTGCTTGTCTTTGGTGAGCATTGAAATTTGTTTCATTTTCTTGCCATACTTCATTATTTTCCTTACATTTATTTTCTATAATTCAGTGCACGGAACATTTTCTGATGGGGCTGGTAGCTAAAATCATCAAAATGTCAAATCAGGTTGGTTCCGCAGCTCTCTCTCCTTCGTATTTTTGAACTTTGAGTTACGACAGTTGAAGGTTGGCCCAAGATCTGCTTTTCTTAAAGAAACTGAAATTGATTTCTGATCTTGATTGGATATTGGTGCTTTTTTAAAGCGCTCTGGTAAAGAGAAGGGTAGACACAATATGATTGTCACATCAGATGTCAATCAACAAATCATGTTGCTCAAGCAAAAGAGTTCAGAAGAACTGGAGAAGACACAAACAGAACCAGGGATATTCCAAAATGTGAAAGAAGTAAGTATTTGACAGTTTTGTTGTGTGTTTTGGTTGTTTTATTGAAATTTGCAACCTGATAATAACCATAGTTTATTTCCAAATTTCTTCATAAGATTAGGCGAACAAAGGAGGAACGGAAAAGAGGTCAATGAAAGGAACGATGAATATTGACGAAACAAATTCTGCCATCAGGGCTGCTTTGGGAGATGACGACATGCTATTTAGGTGGAAAAGGTTGCAGTCCAGGCAAAAAAATGTAAGTGGACTTAAAGCGGGTTGTGTCTTGCAGCCTGAAAAAGATGCAGACCAGAAGCTGTCATCAACAGATAATGTAAGGAATGAGCAAGAAGCGGAACAAAGTGGCAACTCTGCTGCATCTACAGCACCGGGTATGCTTTTGACTTCTCGTCAGCTACTTGGCAAACTAGTTTCATGGATCATCTAGAAAATCTACTAAGTCCTGTTGGCTAAGCTTCTGCATGTTTGACCTTTTGGACGAGTCTGTTTGTGGTTGATATTTGTAAGCCAGACCATTGCAGAAATCGTTAATTCCATTTCCAAGTTAATTATAGTACTTCTCAATGCAGATTTGCATCTTGGCTGTCAGTCCTCTTGTCCCTTCTCCCTAACTTAACGAACCTCCTCTGGTGTATTGCAGTAGAGGATGCAAAAGCAGGACAAATTGACGTTTCTGGTCGAGAATCATCAATGGCTCGCACCATATCTCTAAAGGATGTGATTGCTGTTCTAGAAAGGGAGTTCCAATTGTTGAAATCACCTCTTCTGTATCGCTTGTATGAAAAATGATGTGCATAAGGATGGCTGTCTATTTGTTTATTACAGTCTCCTTAAGCTGTCTGTCTATTTTTTTATAGTTATTCCATAAAGTGTGCACTGTAAACGAACTAGGTTGGGAATATTATAGAAGTTACTAGGCTTTTTTGGTATATATGTTGGAGCTGACTGAATTATTAAACCATCTGTGAACTATTTAAATTATATTATTAACTCTTGAGTCCATTAAATTCAGGAGGCATTCCGAACATTGTTCAGCTTCCTGGTAAGATGGTTGCCACTGTGACTGGGCCGGATATCTCCCGCTGCCGTTCATTACTGTCTGAATTGGAACAGAAGGTACTTTTGTCCTTTGAAATGGGTTTCTCTAGATGATCTAATGCCTTTGTCATCTCAATTCTTATCTGGAGAGTGATGGATTTGGGTATTGCTTTGTTTTTTTATGCTTATGATGCTGGAATATTGATTCTTTACCTTGTGTATGACAGTGCACAGCATGGCAAAAGGATCATCTCGATATAATTACCGCTGCAAAGGCAGCACAATTGATGGTTGATACTCTGGCTTCCTGCTGTGAAGTAGGACTGATCGCAGGGTGGGACAGTGGAATGGTATTTACAGTACACTTTCTCTATGTGGGCTTATGTTTAGGCTTGGTTGTAAAAGTATTTTTGTTAGGCCCCCTTATGCCTATTCATTTTGGTTCATTGGTTTCTTTCTTTGTGCAGTCTCCGGCCTTGTATCGCGTTGACAGTACAGGGATCCTTATTAAAGGTGAAAAATTGGTCTCGGGATCTGATGTTGCACATGCATATGATGTTCTTAATGACGTGGGTGATTTGGCTGGAGAGGAGGAGATTGACATCCCAGGAATTCCTCTTCCGCCTCCTTTGGATATGCCTTTTTCGTGCGACAGGTATGCTCCTTTTCCTTGTTGTCTTTCTTGTTTTTCTGATTTTTTAAGTGTTAGACTTGTCAGTTTTTAGTTATCTTGATTTGCTTGTTATTGTAGGAAGTACAAGGACTGGTCTTCTTGGTCTGGCATGGTAGCTGCATTTTGGGCCAAAAGAGTGATTTGTGATGTTGCATCTAATTCTGCTGAAGGTCTTCCATTAGCGACTGGTATGTTTGCTGCTCTTAACCGTTGGTTTTATTTGAACTTTCATCTGAATATTATTTGCTTACTGATGTTGTTCTGTTGATGTTTTTTTGGTTAAGTGTTACTACTTGGACGCTTCAGTGGTACGATCTATGTTAAAAGCGTGTATGAAGGCGTAAATGTGACGGACTTCATGGACAAAAATGAGTTATGGTACTCAAAACCTGTGAGAATGGGGTCCTTTGATGACATGACCCGCGGCCAAGGAGATACTCATTTGGTTACATGAATTACTGGGTGTGGATTTGATGTCAGAGTACTGTGGTAGCAGTAATTTAATTTGACAATCAGCTATTGTCGTAGTTAGTTAATCTCTACTACTGTGGTAGATGTAGTTTGATTTCGTCTATTGTAGTATATCAAAGTCTAGTGTGGTAGAATTCTGTTTCATCTCGAATGTTTGATATTAGTTCTGAACAGCTGAGCGGGCATATGACTTAGGTATTCTCTTTAGTTTCTGCTGCTTCTGATTTCGTGAGGTTTTAAACTGTCAATTGTTTACTTTTAAGGTGTGAAAATTCCTTCTTGTGGAGGGGGATCGATAGTGATACTTTTTTGCTTCAAGTTTGTGATTGTCTAACTTGGATATGTTTTCATTTATGTTGTTGTGTTCTTTGGTATTGGAAAATGTTTTCCAATCAGAGAATGATTAGAGATGTGGAATAAAAATTGTGCTTATGGATGAAATGAAATCCCACATGATCGCTCAATGTGAATAGAGCAAATGGATGAAAGATATATATTCTAGTTCGGTATTGACCAGTTCAATTTTCAAGTAGTGAAAGAATCATTTTTTAAAACACTATGTTCGATTTATAAGCTTTAGCATCAGTTTCATTTGATTGGAATTCGTGGAATGATGAATCTTGATTAATAAGATTCAGGAAAGAATTGAAATTATATAGAGAAGAATCATATATATCTATAGTATTATTTATATTACTAAGAGAGAAATCAGAGAGAGGAAATCAAATTTCTTTCCACGTTGACACATAAGACTCAGTTTCCAATTGGTTGCAACAAAAACTATTTTCAACAATTACACCAAATGTCATCTAAATTTTCAGTTATTCATTTGTTAACAATTTGAAATTAATTGAAGATATGAACCATTAATTAACAAACCCACTAAATCAGCAAAAATCATAATCAACAAAAACTTTCTATTTCGTAATTGTGAGATGAAATAAAAACGGAAAATCTTCAAATCTTCCATTATGTGTCACCCAAAAAAGGTAAGAATTAATTTTATTCATTATACAATCTGATTTGATTTGAATTTCAAAAACAAACATATCCAATCCACACATATAGTCTTGATTAATTTGTTCCTATACAGGTTGTAAATAGAATAAATATTATATCATAGAATTTTAAAATTTGAAATTTTTTTTGAATTATTGTAAGCATTAAACGCTTCCAAGAGTTTGTTTAGGAAATCCTAAAGTTGGGAATCGGAATTATAAACTTTAGACACCTCTCATTTTTTCTTATGAATCCTTTCATTATAAATCTATAGTCTATAGTATTATACTAAAAGAGAAACCAGAGAGAGAAATAAAAAAAAGATTTCTAAAGGTGACACATTTATCCTACGTGATATTTTTATAAAAATTATCAAAAAAAAATTTATGCATTTACACTACAAGTCCTCAGAAATTTATGAAAGTAAATTATTTCACACCTATATTTTATATTAATGGACGGCTAAATAGGAAATAAGAAAATAAAATAATTAACATTGATTAATTTGATACGGTTGAAGAATTATCCATGGAGTATTTTTCCCGTGATCAAGAATTATCCAAAATTGAACTCCAATAGCTTTTTTCTACTCACACGATAATTTTTGCTACCAAATTTTTAGTTATCAGAAACCTACCGAGGATACATACGGGTGTACAGAAACAAGGAATATCATGACAAAGAATTGTAGCGGTACCAAAAGTGGTATTGGATGCATTAGGTTCGTGAGTTCTTTATATTTGAAGCAATAAGGTTAAATTGACCTCAATTGTGCTTTTTGGATTGTTTTATTCTTTCACGAGGCTATGGAAATAAGTTATTTGAAACTTTGTTGAGACTGGAAGACAAGAACTCTTGACATATGAGTTTGTGTTGATTAATCGATTAAACTTACCGAAGATTTGCCTCAAAGTCCTCAACGATAGAATGGGGTGTATTTTTGTTTCACACAAACGCAAATCTAACAAAATCTTCTTTATATAAAGTGCGACGTGCACGGTTAAAGGGGGGTTGCGGATGAAAAACGCTGACGTGGCCACTTTCTATTGGACTGCTTCTCTTTTCTCGGCCCCGGTATGAGAAACGTATGCTCCCCGTTACCCTCCCCTCTTTTTCTCTTTCTTTTTCCCTTTTGACTGCTGCGTGAACAATAGATCCGATGATTTTCAAAAACAAATCCGATTGTCAATTCCGGCCAAAGTTGGTTTACTGTAATCCCATGTTTTCTCTCTTCGATAATCAGATTTTTCTGGGATTAGACAGTAGCTCTCTGGATTCGGAGGTTAGTGAGTTCTTGTATTTGAAAATCATCGGATCTATTATACTTAATTTGTCTGCATGTTTGTGTGTTTGTGTGTTTGTGTGTTTATTTCTCCGTTCACTGATACAAGACCAGAGAGGATTTAAACTTCGGGTTTTTGGAGAAACAAATTGAAGAGTTTAAATTGAGTCAATGTGATAGTTGGATAAATTTATGTGCATTTGATGTCGATATTGGGTTTGGTTTTGGTTTCGGGGCAAAACGAATGAGAGGGAAGCCTCACTTTTTGTATTGACCGATTTCTACTTTCTTATCAACTGGTAGATCTAAATGAATCAAGGAAACTGTTTTTTGATTATCCTGTGCAGCTAGAGTAATCAGTCTTGCGTTCTACTTTTCTTCCATTTTCATTTTTTTTTTCGTTTTACTATTTTTCTCTACAATTCCACTATGCGCATGGGGTTCCTATTCATGGGATTCTGTTCTGTTGTATCTAGATAATTACATGCCTTTTCTGCATTCTTTCTTCATTTTATTTGCAAGGGGTTTGAGTTTTGTAACCCTTTCGTATAATCTGTACTCCCCACCTATGCAAACACAATAGGTCTTTGATTTGAATACCCATAAAATTTCTGTTTTGTTTGGAGAATGAGAGTGAATGTATATTATATTTCAGATATAAAGTGAAACTGAAAACGATTAAATAATTAAATTATATGCAATTTCTAAATTACTTTATTCTTGGTGTGTGGATTTTAGAAGGTAATTGCTATATGTTTTACCAACATTTAGGGATGTTAACTTTAGTGTATACAGAGTGTAGATTTACTACTTATGTAAAATAGTGAAAAGAGATAATAGTTCTTCATAGATGTATAGTTTACCAGTTAAAATGAAAATTTAGTGAATGGACTTTGTTGTTTCCATTTGTTATCTAATAAAAACTAATTTCAAACATAATATACACCTGTGAAAGAATCCTACATTTTCTGAAAATTTAGTTATATGCACTTAATTAGCGTTGATAAATCTGATGTATAAAAACTAAGAACTCCTCTTTTATCTCATGCGATTAGTTATGTGATATTGTCATCAAAAAGATTTTTTTTGTTGTAAGTTTTTTGCTGTCCTTGCTGATTAAAAACAGAAGAATTCATCATAACTTCATGGTCACCAAAAGGAGATACTAGGGATACTCTATTTTTCGTCTTTTAAATCATATTAAGAAATATAACATGTATTTCTGGTTAAAAGATTGGATCTTTTTCAGCTCTGTTTCAAATTTTGAAGTGAAAAGTTTTATCGCAGGGTTTTCTGTAGGTATAATGATATTTATATTACTTGTTTGCTGGGAGCTTGAACAATTTAAGTGTACAAATCTGGCAGTATGGAATGTCGAAATGCAGCAACGAAGCTCTGGTTGTGATTGAAGCTTACAGGACACTTCGATGCATGGGGCCTTGTCCAGCTGACCAGGTTGTGAAGGATCTTGAACAGGTAAGATGACGCATCTCTTTAACTAATTGATCTTAAAGTAGACAATGATGGTATTTCCTTATTCAATCAGTAAGAAAAAAAAGTTTCAATTTATGAAGCTGTACTGGGAATTTGCTGTAGATAATTTTGTGATGATTTCAGATGATTTAGACATCATTAAAGTTGGCTCTGCCAAAGCATATGCACCCCTTCCAACAGGTAAATTAAACAAGAACAACTAGGGGTAATTGAACTGTTTGATAAACCATAAGTTTTCAGATTCTTTAATTCCTCCTTTTTCTTTTTTGCAGCATGCATGTTTATCAGTGTAGTAGGGCTGATGAGCTTTGAGCATCCAATACACAAAGTGAGAACAATGCCGTGAAGGTGCAATTTGTAGAGATAATTTCAAGGTTGATCTTTTACTCCAGAGTTAACAACATTCCTCGTGTTGGTAATCATATCCACTGGGTTGGTTGGAATATTCAACAATCTTAGATTAAAGAACAACTGCATGATTCTAATTATGTTGCTACCAATTGTGTGTTTTTATGTTCTCATATTGGGTTTAGACTCTTGAAATACATCAAAACCTTTAGTAAAGGAAAAGGTTCCCCTTTGTTCAATGGCAGAAGGCTTCTCGAATATATTCCTATAAGAAGATTTTCTTTCAATCCCACCAATTCAAAACTGTCATAGACTTCATCATAAAAAGTGAAAAAAAATTTCTTTCGACCATGAGACCTAAATTTTTTTTTTTCCTTGTACAAATTAGTCGATGACCATGAGACCTAAATTTCTTTCGACCATTTTGTGGAGTTTTTAGCTACTTCTTATTACCTTTGTAGTTGTTTCAAGAAAATCCCCTATTCGACCAAATAATTACGTAAATAGCTATTGACAAACCTGGGTTAATAACCATCAAACACCGCACATGGTGCGGCCATCCACGCTAGTACTAAAAAGAAGGTGAAACTAAATACACCATTATTTTTGTATGTTGTCTTCTGAACAAACTCTTTCTTTTATTTTTTCGCATATTGGAGAAGAAAAAAGTCAATTGCGCGATATTTTGTCACTGCTACACTATTCTTCAAAGAAATTGTTTTTGGGTCTTTTCAGCAAAACTTGAAAGTTGGACTCACCTCAACTCATTTTATTTAATAAATTGATTAATAGGAACAAATGAAATCCGGAAGATAAAAGATTGTAGCAAATATGAATCTGTTTGTGACTTAGCAACAATAGAGGGAGACTCATGTTTGCGGAAAATTCGAAAGGGAGTGTATTTTTAGACTGCTTTAAATTGTGGCCAAGTTTTGGTAAAAAATTTAATTGTTCATCCAAGGTTATACTTCAATGTCTTTTTTTTCCCTTTAGGAGTACATATTTTGCCAATTGCACCATTTAGGAGTGCAAAGAGTCTCAGGCTCAGAACAGTTAAATCAAAATTTTTGTGGTAAATCCACTTGAGGAGATAAAATACTTCAGATTTCAGAATACATTAACCATTTGCATGACTATCTTTCAATTTGAATGATAAAAACTACTGGCACGTACATGAGCCATAAAATTATGCCAAACTTATCATCATTTTTTTGGGTGGATAATTATTATCATTTTTCATTATTGATTTCCCCCAATTAATTAATCAACATGTGCCTTTTATGAATAATAATAACTGGGACGAAATTGTATCAAGTAAAACTGCAACACCAAATTTTTCGAATATATTTGTACACGTTAAATTTGTTTAGTAGTTGTTGCAGACAATCATATTTGATTTTGAAAAAGAAAAATCCATCTTGAATCTAAGTGAGAATGACTCATACAATTTTTACTTTATTTTTTTATATACGTTAAGTCTAATGCACATAATTAAATATTTATGATTGATCTTATGTTGATTTCCCGAATTTCAATAAAAAAACTCACTCTTAACTCATACGAAAACACTTCATAAATACAAAATAAATATGATTTTTTTATGACTTTTTTTTAGTTTATACAAGATGTTTATTGTCGGTAACATTATTATATTTTTTTCTTCTCTCATAAGCAAATAAACGTAAATTTTTTTGATGTGCGGATAACATCTAGTGTATATATATATATATATATATATATATTATTAAAGAAAAGGAGATGGGGTGATGACGTGTGTGTCAATTGTCCTCCAATTGATTTCATTACACATGTCATTTAATGATTGTTCATTCATTAAACAGTTATAATTTATTAGTACAATTGTTACTTTATAAATTTACTATGAATTATATTTTAAATTAGGTAATTTCTTAATTTAAGTGAATTGCCTTCACCAATTTGATTGATCATTCGCTAACAGATATCCCACTTGATTATTTGGGAGGAATTGCAACTCAAAATTTGAACGGCGATAATCTCCCTTTAGATCGGTAAAGACTGGATGTGGATGGCTTATCTTAGAAAAGGTTGTGTCTTAAGATAGTTTTGACGATGGTCGAGAGACTTGAACTTCGGCGACTGGACGTAAGACAACCACCAACGAAAATAATCTGATGAGAAGATCCTCAAGCACTGCGGGCTGTTGAACAGACTGGAATGCAGGAACAAAAACAACAAATGCCTGATTTGAAGGCAAGAAATGGGTATTCTAGCAATGGTTTTGGAAAGTAATTGCGTAGATTGCACCAAGAGAATACGGGATGAATATTTGATCATCAATTTTTAGGTATGCCTTTTCTTATTTTTGAAAACCTCATAGTATTTGATAGTAATTGAATTAGTTTTGTTGTGAGATTTCTCATTTTAATTTTTTTTTTTTGTTTTTTTTGGTTGTGTTCGATAAACTATAGTTTATTTTGAAAAAATCATTTAAGAGCAATGAACCGAATTCATGGGCAGGCTCTCTTCTCCGTCTCCCGTACCCTCCGGTAAGTTCTCCATTTCTTTCTATGGCTTCGTTTTTCTTTGAGAATTTCTTATCACTCGCGTTAGCTTTACCTTAAATTTTGATTTTCCACTTCATTTTCAACTGGATTTTTGGAATCTCGGCTTATGAAGAAATCTTTCAATATCGAATCCTTTAAGCTCTAAAACAGAGGTTAGATTGTTCTCGGTAAATCGTAGGATGCTTGAATCACTTTAGCTGACCGAGAAAGTAGCATTATTTTTGTGAAATGATGATTAAGTTCTCTTGAATCCTTTAAGCTCTTAGGGTTTTGATGGCTTTTTGTCCCCGCAAAGATTTGGTTGATAGTGTGTTTTTATTTTCTGAAGCTTTAAGGCGATTGTTCAATATTTTTTTGCCAGCATATGCGGTAATAGTGGAAACTCTTAGAAGATTTTTTTGGGTCTTTGAACAAAAATGAGAAATAAAAGTATGACATTTTGGGTTTCCCATTTTCTTCCTGTGAGATTAGTGATGTTGAGCGAGTAATGTGCTTAGGGGTATTGTTGTGATATTGGAATCATTCAGCATCTTGAACGAGGCTAAAGTTGAGTTTTGTAGTTGAATTTGACGTAGATAGATGACTCTTCGAATGAATTATTTAATTATTAATATTTACATTTCTTATTCCTTTTTTTTTTAATAATCTACAAGTTAATATACAAATGACAAATTAATTTTCAAAAATAAATTTGTTTGTCATTTGTATCTTAACTTCTAGATTATAAAAAAAAAGATAAGAAACATGAAAATTAATAATTAAATAATTCAATCGAGTTGGAAAAAATTAAATAACCTAGAAGAAACAACTTGTCTTAGCTAATTCTTTTAGTTTTTCTTTTTATTTAAAATGGTGAATTATTAATTTTCATGTTTACTTTAACTCGAATTTTTCTTCTTCATTTCTTAAATTTTTTTTAAAAAATTTTATAATCTAGAAGTTAAAATACAAAAGGAAAATAAATTTTTAAAATTTAGAATTATACTACCAATGTATACAAGTTAGGAAGTATAAGAAGAAGAATTGTAAAAAAAAAAAAATTTAACAAATTAAAAAATGAAAAAATAAGAAAATGATAGAAATACCCCTGAACCTAAAAACATGTGAAAAATGGAGTTCCGTCACTATTTAACTGTCAAAATTAACAGAATAATCTGAAATGGATTAAAACTTTAGTAAGGTAACCTGTGTTACAAATAAATTTAATTGATGACCTCGAGTGGAAATATATTAAAGGTTGATGACTTATTTTGATGTTCACTCTTAAATTTTTTTGTAGTCACTTCGAATAAATTTCATCATAAATTACATATGGTGTATAATTTTTTACATTAATTCTAAGTTAAAAATAAAATAAAGTTAACATTTTGGAATTAATTTTGAAAAAAAAATGTACATTAATCCAATATAAAAGGAATTTAAGAAACATAAATGCAATGCATAATCTAATATAGAGAGTATAAATGAAAAAAGGGAACAAAAAAATTTATGGGTATATTTTAGAACAACTAAAATTATTGGCGTTATGTCAAAATTTTGTGGTCCACAAAATCTTTTTCTAATAAAAAATTGTACATATTAACCGGATGTCAGCGGAAATGTTAAATCTAATGAAATTTTTGTCAATTGGATTAAATTGGCTTGAAATTGAAACTTAGATGATAAATTTGACTTCTCAAAAAAATTTTGGGTCAAATTGGCTAGACACTTAAAGCTCTTTTGCAAAATTGACTATTTTATCTAATTTTTCTATTTTTGATCAGGTGGATTTAAGTATATTTACTTACGATGCACCCTCATTTTAATCATACGGTTGTTAATTAATCTAACTAATCCTATGGTTATTACACTAAAACAGAACCGTCTCATAACGGGACCCTAGACGTTCCCTTATATAAATCAATAATTGAGTTCTTTAATATCCACAAGAGTTACATTAATTAATTACATCAACATCACTGGCCGAAAACACAAAAAATTAAATGGGGAGCCCGTTACTCTAATTTTAAGATTTATTCCAAATCAGATTATAGATTTGGATCTCAAACATCTTAGAATCAATAATTATGTAAATGACATCGATCGGACCCAAAAAAAATAACTGGGGTTCCAGTGGTTACTCGAGTTGTATCTAGTACATGATGAAATGTCAATACAAGCCCGATATGTTTTTAGAAGGCCCACGGTGAGTGGCCCAGCTTTTCAACTTGTGTAAATAATCTTGGGCCTGTAGATTTTTCGGTTTACTACTTACAATTAATCTGTTGGCCCTACAAGGTTAGCGATTAGCGTGTTAAAGGGAATTTTTCGGTTCCCGAAGTTCATAAAATCCAATCCATCCAGTTTTAGGGAAATCCCTCAATATAGTTTAGCCTACTAGAGGATTTTCTTCGCAGTAATGGATCGTCGACCTAGTAGCTTTCGTGGGGTGCATCGAGATCCCTTGCTCCATCGCTCTTCTGTACCACCAGATCCGTCCCGTCGCTCCGTTGCTCCATTGCAACCTGATTCGGGAACTTGGAATTACTGTCATTTGTGAAAAGAGATATGTAATTTGATATAATATTTCACAAATGAAAATATTTGTGGGGTTTTGGATTTTTAGATTGTTGTAAAATGGAAATGGTTCAAGTCCAGCATTTTTCCCGAACTGTTGTAGTTCAAAAAGTAGTGGTGGCTAATGCTCTACATTAATTCAGTTTTTCGATTGTTTGTGTCAGATTGAACGGGGGACAAGTGGACTGGTCGTGATGAAAGAGAACGATGAGGAAATGGCTACAGTGGAGGATGGAGCTCCGGTGGAGCCGGATGACATGAGATTGAAAGAGATGGAAGATAAAGGGGCTGCTTCCTGCGAAATGCATGCCAAAGTCGCAAAAGAGATCATGTGGAATTGCTTATGTTGTTTTTTTTAAAGTAGAAGCTTTGTAAGAGGCTCTAATGAGTCTGAGCTTAATACGTGCATGTTGATTTGGTTTTAATGCTGTTTGGGAGATAGCACTTCATTTATGTATCCTATTGTCGAGTCCTTTTGCCAATTATAACTTACAAAAATCACCCAATCTTCCTGTATCATGTATTTTTTTACTCCACCTGAGAACTATAACTTGAGTAATTGCCCTGGTGAAAAGATTCCGGTGTATTTAAAGGAAGGATCGCTCGTGTCGATGTGTGGAAAGGCACGGTACTAGTGGATGTACGAGATTAATAGGAAGCCCGGGTTTCAGGTGCGGAAGGGAAGACAAGTGAGAAGACACGAACAGAACCAGGGATATTCCAAAATGTGAAAGAAGTAAGTATTTGACAGTTTTGTAGTGTGTTTTGGTTGTTTGATTGAAATTTGCAACCTGATAATAACCATAGTTTATTTCCAAATTTCTTCATAAGATTAGGCGAACAAAGGAGGAACGGAAAAGAGGTCAATGAAAGGAACGATGAATATTGACAAAACAAATTCTGCCATCCGGGCTGCTTTGGGAGATGACGACATGCTATTTAGGTGGAAAAGGTTGCAGTCCAGGCAAAAAAATGTAAGTGGACTTAAAGCGGGTTGTGTCTTGCAGCCTGAAAAAGATGCAGACCAGAAGATGTCAACAACAGATAATGTAAGGTATGAGCAAGAAGCGGAACAAAGTGGCAACTTTGCTGCATCTACAGCACCGGGTATTCTTTTGACTTCTCGTCAGCTACTTGACAAACTGGTTTCATGGATCATCTAGAAAATCTACTAAGTCTTGTTGGCTAAGCTTCTGCATGTTTGACCTTTTGGACGAGTCTGTTTGTGGTTGATATTTGTAAGCTAGACCATTGCAGAAATCGTTAATTCCATTTCCAAGTTAATTATAGTGCTTCTCAATGCAGATTTGCATCTTGGCTGTCAGTCCTCTTGTCCCTTCTCCCTAACTTAACGAACCTCCTCTGGTGTATTGCAGTAGAGGATGCAAAAGCAGGACAAATTGACGTTTCTGGTCGAGAATCATCAATGGCTCGCACCATATCTCTAAAGGATGTGATTGCTGTTCTAGAAAGGGAGTTCCAATTGTTGAAATCACCTCTTCTGTATCGCTTGTATGAAAAATGATGTGCATAAGGATGGCTTTAAGTCGGTGAAAGTGTGTTGAGTTAGTAGGTCAACTGGAAGCAAAGGCACCTGATTGAGATGAAGAACTTGCATTAACATTTCTATTTGGTTTAGATTAATCGATGGATAGTCCAATTGCGTAGTCTTTGAGAGCTTTATGTCAATTTTCCACCGAATGGAAGAAGTGTGGTTTGTGAATTGAACCAACTCCAAACACATACATGATTGGTTACATTTCCCCTAATTTGTAACATAAGAAAATGATTGTAGTTCAGAGAGCTTTTGCTAAGGATTTAAAGCATAAATATAAATTGTTTGTAATTATCAGAATCAGTAACTGAACCGTTCAATAATTTGATTACACTAGATTTCTAAACCTGGAGAAATTGTCACTTTCAAAAGATTCCTATATTTTTGCCTGGCAACCAAAAGTACTAACCTCAGCTTTATGGCATTCCGTTGACTATATATTTTTTTCCTCCTTAATGCAGTCCATGTTTATCCGGTTTATACTTTACATACTACCAAAAAAACTGGGTTTGCAAAATCTAGTAGAAAAAGAAAGTGTAGTCCATACTAAACGCCCCATTCTGTCAGAGTATGCTCTGAGCGCCTAATCCTTCCATCGACGGCGAGATGTCCGGCATTTTCCGATGTCCAAACAACCTCCGTAACTTAACTCGCCGGATTGCCTTCCTCTCCCTTTATTCTCATCACGCCAAGTTTCATTCTTCCCCTCGCAAAACCCTATTCTTGGTCTCCAATCCCCAACAAACTCAGTCAGCCTCGTCGGGATTAGTTCATTTCTTGCAGGAACGCCCCAAATGGAACGGGAGCTTCGATAATTACGATCAGATTAAAGCGGAATTGAATTGCCCTCGCTGCTCTCACCTCATGACTGTTCTTTTCACCAATCGTCCGTTGTCGATTACCGCGAGTGAAGCTGGGATTTATCAAGCTCTGAATTTGTGTCCTAATTGTCGTACGGCGTATTATTTCCGCCCCTTTAAGTTGGAGCCGCTGGAAGGGACCTTTATCGAGATTGGGAGGGTTAAGGAGAGGAAAGATGTGGAGGGAAACATCGGAAATGGGAAAAAGATTTGGGAGAAGTTGAGGACTTACAGTGGGGATACTAACAGTAACGGTATTGTTGAGAATGGTGTTCGGATTAGTGGCGGTAGTGTGGGTGAAACCTTGGAAGGTAAAGATTCGGAGCCTCAAACAGATGAAGTGGAGAGTAAAGGAAGTGAGTGGGGAGGTGCTAATCTTGGCAGTAATTTGCCTACTCCAAAGGAGATATCTAGAAGGCTTGATGAGTTTGTTGTTGGGCAGGAAAGAGCCAAAAAGGTTGCATTTTGTGAAAAACCTTTTCTTTAAGTTCTGCTAATTTGTTGTGTTCATGTTTGTATGTCGTTTTCAAAAGTAGATTTTGACACGAACTAGCGATTTATGCGTCCTGTTATAATGCAATCATTAGCTCTTTTGGATAGGATGATTTAAGGTTTTTGCAGCAAGTTTTCTGCTCTGGATTGAATGATTTGAGGTTTTGAGCAGGTTTTCTGGCAATTGAGTAAGAAGGCAATTATTACAAATTTGGGCACATTTAGCACACTATAATGGTGTTCGGGTTAATTTTAAATAATTAATCAGATATTTAGTGGTTTGTTGGCGGATAATGGCTATCAGGATCTTTTGTATTCAATAGATAATCTCTCATCTGTACACTTTGCCACGTGTTTTCACTGTCTTACCATGTTATACTTGAATTTAAATTCTCTTTATGAGTAGAACATTAGAGTCCATTGAGGACTTTTCTGTTTCTCAATTGAAGTTTGTGTTTTGGTTGGCAGGTGTTGTCCGTTGCTGTTTACAATCATTACAAAAGAATCTATCATACTTCGATGCCTAAAGAGTAAGTAGTACCGTTTGCTTACTCCTGTGCGGAGAATTTTGAAGTTCTACTCGGAAACATTATTTTCATTCATCCAGACCATTTCTATGGCCATGTTCTACTTGTTACTTGAGGTTCTTCTTTATGCTAACTTGAATGGACATTCATAATCATGTTATCGCAGTGTCACTGACCCCTTAAATATTTGATCCATCCATATAAGCCTTCTTTGTGTAATTTGTCTCTTGAAATGCTTTCCAGAATTCTAGTACTATATTTAAACTTGGCATGCTTTTGGAATTTCCAGTACCAAAATAGCATTATGTCAACCATTGTGGAAGCTGGTGTTTAGGGTATTATGCCCTCTTTATTACTAAATCATGATAACAAAATGTTTTCTTCTGGAGTTTCATAACACAAAAAGTATTCTCTTTGGCCATTCTGTGAATTGACACATATTAATTAACTTAACAGCAGCCTCGTGGGGACGGATAACATAACTTCTGTTCTTATGCGTCATTTTGTTTCTTGTTTTGTTTTGTTTTGTGTGTTGTTGTTGTTTTTTTTTTTTTGCCGGCAAATCTGAACTATGGCCGGAACTGTCATCAGTTCAGTTGCAGAATCATGTAAAACTGAGTGTACTTTTGGAGATAGAGATGCTGATAATGTGGAGTTAGAGAAGAGCAATGTCTTAATGATTGGCCCTACAGGCTCAGGTATAGGAAGTGGTCTTTTTTTCTTCATGTTCATGATTTTCTGGTTTCCTTTTATATTTATTAGCTGCCCTAGGTGTGAGAAGATGGTCTGCCTTTCTGATTCTATATTTCAATTTGACTGAAAGGACAGGAAAGACATTACTTGCAAAGACACTCGCTCGTATTGTGAATGTACCTTTTGTTATTGCCGATGCAACAACTCTGACACAGGCAGGTTAAACCTTTTCTGAAAAAATATTTACATCTTTCTTTTTGTTTTGTTTTTGGGCCTGTTGCCATGCCCACACCATGGGTAATGACCCTTTGACTTACGCTGGACGTTGCTCAAATAGATAGGGGTTATTACTAGCATTTGAGAATTAGCTTAGAAGGGTTTTCTGTTGATGTGTTAGTTCCTTTTTTTTTCCTCCTCAATGTAATTAGATTTCCAGCTTATTACGATTCTTATATCATATTTTCTGTATCTAATTTCTCTCCAGGCAGGATATGTTGGAGAAGATGTGGAATCCATATTGCATAAATTACTCACGGTAAGATGCAGTTTGGGATATATGCACGTAGAGATCTTATTTTGTGAGCATAGGAAACTGAAATATTGCTACAGCATGAGCTGTAATTTGGTACTTTTCACAAACCAATTTACTTGATGGCTCTGCCTTATATTTTGAAGGAAGCATCCTTGGGAAGCGTCTGATGTGTTCATTTTCCCCAAGTTTTCTTTTCTTAAATTATCATGATTCTCACCATGAATGGGCCACCAAGTATAGTTGTTGTGCATTATTTCTACGAAGGAAGATTAATCCTTGTATTTACCCCCTTCTTTTTGTCTGTTTCTCCTTCCTTGTGAAAAGTCTAATGTCTTTCTTCTGCATGAAATTTTATTTTTCTTTGGATCCATTCTCTCTCTCTCTCTCTCTCTCTGTGTGTGTGTGTGTGTGAGTGTGTTGCCGTTTTAAGTGATTAGATTCTGAAGCTATTCCTTAATGGTTTTTAGGTAGCTGACTTCAATGTCGAAGCAGCTCAGCAAGGCATAGTGTACATTGATGAAATTGATAAAATAACGAAAAAGGTCCACCAATTCTTACGTTACTTATTACTTTTTTGAAAGTTTGAAAAGCTGAATAATTTATTTCTTATCTTTGATAATTATCTTTGGATTTTCAGTGCAGGCTGAAAATTTGAACATTGGCAGAGATGTGTCTGGGGAGGGTGTCCAACAGGCACTGCTAAAAATGCTGGAGGGAACTGTAAGTGCTGCACTTGAATGTAGGTGTGTCTTTTTAGTTTGACACACGCAGTTATCTTTCAGAACGTGTACTACTTTCTTCTTTGAATTAAAGAAATTTTGCTCTGTATGCTGAAAATCATGCCGTTTCGGGCTTGTGCAGTTATACAGTAAATGATTTTTGTAAGGGCAATAACATTTTAGGATATTTTCTTGAGATCCTTCATTTTCAGTTTTTGATGGTGCCAAAATGCATAACATGGGCACAGCTCTCTTTCTAGTTTGGACATTTCATTTGCTCTGATTCTGTTCCGTGTTGAAGACGACATTGTTCAAAATGGCAGGTTTTGTTTGCTAAGCTTGAAAGGTTTAATATATTAGATTGTCTATGTGAATTTTGCAAGTGTTGGGGGAGGACTGAGAATTTCATTTATCTGGGTTTTAAATAGTGGATTACATTTTTATGCGTAATCAAGTCCGTCCTTAATGTTGGAGAAATTGAGGTTGATAATGGACTCTGCTTACAACACTGCAGTTTCAGTTCATTTATTGTGATTGTTGGGTGATTTGAGTTGTTTTTTTACCAATGCTAATTGGTGAATATTTTGGTTCAGATTGTGAACGTTCCTGATAATGGAGTACGGAGCCATAGGCGAGGTGATGGCTTTCAGGTATTAGAGAGCTTGTCTTCTTGTTTACAATGTTAGTTTCAATTTGTAGAGCAACATGTGATTTTTATTTTACTTTATTGGTTACATTAGATGCAACATAATTAATATTTAAATAGCACTTGTTGATCCATCCTATTCTTCCTGCATCATTCCTTGAGCTTTGGAATATAGTGTACTTGAAAGAATTAGTTATAAATTCCAAGCGCACAGTTTCATTTTCTGGGATTGCACATATATAGAAAGGGGTCCCCATGAACAATGGTTCATGGCCATAGAATTTTATTGATTTTTTCAACATCCATAAATTTTAATGAGATGTCAAGGTTCATTTTGTTGTTTTGTTAGTTTTTCCATGTCTTCTTCATCCTCTTATTTGATGCTATACTGTAGATAGATACAAAAGATATCCTTTTTATTTGCAGTGGAGCCTTTGTTGGTTTGGAGAAGACTATCTCAGAAAGGTAATTCCCTCTTTTGTTCATGCGGTGTTGTAGGTAAAAATTTGCTGTTAGGTTTTGATTAAATTATGGTTGTCTCAGACGAGAAGATTCTTCTATTGGTTTTGGGGCTCCTGTCCGCACTAACATGAGGCAGTGTGGTGTAACCGATACCTCAGTTGCATCTTCACTCCTGGAAAAGGTTAGAAGCACTTGACAGTGCGTGTATTATACCCATTTACTGTATGTTTAATACCCTGAATCTTGATTCGTATGCATATGCATTAATAAAAACTTTTAACCTGAATCTTGATTTTAAACTCAGGTTGAGAGTGGAGATCTTACCGCATATGGTCTCATACCTGAATTTGTTGGACGGTTTCCTGTTTTAGTGAGTTTATCTGCTCTTGATGAAGACCAGCTTGTTCAGGTTTGCAGTTTCTTCCCTTTCATTCGTATTGTTTTTTCTGTTTTCTTTGCTTTATATCACATGCACATTATGCCACATGCCTGTATGCTCCAAAGAAGAGTGAATGTGCTATGTCTTTTTTTTTTTTTTTTTTTGTGAAAAGGTGAATGTGCCACGTCAATCATAAAGTAGGCGTTGTTTATTAGCTTTGCTTTTTAAATGCAAACATCCAAGACCCTCGGTAGGCAACCCTATGAGGAGCTACTATGACTTTTATACCTTGAATCTATCTAGTGATATTCAACTAGTCATGTGCCCGTGCTTATAAATTTGGTGGCAGCTTATAGCCTATCTATTTTAGTAAATTAGCCTATCTATTGCAAATGAAGCTGTAAGAGTCATTATTGACAATTCTTTCAGCTTGTGCTAATAATGGATTAGATCAAAATGACTCATTTAAATTCCGACGCTTCTTAATTTGGTGAAGTTGCCGGAAATCAATATATCAATGCACCAATGCATCTTGGGTCATACTAGTTAAACAGTCTCTCTGTATTGAAATACAGGGGTAAGGCTGCGTACATATTGACCCCCCAGACCCAACCGGGTTGGGAACATACTGGGTATGTTGTTGTTGTTGACTTGTTGTAGCGTAGAATGCTGAAATCCACTGTTATCTGAATTCTTTGAGATCTATTATCACAACATTAAATGTCTCAGAGAATCAATTGCTCTTTAACTTAAATATTACTTTTAAGTTGCAATGAGCCACAATTATAGATCTTGGATTAGTCAACGTGCCTTCAACTTTGAAGTTTCTTATCATTCTGTGCCTATTCGGAATATTATCTAGCTCAAGCATTTCGCAGAACTCTGGTATATCTAGTTGCATCAAAGTGGCTTGCAAAAAGTCCAAAATGTCAGTGAATACATATGATCTGCTCAAACATTCATTCTTGTTTGTATTCATCCTTTTTTTGTAGGTTCTCACAGAGCCAAGAAATGCTCTTTGTAAGCAGTATAAGAGGATGTTTTCCATGAACAATGTAAGCTTGTGATCCTAAAATGGCTATGTCCTTAAATATTGTCTGTCTTTCTAAGCTGTAGAGAAGTCTACTTGGATCAGGCTTTCTTTCATCTGCTTGAACAGATGTGCTTAATGTTGCAGGTCAAGTTACACTTTGAAGATAGTGCTCTTAAAATGATTGCAAAGAAAGCAATAGCAAAAAAAACTGGTGCACGAGGTTTGCGAGCCATATTGGAGAATATTTTGACAGAGGCAATGTTTGAGGTATATGTTATGACTTAGGAATTTAGCTTGTCCGGAAGCTACTCTAGTTGCAACATCATGCTTCACTTTCCATCATGTTGTCAGCATCTCCCGTCAAACTGATCGCGTTTGAACGTCTACTTTTAAGGAAAACTGTCGGGTTGGTTCTTGATAAGGATGTTTCAGTTCCATTATCTGTAGAGAACATTTAATTCTTCTGCTCTCTGCTGCACAACAAACTTGCTGCCTTATTATTCTTATGTTCCCGATGCACACTAAAATGATGTCTTTGTTAAAAATACGCTTTGAAATAAGCTTGAGTATCTACAAGGTCTCATCAATCAAATCCTTTATCTGTAGGTTCCTGATGCCAAATCCGGGGAACATCTGGTAGACATAGTTTTGGTTGATGATGAAGCAGTTGGGTCAATGGACAGACCTGGACTTGGAGCCAAAATTGTGCAGAGAAATGGTGGATTGGAGCATGGACTTTGTCGAACAAACTCCGAAGATAGACAGGTAATGTTGTTGGCAAATGTCTCTCTGTAACATTATTCGGAGCAATTGCGAACCATACTCATCTTTCTATTCCCTATTGGTGTGATGGCAATCATTTTGCAGGAAAAACAAAGGATAGCCGAGGGAGAATTGGAGGACGAGATGGAGGTTCCGTATGCCTGTAAATCCGTAACTTGACTAATTTTGATCTTCTAATTGCCCACACTTGTAAATCTGTGACATCAACTAGAGTTGTTCTAAATAAATACTATGAGGGGTAGCTGGAAAAATTTTCCCTTCTTTTTATGCTCCCAGCAAAATCTATTGTGCGTTCAGAGAGTCTGGTTGGTAAGAGGAGGGGGTGGGATTAGGCCTGTCCTCCAATATCAGAAGAAGTACCAAATTAGTCCTCATCAGTCTGATTTTAATTTCTTTTTTTTTTTTTTGGTGGAAATTTTAGTTTCATTGAATGTAACAAAATCGGTACAATGAAAATGATTAGGAGACTCTCCTCAACATCTGTAAATAATGAAGTCACATAATAACTAATTTCAAGCAATTTTCTAAATGCGTTGAATTAGATGTACTTACAAGGAGTCAGTTAGTTTTACCGTAATCAAATTATTTCGAAGAATGTTACTAGTCAATTTTATTATAATGCCCGGTGGATAATTCATAGAACTAAACTAAGGATTGTTGCATTCTTGTCAAATCAAATGCACGATTGTAGATTATATGATAGGCAACATTAACTATGTTTACCTCTCCACTGCTTAAAAGCCCTTTGCCAACTTGAATATGAGCCAAGAAATTTAACCTCTCTTTTAAATAACCAAGAATGTGGCAAAATAATGACTCAAGTGTAGGTAAGCGTTTTTGAATGACCAGCCAAAGAATGAAATTGAGATCGGAGATTGAGACATCCCAATCTCAATTTCATCTTATGTATTAGGAATTTCATCTTGATGTAATTAGGCTAATTTTATTTTTCTGTCATCTATTGACTTAATCAAAGATTGTGGGGAAATTTATCTCATTAATAATATTATTATTAGTATTATTTTTGATGAAATTATTTCATTATTATTTTCAAATTTCGGGATATTACTTTTCGTAGTTCAGAAATTACTCACTTACAGTTCGTTTTGGACAATTTTGCCCATGAACTCTTTTTTTTTCTCCAACATACACTAATTACATTAATTACAAATAAATTTAACTAAATTAATTAAACAACAACACAAAATATTAAACTAAAGTAATTATACAAAAAAATGATATTAAAATAACACAAAAAATTGGACAAAAATAATATTAAAATAACAATTACACAAAAAAAATTTAAAAAAATTGAATTTTTTTTTTGCCCAGGGTAGCCGGTTGTCGGGCCGGCCACTTTTTAAAGGTTGGGTGGTCACTTCTTCCCGGTTGGCCGGTGAATAAACCGGCCAACCTTCAAAAGGTGGCCGGCCCGACAACAGGCTACCCTAGACAAAAAAAAAATTCAATTTTTTTAAATTTTTTTTGTAATTGTTATTATTTTTTTATATTTACTTTAAGTTTTATTTTTTGTGTTATATTTACTGATTTAATAATATTTTTAATTTAATTGAATTTATTAGGTATAATTAATTTATTTTAATAATTAGTGTAGATTAAATGGAGAAATTAGGTATAATAAGTTTTTTATTATAATTATAATTTATTTGTTATATTCAAATAAAGAATGCACTAAATATTATATTAAAATTATATGATAAATACATTTTGAGTAGGTTTTTGTAATTACGTATGTGGTCTTTAGTTAGTATTAATTTATAGGCTTTAATAATTATTGTTTTTTATATATTGAGTAAATTAATTACAACTAAATAACACAACATACACTAATTAAATTAATTATAAATAAATTTAACTAAATTAATTGAATAATAACACAAAATATAAAACTAAAGTATTTATACAAAAAAATAATGATAACAAAAAATTGAAAAAAAAAGGTACTGTTCAGGGTGGCCGGCCGTCAGCAGGCCGGCCACTCTTTGAAGGTTGGCCGGTTTACTCACCGGCCAACTGCGAAGAAGTGGTGTGCCAACCGCGAAGAAGTTGGCCGGTGAGTAAACCGGCCAATCTTTAACTTTTTTTTCAATTTTTAATTTTTTTTTTTGGATAATTGTCATTATTTTTTTATATTTACTTCAGTTTTATTTTTTGTGTTATATTTACTGATTTATTAACATTGTTAATTTAATTGAATGTATTAGGTATAATTAATTTAATTCAATAATTAGTATGGATTAAATGCAGAAATTAGGTATAATAAGTTTTTTTTTTATTATTATAATTTATTTGTTATAGTCAAATAGAGAATGCACTAGATATTATATTAAAATTAAATGATAAATATATTTTGCGTAAGTTTTATAATTAGGTAAAGATTAAATGGTAAAATTGTTCAAAATGAATTGTAAATGAATAATTTGTGAATTGCGAAAAGCAATTCAGTAAATGTTTTTGAACAGAGAGATATTGAAAAACTCCTCACCGCCTTAATCCAAAAGTGGCCCATCTGACTCGTTCTCGTCTATAAATACGTACTCGTTCTTCTGTGTTTTCCGGTTACTTCAAAATTAAATCCCTGGAGAGACACAGAAGCAACATGACTAGTGCAATTGATGAGACTGATCGCACTGTGGATTTCCCTGTGGATTTCTCCTTCTCCCGATTGCAGATTCGTGATCCTGATACTGATCGCACTGCTTTGACCTTCAAGGCGGCTAGTTCAATTGATGAGACATCTTTCGAGAATGAATCGGGTAATCAAGGCCTAATGGCGGTTCCTTATGCTGGTCTACCTGTGGATTTCTACCGATTGCAGATTCGTGGTCCTGATACTGATACTGATCGAACTGCTTTGGCCTTCAAGACTATGTATGCATTGGGTGACAGGTGGGTTTTTTTATAAGTTCGAAATTTGGTTCTCTACTTGTATGCATTTTTAATTTGGTCCGCTGTGGAAGGGAATCGTTTTGTCGATTGCTTCTATGTCTTTTAAGCAAATCCTTGTGGCTAATTTTGTTATGGTGGTGAGAGATTGGATTTATGTGTTGTTGTGCCATACTCTCTCCGGTCCTCAATTTTGATTTGTTCTAGTTTTACCCTGGTATGTATTTTTATTTGACAAAAAAAATTAAAAATATTTCTTAAAAAGCAAAAGAACACAATGAATGTAAAAATATATTTTTAAATTTATTTTTTCGATTAAAATCACATATTATGTGAAATCTAAGATAAAATCAAAATATCTTATATTAAGGACCGGACGGAGTACTATTTTTTTTGTTGGGTACTTATAAGAACTCAGAGCTGACAAGAAATTATTGGTTGGCGCTCATGTTTCTCAATACTTGAGGCAAATTGTGATCACCAGTTTTAGTATCCTAGGATTAGCCTAGTAGATTTTGTTATAGTCTGTAACATGTTCTCAAAGGCTAGGAGATGAATCATATAAAGTAATCCAAAACTTAAGCTTTGTTGAGCTGATATTTTCCTGCATCTTCCTGTGTATTTTTCCCTTCTCAGCTTTTCCCGCTCCTCCTCTCTTCTGTCTTTGTAATGTTCTTCCTTTTCCATACTTATTGAAATCACCTTCAGTTTTTTTTTTTTTCCATAACTGATAATCAGACTTACGTATCACTGATATCTTTTCCCTTTTGGTTTCCCTTCAGGTTATGCCTTCTGAAGTTCATAAAGGTATTTCTCTTTACTTTGGACATTCGAAGTTTTCATCTTTACTTTGTCCTTTGAAATACTTATACTTTTTAGGGGAGAGATGCATGTTGGTTTGTTACGTAGTTTATGCCTTGAGTACGGTAACTTTTGGTCATAGATGACTCTTGGAGTCCTTTCTGCTGTCAAAATTTATGTAGATCCGAATAATGATCTCATTTCTGGATTTTTGTCATGCATTACGTGATTGCCGTTTTTTTACGACAATCTGGCATAAACGTGTTCTGATTATGGCCTGCTGAATGTTTGGATTTGCTTTTTGTTTTCCAGATACACCTGAAACTAGCTTTGTTTCAGCCAATACTACAAACTTTTTGTGTGCTTTGTATTTATTCATTAGTAGTTCTCTCCCGTTTTTATAAGCTTCTTTATTTGCTGATCACAAATTATTGGGGAATCCCTCCTCTTATCTAAAATAGATTACTAGTTGCCCAGACTACCTCGTAACTTGTTCTGTTCTCTGTGTCTCTTGAACTATCCTTGCCTTCCCCTCATGTTACTGAAATCTTTCTCTTTGGATGGTCTTTGTTGGTTTCCTACTCACCCTTTACCGCAAATATAGCCTTCTCCAATTAAGGATGGAACTGCTGAATTTCTGAGAGATTTTTGACGTTTTACAATAATAATAATTATCTTGTTCTTGCCTTATCTTTTTTTTTTATTCTTTCATGGTGGTATAATTGCTTTATTTTGGATGTTTATACTGTTTTTTTTTTTTTTTTTTGGTTATTATCAGAAATGTATATTTTCTTCGTTTGATCCTAGATTCTTTTGTCTTTACTTTTATATGAAGGATCTGGCTTGGAAGAACTATAAGAGGTTGGAAAGGTACGTGTGTACCAGGCTAAGGAGGTTATATCCGTTGGTGGCTGCATGCATTTACGTAACTTGCAGGCAACAGAGAATTCCCGGTATCACCCTCAAAGGTACTTCCTAAAGTGATCCCTTTTTTCTAAGAAAACCAGAAGGGTAGTCATATATTGCTATGGTCAAAACATAATGACATTGGGGGTACAAATGCCAAATGGGCATAATAGACAGATCTAACTGGGCTATTACTATCACTAGCATTTTCTGCCGTTTTAAGCTTTGCTAAAATTATTCACACACCTACATGTATTCTGGTTTTTTCATCCTGCACCTGTGACCTCTCCTGACTTTTTGACTTCAATCTAGACGTATGTAAATTTGCCAAAGGAGCCACAGAGACGGAAATTGTAAAAGCAAAAAACTTCATCTTGAAGCAGCTAAATATTAAGCTGAGATGTTGAGATATGGGGTTCCTAGGGAATGGGAGCGGTACGCGCTGGGGACTGTTTGGTGAGTTTTCCGGAAGCATGGAACAATTCTGATATCATCTTCTTACAGCAAGGCTGGAGTTGATAATGGATGAGGTTGTAGTTTTTTCTTTTATTCCACATAACAATGCCATTTAATTTATTGGCAGTCTTCAATTCTTGTATTGGGTTTGGGTTCTTCTTCACTTTTTTTTTTTTTTTTTTAAATTGATAAATATAAAAACTTGTGAACATATATTAAGCTTAAGAAGGCTTGTTCTGGTATGAATCTACTTATCTAGTGCTAATTTATTACTACAGAACTGCCCTACGAGGTGAAAAAATTGTTGAATGATCTATCTGGTCCTCGTTTGTTTTGGCGTTTTTTGTGACAACCAATGATGCTAGTTTGTAACATTGTTTTTAAGTACCTCATCCACCGTCCTCTTCTGTCCTAATTTGTTCCCTCCCATCTGTGGCCGAGAGTTGAGAACTTCCATAATGTCACTGCATGTGCATCCATACTCTAAAGAACCTCTTTCTGCCTGCCATCAAGGACCTAATTGCTTAGTGCTTGTTAACACACAAATACCAAGTTAAAATTTAAAGCCATCTATAAGTATCTTTATTTGCTTTTTAAAACTTATGTTATTGATTATTTTTTATTATTCTTAATATACCAAGTTAAAGATTTGAAGGCAAGTTCAGTGACTATTGGTCAACTATATATATATATATATATAAATAACAGGAAGGAAGGAAAAAAAAAAAAAAAGAAGTTGTGCCGCTTGGTCCATTAGTTCAAGAGCCTATCCTTGATGATCAAGGTTTTGAGTTAATGGAATGGCTTGACAGAATCATGAATGCATTGGTGAAGAGAACTAGGGGGGGGAAACTAGTAAGGGAGAAGGCCAAAGTATTGAGGGAGAGGATTAAGGTAAGGGAGATGAAGAAATTGATAGGTTACGTAGAGCAACAACTTTGTGTCATGGAAAGGAGGAAGAAGATGGTCAATCATGGGAAATTCAGCAATGTACTTTAATTCATCAAGTGATTAATCAATTAGCAAATTTCATCCATATCAAATCTTCACAATCATAATATACATTTCCAAGAGTGATACAATTATGTAAACCTATACAACCATTGTTAATTAGTTTGTTAGAATTAACCCCCTTTTGTCTTCATTAGTTCCTCTAGTGGTTTGAATTCAACCTTACTAGTGTTGTTGTATTGTACGTATATTAACCGAAATGTGCACCGTGCCAACGGGCAGCAATGAGATTGACTTACATTTCAGCACTACAGTCGAAGCGGGAAAAGGTTAAAAATCATAGGTATATAATTCTTCATCATTTAACTGGCACTTGTACTTTTAGCGTATTATTAAAGCTTTATGTAATCAATCCATAAACAATTGTATCTGGTCAAATCAAATTCCAGAACAAGATTTGACAATTTACATATAAATTCAGACCAATCCTGAAATCTGGAAACCAATTAAAGAATTCAACCTTTTCATGGTCACAAAAGTAAAGTTTTTTTTTTTTGGAAACTCACAAAGATAAAGAGTAATGGTGACATAATATGCAGATTAAATGCACTATAGTTCACTACAAACATGAAAAAACCTTGAATATCATTCTTTTAACATTACTTCTTCCTTGCATCAAAACGCCAAGTCGGTAAACAAGAAACAAATGCAAGGCTGAAAGCCTTCTTCATTCTTTAAGAGTAGAATATAAACTAGAGACCAGTTCACTAGAACACTCATAGAAATTAGTTTTTAAATCTTCAAAAAAAAAAAAGACTAATTCTCTAAAACAAGCATAAAAAAAAAACTTTAGTTCCAGCTTCCAAACACGCACCCCTGCCTCTTCAAGTGACTAAATCATAAAAAGGTCAACTGATCTATCTTCCAACAAATTACTTGTGGGTTGAACTTGGGGTTGTGTGTGTGCTTGAACCTCCAACAATTGTCTTCCCCTTGTCCACTGGAGGCTTATGGGGGCCTGCGGGGACTACAAGAGAACATGGAAACAGAAAGCAGGCAGTAACTAAAAAGGTTTTTTTTTCTAAAGCATAAAAAATGGGGGGACGAAACTAACAACAGACCAAAAAAGAATTTCAACCACTTCTAAACATTGATGGGTTGCCGAACTGAAATGAAGAGAGAGAGATTAACATCAGAAGTACTATGTAACGAGAAAGGCTTACAGAGGGAAACATTGGCTCCTGCAAAGACACGCCACTTGGGGAAATTTCCCTGAGTTCCACCATTCTGGATGATCTCAATCCTGCTTTTAATGTAGGAATGACGAGTTGCTTGTACCTCAAAGTTGGAAAGATTCTCCAACATGTCCTCCAAAGAGTAGGCGTGGGAGTGACTGCCATTGGATTGGCCACGGATCTTGTCAATGGTGAACCGAAGCTTCAAAATGGAAGCAGTTGAGGGTGGAACTAAGGAGTGGGAGAACAAAACAATCAAGGAAAAAAAAAAAAAAAAGCAAATCAAAAAACCAAGCGGAAAAATTTAGAAGAAGAAGAAGAAGAAGCCCAAAGAAAGATTTTCTCACCGAGAACAGAGAGGAAATTTTCATGCGCATACAGCTTATTTGCCAATTGCATAGTACGTTTTAGTGCTTCACCCAGAATTTGACCACAATTCTCCATGGGTTTACCTGCTAAACCCAAGAAACAAAATTGGGACAATAATTAATAACTAGAACAGAGGGAAACAGACCAACGAGAAGGGAGAAGAAATGAAAAGATGAAAAAAAGGGGAAAGAATGAATTGAATTTCTGTGCTTACCCTTCCCGGCCCACTTCTTGTTAAACAGAAGGTATCCTGTCTTCAGCTTAACAATATCATCATGTACCTTGTGGAAGCGTATGCGCTGATCCTCAAGAATCTCTCCCATGAGAATGTTGGCTTTAAACAACAGAGCATCGAAATCTGGAACCTCTTCTTCAGCCATTGTTACCTTTAATCAAACTGATCGATGATCTCAGGGAGGAAGAAAGCCTAAAGCGAGAAAGTGTTTTTGTGTCTAGAAAAGTGTGTATCAGGGAGAAAAAGATACTACTAGCTTACAGTAAGAATTAAAATCCTCAACTACTCCTTGGCTTTCCTTGACACACACATTTCTCTCTTCCAAAAACAAAAAGCATTATCTCATTTTGATTTTGTGTCAGGAAACAATCCATAATAGTAATAAAATATGCCACTATAACCGTACTGTGATAATAATTCACAGCAAAAAAGGAGAAAAAAAAAAAAAGAAAGAAAAAAGAATGAACTTGAATCTTTTATTAGAGTTTAGAGCTCTTTTTCCCGTATTTAACGTTGTTGTACTGATGGGTTATCATCAGTGTAATGGGTTAAGGGGACAAGACAAACAACGGAGGTGAAAACAAACAACGAGCACAGGTTTTGTGCCGACTTGATGTGTCAGAAACAAATTCTGGTTTGCGATTTTGTTGACCTTTCATTGTTCATTGTTTCGAAAAAAAGTTAAAGCTACGTACCTTTCGTTGAGAGGAGATGATGATGGGTCGTCCAGATTCTTTTGGTCTCAACTTCTGGCTCTCTGGCTGCATTTCACATCCACAGTAACAGCTAATTCTGCTATTACCTACCCCATAATTTATTGTGGCAGCAGGTGAAAAATTCCTTTCCATTTGATTTTTTTTTTCTTCTTTTACTGCACTAAAAATGATCAAAATGATTTGATAAGAATTTGTTTTGGAAATTTTTCTTAACAATATTGGATGCACTGTTGTGGAATAAACCTTTATTTGTTCACCATTTCTCTCCTTGAGTAATTCGTCCTATACCTTCATTCATGTTTTCCGGCAAAAAAAAAAACAGAATATTTCCGACTAAGTTAGCCCACCTGGTCAAACATTCAAACACTAGAGACATTTTTATTTCAAACATCTCCCTCAAGTAATACAAGGTTGATTTCCTGGAGTGTATCATCAATTGTAGCATATTACTGACCAATCTTTCTAAGTTCTAAATTCAAAATTAAATTTCAGTTTGACGTGTAATATACAGTACAACTATTGTATGACCTGAAATGCCTGAAAATTACATGGTCCGAATTAACACGAGTGCGTTTCTTGTGCGTTTCTTCTGCTTTTGGGTTAGTTTTACTAATCGACCATGAAATTTCTATCCTTACGAATTCATTTGGATAAATCTATGCTCCCACATATATAATTTCAGTGCACTAGGCGTTAACACTAAGCAGCGCTAGTCTACAAGCCTAAACGATAAAATAGAACAGTAATATTAAATCTTTAAAGCGCAAGACAAGCAATGGTGAATTCTTTGGCTATTAAAGCGATACATAAACCACCATTTCCTGTTCTATCCCAACCATTTTTAACAAAAACAAAAGCACTTTACAGGATAGATCAATGGAAATTAAGACACCATCATCAAGAAGCAAAAAACATTGTACCACGTCTACCATACTCAGATAATAGAACTACAGACATCACTTGTACGTAAATAAGAACCGAACCAAACAAAAGCAACACAAACTGCAACATTTTGCATATACTAAACACCAGTGAACCTTTTTTCCAACAACTTAGAGCAGATACCCAGATGCACACCCCCTCAGCCGAGCCATGAACCTTACTACACATCATCCCGGGACAAATCCAACAACACAATCTCCTTACCATCCTTCTGGAGGGAGATCCCATCAGAAGAGATGCTCAAAGAGTTGTTTTCACGCACCCAATCAGAGCCTAAGATAATGTCATATTCAGCTTTTATCTCAACAATCCTCATCTCAGCGCTGAACTTAAGACCCTTCATTGTCCACTCGAAATTTGGACATCTGAATCGGCTCACTGCCCAGTAGCAAAGCATGAAAAATTTCACCCGTAAGGGTTCGGCCTCCTCAATCTTGTATCCTGCTTTAACTGCCAGAGACGTATCAATTAAGCTATGCGCAACCTCCGGACATATCAAGACTTTTATCTCCTTTTCTCCTACAAAAGCTCCAAATCTGAAAGGGTCCTTACAACAACTTATCACTGTAACCTGTTCACATCCCAAATCACCCTTCCTCAGCCTGTCCTTCATCACTTTGTCTTTCATCTCTTGGATAGCCATCTCATGGGTGGATGCAAGTCTATAAGCCTGGGAAATACTCTCCGGTTTGACATCCCCAATTGAATCTCTCAGTTCTGGCTTGAGTCCATTCAGGAAGCTGGAAATCAGATAATCTTCTGAGAGTCCACGATTCTGTCTCATGAACAAGTCTTTCAACCCCTCAAACTTCTCCTGGTAATCTGATACATCAGTGATCTGCTTCACGCCCTGGAACTCCACAACGTCTGGCACACCAGCATCAGCTGCAGTAGATTTTCCACTGGCCTCATCATCTATCTTGCTGTTGCTGACAAGACCGGTCACTGTGGATGAAATTGCATCCAGTCTCACAGACATATTTGTTACAGAAGCCATCAGATTAGTCATACAAGTCATCAGGCTTTCAGCATCCTGACAAGGCTTGGCCCCCGTAGTACCATGATTCTTGTTTTTGTTTCTCTTCCTCCCCATCACGCAGTGATAATCTGCGTAAAAAACCAGGAACCAAAAAAAACCGTAATCTGTAATTAGAGGAAAGATCAAAAGGGGAAAAAAAGAAGGGTTTAAAATGAAAGCAATCCTACGTACATAAAAAAATTTTCAAACATACAGTCTTCCAGTCTACAATGCTCTGCTATTCTAAAGTTTTATTAGCAGAGAATGAGGTATTGGTCGTCATAATATGCATTTCAAGGAAGGGAGTGAATGTTTCATTTTCACAACACCACCAAAGTTTCCAGACAAAAAAACAGCAGTCGTGTAAGGTAATAAGACCTAAGGCCTAGATCTACTCACATACACACATGATCAGCAAAAGAAATTGAGGAACATGATCAACAAAGGAACATGATCAACAAAGAACTGCATAAAATCGAGGCAGGAATTCCAGAAGGTCTCAAATCACAAAAAGAAATCAGTACAAGTGATTAGGAGAACGAGCAGCAAGCATCGTTGATGAAGTATCATTTTCGCCAGATCGGCTAACATTAGAGGATGCAAAAATAGACGTTACCGGAAAGTCACCGCTGTAAAAGTTAGCCGGAGATTCTCTCAGAAGACACCGCCGGGGAGAGTTTTTTTTTTTTTTTTCTCCTGATTATACCCAAATACCCCCTAGTGCGAAAAGAGTTGGGCTCAATGAAACAAACGCAGCATTAAGTATAGCTCTTTAATGCCCCACAGGCTGGCTACATCCGTACTATCAAGTCTATGATGTGATAAACCGGACCGGAGAGGGCGGTCCAGCTATGAAGTAAGAATCCGGTCAAATTTGGTCAATCCACTTTTGTTGAATTCGAGCCGGTAGAAGTGATGTCACTTCCTCGCCACATTTGCTAATCACACACTCCCTGTTTGTTATTTTCAACTTTTTTTAAAGTATTTTGATGATATTTTCAGATGTATTAAATATTTTTCCTCAACCTATATGCGCACACTAAAATTACGTAATAAATACACTCTCTCCTGTTCACGTTGAAGGACTTGGTCAATACTTATGATAAGCCTTACAAAGTACGTCAAAACTCTACCGAGATCAAGCATATCCTATCCTTCCTAACCAAAGTGGTTGTGGCGTAGTAAAAAAGATTTCTCCACTCTTAATTATAGGTCGAACGTTCGAAACTCGCCATGAATATGGAGCAATTTCAAATACTTTGACAAACTGTTCCATCCATTGAGATGCCTACAATTCAGTTTACGGAGTTGAGATTCAGAGAGCATTTCTGACTTTGAGAGGATTTGGTAAAACTGTATTTTCATTCTGTGTTAGAAAAAGTTTTATGTACTTTACATATACATTAACACACGCCTGTACAATATTTAACTAACTACAACTATAGTATTTACACAAAACCCCTAATCTTTACAGAATATACAAACAAATCTCCAATCAATATTTACAATATATTCTACACTATCTTTACAATATTTACATCCCCCTCAAGCTCAGCATGGAGAAAATTTGACATGCCAAGCTTGGATAACAATGCTGCAAACAAAGGATAAGGCAGAGATTTTGTAAACACATCGGCAACTTGATCCTTAGAACCAACAAACAAAGGAACCAGAAACCCTTGAAGATAATGATGTCTTACTAAATGGCAATCAATCTCCAAATATTTCGTACGTTTATGAAACACTGGATTCTCCGTGATGTAAATAGCGGATTGACTATCACACCACAAGGGATCGGAGAAGAAAGCTGAATTCCAAAGTCAGAAAGAAGATAAGATATCCAAAGAAGCTCCCTAGTAGTTTGACTCAATGACTTGTATTCAGCTTCTGAAGAAGAGCAGAAATGGTGTGTTGTTGTTTGGTTTTCCAGGAGATGAGGGAAGTTCGAGGAAACACACAAAAACCACTTACGGCCCGACGATCAATGGGATTGGATCCCCAATCGGCATCACTAAAAGCCTCAACATGAAAAGCAGCATTTACAGAGTAAAAGAGACCCTTAGAATGACAGTTTTTCAGGTACCTGAGAACATGGTGGACTGCTGTCCAATGATCCTGACATGACTTCTGGACATATTTGCTAAGCTGCTGAACAGCAAAGGTGAGATCAGGCCTTGTGAAAGCAAGATAAAGCAATTGGCCAACCACTTGTCTGTAAAAAGAAGCATATATGAGAGTGGACCAGGATCATCTGTAAATTGATGACCCTTGGGAAGTGGAGTAGTAGCCGGTTTACAACCCAGCATGCCGATGTTGGTCAAGATACCCAGAACATTTTTTCGTTGGTTGATATAGATGCCATCAGCTGACCTGGCAATTTCAATGCCCAAAAAATACTTGGCTGGCCCCAAATCTTTAATGGTGAACTGTTGATGGAGAAAAGACTTGACCAACTGTATCGCATCTTCTTTCTCGCCTGCTATCAAAATGTCGTCAACATAAACCACTAAAGCCAAGAAAGATCCTGCAACCTGACCTGTGAAGAGACAAGGATCATTTGAAGATTTCTTAAAACCAAGAAACTTAACGTTTGCAGTGAATTCTACATTCCACTGCCTTGAAGCTTGTTTAAGGCCATACAACGATTTTCGCAGCTTACAAAACTGATTCGGAGCTACTGCAAACCCTTCAGGAGGGACCATGTATGCTTCTTCATCCAGAGATCCATGCAAAAATGCATTATTAACGTCTAATTGATGTAAGAACCACTGTTTTAAAGCTGTAATGGCTATAAGCAGTCTAACTGTTACCACCTTTGCAACGGGGGAAAAACTATCATAATAGTCCTCCCCCTCAACCTGACTAAACCCCTTTGCAACTAGTCTCGCCTTGTACCTGTCGATAGTACCATCAGAGTTGTGTTTGACTTTATACACCCATTTACATCCAATGGGTTGCTTTCCAGGAGGTAAAGAAGTCAAGCTCCAAGTTTCATTAGCGATCAGAGCATCTAACTCCTGCTGCATTGCCTCAACCCATGTTGGATCTGTTTTAGCTTGTGAATATGTTCTAGGTTCTTTGACACTATCAATCTTTGCTAAGAAAGAGAGATATTCAGGAGCAAAACCTGGTACTTGATAGAAAGAAAATGTGGGAAGTGTATGTGGCGAGCTGGAAGGAGGAATGACTGATGTTTGAGTTACCAGATGTGCTTTTGGTATTTCAAAATCCTGCATCCAAGTAGGATTGGTTTTGACTCTAGTGCTTCTTCTCAACACTGGCAAAGGATTTTGGTGGTTAGACGGTGAAGAGGCCGAAGATGGTGATGATGAGGAAGATGCTGTAGAGGATGAATGAGGTTTAGGAGTGGATGTATGATTAGAAGGTGAAGAAGAAGAATGAAGATCATCTACTAGTGTCACAAGGGGATATGAATAATCAAAACAATCATTTATCCCATCAGAAGAAGAAACTGCCTGAATTGAATATGATGAAATGGAAGTCTGAAAAGGAAATGTGTCTTCATGAAAGATCACATCCCTGGAAACAAACACTTTATGTGAACTCAAATCATACAACTTATATGTTTTTTGACCTAGAGGAAATCTTATAAAGGCATATATAATTGCCCTTGGTGCAAATTTTTCTTTATGAGGAATGATGTTTGTAGCATAACACAAACATCCAAAAACTTTGAGTTGATCTAGATTGGGAGATTTGTGATAAAGCATTTCGTATGGATTTTTCCAGTTTAAAACTGCTGAGGGTGACCTATTTATTAAGTATGTGGCTGTAAGAATAGTGTCCCCCCCAGAATTTTTTCAGAAGCTCTGACTGAAAAAAGAAGTGCTCTGGCTATTTAGAGAAGGTGGTTACGCTTTTGTTCTACAACAGCGTTTTGTTGTGGTGTGTAGGGAGTAGTTTTATGATGTATAATGCCTAATGATGCAAACAAAGATTGACAATCTGTGCTAGTGAATTATGCTCCATAGTCAGTTCTGACAATTTTAACAGCAATTTCATATTGAGTTTGTATCATACTTAGGAAATTAGAGAGAATGGAAACAGACTGAGCTTTTGTATTCAGAAGATATGTCCAAGTACAACGTGTAAAATCATCTACCAAAGTAAGGAAATAAGAAGCACCATTATAAGTATGATGCTGATAAGGCCCCCAGAAGTCTACATGGACAAGCTCAAAAGGTTTTATTGTATTTACAGAATGTATAGGAAAAACATTCCTATGTTGTTTTGCCAAGGGGCATACATCACAAACTTTGGAAGGTACATTATTGAAAGAATGAAAGCCTAATTTGCGCAACACTAAGTCTGGTACATGACCAAGCCTAAGATGCCACAATTCAGGATCTGAAACAGCTGCAAGATTGATTTGATGATTGACAGAAGATGTGCGTGATGCTGGTGTGTAGGTATGAAGTACATGACTATGAAGAAAAGAACTGATAATCTTGGATTTGAAAGAGGCTGAATCAAGAACATATAGACTTTGAAGAACTTTGCCAACTGCTACTACCTTCTTAGTCGTTTGGTCCTGTAAGACACAGAAAGTAGTAGAGAACATGCAGTCTATATGAGAGGAAGAGGCAAGTTTGTTTACAAAAAGTAGATTGTATTTAAAAGCCTGAACATGAAGACAATCATCAATTTTCAGGCTATTAGACAATATAAGGGATCATGTATGTGCTACTGTTTTAACACTGCCATCAGGTAAAGATACCGGGGTGTATTTGCTAACAGGTCTATGATAAAAAATAAAAAAAAGATGTAAATGAGGACTCATAGTACCAGATGCTCCTGTGTCTAGAAACCATAATGACAATAATTCACATTCAGCTAAAACAAGAGCATTTAAGGCCTTGAAATTGCTCATACCTGCAAAGTCATGATAATGACTAAAGTTCACATGTTCTGCATCCATCTGCATTGGCTGCTTTCCCTTGATGAGTTTTGCCATCTCAAGCTGCATGTTCTGCATATTCTTCATCATCACTGTAAGCTCATTAGGGCTGTTGGTGTTTGGAGTTGTAGTGGATACTGAACCATCTGAAATATCCACCAGGATAGCTGAATATTTGTTCTGAGAGTTCCTCTTTGCTTCTAAGTTGTCTTCCCACCAATCAGGATACCCAATAAGTTTGAAGCACCCAGTTCTCAAATGTCCAGTCACGCCACAGTTGTCACATTTCAGAAGCTTCTTTGCTGCTTTGTCTAACCTCAGATTGTTCTCCTTTCCTGTGTATGTGTTGTAATTGTTCTTCTTGAATCCATCTGAGTTGTCCCTTGATCCAGAATTGGCTGACCTAAATGGAGTTTTAGATTCCATAAGTGCACTGTGATCACCAGGTGCATCATACATCTTGTTGACAACCTGCTGTTTCTCCACATTAGTGCCATGGAATATGTTTTCTTCACCTCTGGCAAATGTTCCATAATCAGTATTTGATCTCCGATAGCTGTGTATGATTCGTTGAGACCACTCAAAAATTGCATTAACTTGTGTCGATTTTCTCTGCCTCTATTTTTGGTGAAACCACAAGTGCAACCATTGCAGACACAAACATCAACAGGATCTACATGATCAAGTTCATCCCACAATCTCTTGAGTTTAGAATAGTATGCAGCCAAAGTAAGATTTCCCTGAGCTATGGTTGCTACTTCCTGCCTTAGTCTGTACACTTGTGGACCATTACTAGTACCAAATCGATCTCTAATTTCTTCCCACAGTTCTAACGCCGTATCAACCAGATTAAAATCATCAAAAATTTCTGGAGCTATTGAATTAAGAATCCAAGAAACAACCGTATCATTAACCCTAAGCCATTGCTCATAACTAGCATCTTCAATACCAGGTTTCAGCACAGTTCCATTCACAAATCCTAGCTTATTTTTCGTTCCAAGAAAGCGCTTAACCGCATGACTCCAAGAAATATAGTTAATCTCATTAAGTTTGGTAGAAACGATTACCATTGACGAATTATCCGACGGATGCAAAATCAAAGGATGATGATAGCCTCCTCCATACTGCGGATGTTCCTCGTCGTCTTCTTCCATCATCTCTGCGTTTGCGCTCACGATTGACCGCCATTGATTCCGATCGATCGATTTCTTGAGTTCGAACTTAGGGTTTCATTTGAAGTAAAAGAAATGAACAAGATCTGAGAAATTAAGGATATGTTGATTTAGACATCAGTAGTGGCTCCGAGCAGGATCAAGACCTGCTCTGATACCATCTTCGGAATTGAGATTCAGAGAGCATTTCTGGCTTTGAGAGGATTTGGTAAAACTGTATTTTTATTCTGTGTTAGAAAAAGTTCTGTGTACTCTACATATACATTAACACACGCCTGTATAATACTTAACTAACTACAACTATAGTATTTACACAAACCCCTAATTTTTACAGAATATACAAACCAATCCCTAATCAATATTTACAATATATTCTACACTATATTTACAATATTTATATTCAACATGGGAATTAATCACTGTTGCCGATGGTGAGCACTCTGCAAATATGCCAAAAACAAAAAAAATTCCTATCTTTCCTTGCATTTTTTAAGGAAACGTCATTTTTATTAATATGAAATATTTTTTTTTGAGGGGTGTGTGTTATTAATAAATACTATCTTCTAGTAGTAGTTCACACTAAGTTAAAATAAGACAAATCTCGATGATCTATTTTGAATTGATATGAAATTATACGCTTTTTGCCATCAATTGCAGGAAATTTGAAGGGCAGCCTGGGCAGGGATCCGCCTTATTATTGATTAGTAGTCGTTGTTACTTGTCACTTCTCAACATTGGATTGTGGCATGTGAACTAATTTCCTCCATTTTTTTTTAATTTTTTTTTTTTGTGTATGAAGGAAAAGACGAATGGCCGGAATGAGGATTTTTTCCATCGCCCTCGCCTCCCAATGCAAAAGAGGCTTCATCTATGCTATTCCCTCAATGTCGAAAAGAACTTTTAATGTAAATTATCATTTTAAGTACAGATAAAATTAAAATTAAAAATTTAAATTGAATAATCATTTTGTGGCAGAAAGAATATTAGTTAATCAAAATATTAAAAACAGTCACAAAGGAATTAATACACCCAATTGTGTCGATAAGTATGAATGTAATCAAGAACATTCGAAGGTGGCTCATTTGCCACTAATTACATCTGTTACCTTTGCATAATTTTTTCTGTGAAATTCTAGTGTCGTGTTCTAGTACTTTATCTTATATATGTATAAGATCCATTGTTGAGTTTGATTGTTTACTAACGAAAGTGGATAGATAAAATGTCATACTATCACTGCTTTAATTTGTAAACTTTGATTTAAGCCGCGTAATTGTGATTACATCGCACACTTAACACTTTATTCTATTGTAAGTCTTAAGACACGCAGTTATTTTATCCAACATGAAACAGTACAGGTGGCATTTGGAATCGAGAAAACGATTAGATTAATATTGCTTTATACTCCATCCGTCCCATGTTATTGTCCAGTTTGATTTTTCACTTTTAATACAATTTAAACTAAAAATGAAAACTCAAACAGAACAATAATTATTGGACAAAGGGAGTATAAAGTAAGAGAGAAGAAAAGGGAAATAATTAATAGGTCAATCATAATCTTGAAACGAAACGATTCATGCTGATAAACACCAACCAAAAAACATGAACTTAAAAGGGTTCAACGTCGAAAGAAGAAGAAGAAGAGTAAATATCATAGGAACAAACCAGCTTAATACTGAAATTGATGACTAAAACAAAAAGGACATAAGTTACTAGCAAAATCATCCATCTTCTTCATCATTAATATATAGGAGCTCCCAACATTTCCACCGGCTGCTTCGCATCTACAATGACAAGGACAAAGTAGGAGTTATCAGTAACATTATCTACTGTTAACATTTTCACTAGTGTAGGAAAAAAAAAATTAAAAATTTCTGGGGATGGACAATTGTTCATCAGAAAAATTAAGGGGCCACTCACCACAGCTTGGCTAAATTGTTAACTGCAAAGTCAATCCATTTTGGAACATCCGTCTCTTTCCCACCATTTCTCCTAATTATAATAGACTCCATGTAATAGGAAAGACGGGTTAGCTCCTTCACATGGTCCACAAGTTCGACACTAAGCTCTTCAAGGCAGTAGTTGTGAGTGTGAGTCCCAGTTGACGTCCGGCCACTTATGTCTTTCATGATAGTTTTCAGATGATTAAGGGCTGGAGCTGGTGGAGGGCAGCTTACTAGTAATAAAAAAAATAAAATAAAAAAATCAGAGAGGCATATCAGAGAGACAACGAAATAGGGGGGGGGGGAAGGGGGTAGAAGAGATTAATTAAGGGCTAAAGAATTTTCTTGCCAAAATCAGCCAGGAATTTCTCGTGCTCATCAATGTCATCCACCATCCTTAGTATCTTTTTGTGGGCTCGGTGGAGCAGATCGCCACAGTTTTTCGATTTCTTGAATTGGCCTTTGAAAATTGAAGTAAAAATATTCAAAATGGGACGACTGAAATACAGAAGAGATAACGGAAGAGATTAATTTAGGCCATGAGACTTGTGACTTACCCCTTTTGGTCCGTCCCAGGGGGAGTTCCTTTGGATCTTTATCGTCAAACAAAACACGCAGTAAATGGAGGAATCGGAGACGCTGATTTTCAAGTACAAGTTTCAGCAAACCAGATGTTTCCTTCAACTTAGAATCAAACTCGTCAGCCATTTGCTTGGATCGAACCGGGGGAGAAAAACACAGGGAAACAGAGTGAGGGTAGCAAAGGTGCAAAATGCTGGTGCGACTTATGATCCAACAGAAAAATGAAAGCACATGAAATAAAAGGAACGTAGCAAAAGCCAAAAGGGGGTTCTCTTTATGTGTGTGTGTGTGTGAGAGAGAGAGAAAAAAAGAAGAGATTAGGAATACTACTAGTGTTTCTTTCTTTTTGTTTCTGTACCCCAAGAAAAACAAAAAAAAAAAAGAGAACCATTTTTCCTTATCTTTTAAGTCGTGTCATGTGTGTTACGCGTACCGTGTAGTCACAATTACACACCATTAAGAATGTAGTAATTGTTTAGTGAATTTCTTTTGTATACCAAACATCTATATATTATATCCCTAATTAAAGGTACCGGACTTATAAAAATTGTTTAAGGAGTTAAAAAGATTAGTAAATAATTACTTTAAAATTCTAAAACCCCATACATATTTTTTACAAATCCTAATATTTTGAAATGTTAAGGGTGTAGAGTAATTACTAACTATTATGTGAGATACATATGGTATGACAAAAGACCAAAAAAGAAAAACCAAAAAGGATTTGGACTTGGAGTTTATGATCACCATATCAAACTTATTCAAGCTTCGTACTAATTTTATATTTAACCTGTCATCGGATTTAAGATACAAAGGAATCTTAAAATGAGTTCGGCAATCTTATTGAGTGATCAGTTCACTCCCGCCATTTTCATATGTAATTATCAAATAAACCAATTTAATCTGATATCTTGCATTTTTTTTTTGGTGGGTACAATGTAACCATTGTTTACCAAAATTATTTGCTTCGGTTTCCGTATTAATAAGAGTTCACTAACAAGAAAAAAATCCTCTCAAAAGGTGTAGTACATTTAAGTTTATAGATAGATAGCTGTAAGTTGCAACCAAGAAATCGTCGCAAGGATACAGAGCAGTAGCTGTCCTTTGAGGCATTGATTCTCCCTTTAGTGATTGGCTCTTAAGTTGCTTTATATCAGAAGAACACAGGCTTTTAATGCGGGTTAGAGAACCAAGAACAGATACACAAAATCATTTGTCAAGATTGTCGATTTTTTCTGCCAAAGCCATTTTCAAAACATGTTACAAGGGATGTGGGTGACTGCGTGTTTGGTGGTGTGGTCTGTGTACTATACAAAGAGTCACGAGAAGTTGAAGACACAAGAGGAGGGAGGAAAAAAATTGAATGGCGTGAAGGTAAAGGCTAATAAATCACACCGAACTACCATTTACATGCAAGTTACTTCATGTCTCAGTTATGCATACGTCACTGCTCCAGCATTGATTTCTCTTTGATTTTTTTTTTGTTTTTTTCCTTTTCCTAACACAAGAATTGCCCTTTCCGACGTGAAGAGCCAAGTAACGGTGAACTTGACGCCGGCGTGACAAGTAGTAGCGTCAAGGAAGAAAAAAGGTAAAGTAACGGTGAATTGATGCCGGCGTGACAAGCAGTAGGCTTTCTGAAATCTGAATACTTATTAAGCCCACAGAATATAGGTTAGGACTACAAACAAATTGCGATTTGCAGAGCTATATATTTATTTAGTAGCATATCAATTTCCAGATGTATTAAGAAGACAATTGTATGGTTAGCATAAAAAACTGTGTCTATTGAAAAAGCCACAATAGGGTTACATCCGAAATTGTATTATTCCCTTCGTCCCAAAATTATTGTCCAGTTTAGTTTTTCATTTTTAGTTCAAATTGTACTAAAAGTGAAATCTTAAACTGGACAATAATTTTGGGACGGAGGGAGTACTTTGTTGCATATCAATACACCAATTGTCTTCTTATGCAACAAATCCTAACATTTGCCGGAAAGTAATAGAATGACCAAACTATCCTTCCGTACATGAATAGGGTTACACTAAGAGTTCGGAGACCTAAGAAGTCCTCAAATGTTTAAGTCCTTGATTATTCTGAAATGTTCTTTGTAACTAGGTATGTTTTGAAGTAAAATTACATACATGAGTACGGTGTAACGGACTTGATACTCTCTCCATATATAGAAACTGATGGTACTGCCTGCTTGTTAATCACACGTTACAAGTTATCAATCTGGGTGGGTTAGATCGTTATCCACGACGACTCGTGAAATTGTGGGACGAAAGCCCCGGGGGAATTTTCCACGACACTCGTATATCATAGTTGATGGAAATTGATCTATCTCATCACGAACAAAAACATACAAGTACTCCAAGTTCTTTATTTATCTCCTTATAGTATTATAAAATGGTATAACTATCCGTTCGTAATAAATCCAATTCCAATCCTACAAGTTGTTAACTTCTTAGAATTTTATTTATTTATAACCATTAAAAGGGACACAAGCATAGATTGAGCATCCCATGGTCCTTTCTAGCTTTGTCCCCTAAAAACACAGCTTTGATCTGACGATAGGAAGATGCACCAGTGCATTAAGCTCTAGCTGGATTCACACACACACACACACTTGAGGTTTTCTTCTCTACCATTGGTATATGAGATAATGTTTCCAAGGGAACTAAAATGTCATCAAACCATGGAAGACCAACCAAAAACGTGATTTACCCTTGTCATTATTTAGCTAAAGAACAAAGATTCGTGCAAGATGAAAGTGTCTTAGCCCTTTATTGCTGATTTATTTGTTCTCGACACAAAACGAAACGGACTATAGTTCACCAATATCAACAAGCAAAAAAGTATGCATAGTTTGTGTTTATTACTACAACTTTTGACCCAGTTTGGATGCAATGAAATTATCACTCATCACTTTACCAGAATTCTGAATTTGGACTGATTGGCAATGAATACACTGTACCATACAAGATATCAAATCAGGCCATATTACCATGACATGAAACAGCAGTCGATCAAGTCCCCTTTAGAAGAGTAAATAAGTTTTCCCAAAATACAGTAAAAAAAACATAACATCAAGAGAAACAGAACGGAGCTAATTAATTTAAAGTACTGAACCAATTCAACTGAAACATTGTGGCATGGAAGAGGTGCGAAATGTTAAAACATTTCCAGCCAGCAAAACATCACCTAATATAAACACTCCCATGCTCTCACATTATAATCGCTCTAAGGTCTCCATCCTCGAACCAATCTGCCATATTACCCGTGCTTCCTTGCTCCTTAAAACTGATAATTCTGTTCATATAAAAATGATGGCGACTCGCTTCTTTCACGTAGTCGTCAAGCGCACCGGAAATCTTGTGAACAGAATAAGCATGGGTGTGAGTTCCAGTGGGCTCCCGAGCATGCATCTCTCCTATGGTGTTCTTGAGTTCTGGAATTATTGTTGAAGGTGCTGTGGGTGGAGCTGAAAAAACGGTAGCAACAGCGAGGTTAACAATAAATTAAAATCAACAAAACAAGAACCAAAAAAATGAACATAACAAGGAAGATGTATACTACCGTAGAACGAGAGAAAATCCTCGTGCACATAGAGTATTTGAGCCAAATCCACCGCACGCTGAAAGATAAGCGTCAGCATTTTGGCGCAGTTAATCAACTTAAGGCTACCTGCAACACCAAGACCAAGCCAGGAAATAGAAATCACATTCAGGGGGAGAAATGGATCCGGAAGAAAAAAAAAAGAAGAGAGAGTTGGTAAGAGAAACAAAAGAAACTAACCGATATCCGACACTTTGACGTCCAGAACCTGGTTCAGTTCCTGATCAAAACCTAAATCCTCCTCTATGGCGAGGAAACGGACCCGATGTTCTTCAATTATCTCCCCCATAAGAGTGATGACTTTGGTTAGTAAAGCATCGAAATCAGGAGCCTCTTCTTCATTCGCCATAGCAAGCCAGCAACAGGACAAGAGAGAGAGAGAGAGAGAAATAGTTGTATTATATTTGTTCTGGCTTCTTCTGCAAAAATTAAAGTGCACAGCTAGCTCTCTGAATGAATCCTTTTACAGTTAAAAGCGTTTTGAGGCTTTCTAGTATTCTGGCTAATCAACGTTGTAATGGGACCATGTTACGAATTGGGTGGGAAGTGAAATGGCAGAAAAAAGAACAACAAAAAGTTTTGTGCCAATTTCGTGTGTCAGATACAACCTGATTTGTGTGATCTTTGACCATCATGTTCATGATCATACTACCACACTTCCTAGTTGAGATGGGTGGTCCAGATTAAAAAGGCATTTTCCGGAATTTCAAAAACCCTAATTTTGCTGCTTCCGGGGTTTTACTTTATTACCGTGGTTGATCCAAAGGTTATTTTAATTCCATCATTACTTACTTTCACTTCCCTTTCCTCCCCCCTCCCCCGCTTTTACTTCGTTCTTGCCCTCCAAAAAATTATCTAACACATACTCGCATAATTGGTCAAATTAAAATACTTCCTCGTCCCATAAATTAAACATAATCCAAAAATATAAATTGTGAATTAATTACTCTGCTTTTAATATAATTTCCATTTTACATTGTTGGTTATGTTATGGGACAGGAGGAGTATTCTTATTTAGCTGTTGATAATGATAATAATTCACTGTTACTGATTTAGGGAGGATGTGGGATGGAAAATATTACTCTATTAATTGATATGATATCATTACTTAATATGAATTTTGTAATTTTGCCACTTTTTCTTTTCCAAAAGTATTGTTGGTTTAATTTATACTAATGGCGGACCTTTTCATTGCCTGGGATGTGAATATATTTCGATATACTTTAGTAAAAAAAAAAAAAACCCTTTTTTCCTCATCTTTTAAGTCGTGTCATGTGTGTTACGCGTACCGTGTACAGTGTAGTAACAATTACACACCATTAAGAATGTAGTAATTGTTTAGTGAATTTCTTTTGTATACCAAACATCTATATATTATATTCCTAATTAAAGGTACTGGAATCATAAAAATTGTTTAAAGAGTTAAAAAAGATTAGTAAATACTCCATCCGTCCCATAATTATTGTCCAATTTTACTAAAATGAAAAATTTATGTTTAGTCAAACTTAACTATATTTTACCTTAAATAACCGGACATACCCCTACATAAGTAATTGTTTAACCACTAAGATTTTATGGATAATATTTTTTACTAAGGACAAATGTGTAACTTGATCCATAAAAAGTCAAATTAGACAATAATTTTTGGACAAAATTTTTGGGGAAAGTGAACAATAATTATGGGACGCAGGGAGTAATTACTTTAAAATTCTAAAACCCCATACATATTTTTTACAAATCCTAAATTTTGAAATGTTAAGGGTGTAGAGTAATTACTAACTATTATGTGAGATACATATGGTATGACAAAAGACCAAACAAGAAAACCAAAAAGGATTTCGACTTGGAGTTTATGATCACCATATCAAACTTATTCAAGCTTCGTACTAATTTTTTATTTAAGCTGTCATCAGATTTAAGATACAAAGGAATCTTAAAATGAGTTTGGCAATCTTATTGACTGATCAGTTCACTCCTGCCATTTTCATATGTAATTATCAAATAAACCAATTTAATCTGATATCCTACATTTTTTTTGGTGGTACAATGTAACCATTGTTTACCAAAATTATTTGCTTCTGTTTCCGTATTAATAAGAGTTCACTAACAATAAAAAGTCCTCTCAAAAAGTATAGTACATTTAAGTTTATAGATAGATAGCTGCAAGTTGCAACCAAGAAATCATCCCAAGGATACAGAGCAGTAGCTGTCCTGCCAATGTTCACCATTTTTTCTTTCATCTCTTGGATTGTTCTCTCATGGACGAGTGCAATGTTGGACGAGTGCAATGTCGTAAGCATGACACATAGTCTCTGGTTTGCAATCCTCAATACGTTGTTTTATAGCTGGCTTGAGCCCACTCAGAAATCTGGAAACCAAATAATCTTCAGAGAGTAAATGATTCCTTTCCAACATCAAGTCTTTCAATTCCTCAAAACTTCTCCTGGTAGTATGCCTTATTGGTGGTCTGCTTGAAATTATGGAACCCTCTAAAGTCTGGCTCATCAAGGGACTCATCAGCTGACATGACAGGCTTGGACACATCGATGTTGTTTTCCTTATTAACAAGACTGTTCACGCTAGATAAAATTTTATCAAGTCGCAACGACAGAGTTGTTATAGTGGCCATTAAGTTGGTTACGGAAATCATAAGGGATCCAACACATGTTTCATCTTCCTAAGAAGACCTAACCCGCATAGTGGTTGATTGGTTCTTGCCCTTTCTTCTCCCATGATGCAAATGATGATTATCTACTTGAAAAACTGGAACCAACTAATCATAAATCTGTAAATATTTAGAGGGGATATCAAAAGGTGGAAAAGAGGGTTCAAGTAAAAGCAATCTAACGTCGCCAAAATCTCAAATATAGAGGGCTTCAAGTTTACAATGCACTTCCTGAAGTATTACTAGAAAAGAAGGTAGATGATGGTCATAATCTGCATTTTCAAGGAACAAAATTACTAAAATCTTGCCTTCATTTTCACAATATATCACCACAATGTCCACACAAAATTTTATATAGTCTGTGTCAGGACAATTATCTTAGAAGAGAGGGAGTAACACCTACTTTATTAGATACATGAATAATCGGTACAAAATAATTATGAAGAACTGCATAGAATCGAAGAGGAAATCCAGAACATCTCACAAATTAGATAACTCACCAGAATAATGAAGAAGGAGAGAAAAAAAATAAAGAAAATCATTTCAGCACGAGACAGTAGAAGAACAAGTTAATTGCATGCATCAACAATAGGTTTTTCAATTTCCTCAGATCAGCTACCTTTTTGATTAATGATATAAAGCAAACACATTACCGGATAGTAGCCGATGGAAAGTGGGTCCGATCTTTGTTCTCTCATCTATAAGTAATCCACTTGTGTGACGTCCAAGTCCAATGCTTTTCTCCGGATTTTGCTTCCTTTATTATACTTACTGAAATCACTCCCTCCTCTATTTCCCTACTAACTAGAGTAAAAGAGTAATTAAACGGACTTACAAATTACAGAATCTTGTGTCTTGACCTTGCAACGTTGGCCGAAAATGTTAGAAGGAAGTTGAATTTTGAGAAGTGAACACGTATATGCTTGCCTTATATGCTTACCAAGGTGGTATAATTGCTTCATTTTTGGATGTTTTTACAGTTTGTTTGTTGGCTTTATAGAGAAGGAAATTGTCCAAGCAAAAGACTTCATCCTGAAGCAGCTGAAGATTGAAATGACTTGTTGAGATGGTGGTTCTGTGGAGACAGTACGTGCTGGGGACTCCCTGGTGAGTTTTTCTGAAGTCGTGGACAATTTTTCTGAGTATTATTTTATTATTACTAATGGCCTCCTTTCAGTAAGCATGCAGTCTGTCAGCCCAAGAATGCTGATATCGTCATATTCAAGCAAGGCTGGAGTTACTGGTGGATGATATTGTAGTCTAGTTTTTATCAACAAAACACTACCGTTTTCTTATTGAGAATGTTAGCCTTTCTAAAGCATCTCTTTCAATTCTTGTGTTGCGTTCATTAATTTGTTTGCTTTGTTATTTCTTCCTTATTTGGTAAAAAACCTGTAAATATATCTTCAGATAAGACTGAGTTGTCCTAGCCTACAAGGTCTATCCAGGTAAGACTGCTCATATAGTACTAAACTGTTGCTACAAAAATTGCTTTAGGAGGGAACAAATGTTGAATGATCTGCTCCTCGTTGGTTCTTGCTATTCATGATTCTGACATTTAGTAGAGAAATTGGCTAGTGATCATCATACTTGTGGTTAGAATTTACATGGCATGTAAATTGTAACTCTCTGGTGGCATTACTGACCGTAGTTTGTGATTCACTAGTTTGGCACCTAGAAATAAATAGAGTTCAATCGTCTTTATTCCACATTCCCACTAGCTACTAGCTACATTGGCAGCCAGAAAACTTCTAGAAAAAAAAGTTCAAACCGGATAACATGCATCAATGAAACGGCGAAAGTGAGAGTTGGCACGCTAATACAATACAAATCAACATTCTAACCAGTATGAAGTATACAATCATGAAGTCCCAACAAACTTATTATTGGCAACTGAAAAGTCTGAAATACAAAAAGTGAAGACTGAAGACAGAATGCAGCATGTGTCTCCCTTACAAAAGCATACCTGCAAAACCATGAGAACAAATAGCTTCAACGATTTGCATGGCATATGTTATTGATTAAATACATTAACAAAAATATTCAAAAACAATAACAAGGTCATCTTCCAATAGGACACGAGAAGCCGTAACAGCAGAACAGAGAATTTTTACTGGTAATAGGAAATGAACCTATCTGACGTCAAAATGAAAGTATTCTGGAAAATGAGTATGATTCGGTTGAAAGCCATTACTCATCTAAAATGCGATGCGAAAGCGACCTAATCGATTATGAGCAACTATATCTCTTAGGCATATTTGAGTGGCTTTATCTTCTTCCCTTTTTTTCATGAATTCAATGTAAGTGAATTTTCGAAATGGATAGAGTTGTCCTGACGAGAAATTGGAATGCAAAAGGCTAGTAATCGCACTCAATTCCGGGGCATATGAAGAAATTCTAAGAAAAGTTTTAGAGCAGTCATATTTGAATGCCTAAAGTTTTACAGCCCACGATCAGTCCATGATCATGATGCATCACTCCATAAACAACTAAACTGCTTAAAATCAAATGCAAGGCCAAGATTGTAATGACTCAAGCAATTATTCAATGCAGAAACCACCTAAGTAACATGAACCATTCATGCTTACACAAGCTTATTGATGCTGGAGACATAAAAACCATCAACATACCCAGTACCTTCTCAACCAAGGTGGGGTCTGGGATATGCAGTTTAATTGAACTTGTACCAGAAAATAAACAAAGAAGCAGATGACATGAAATTACTAATGCGGGAAACAAGAAAGGATGGGCTTGGGAGTCCATGTCAATGGCGCAGAAACCAATGCCACGTTAATCCGGCTAAAATCCATGTTTATCACTTACTAGTCACAAATCTGGCAAACGTTGGCTTTTTCTGGTTTGTCTGATGAAGTGGGGGTTCTATTCTCCTTCCAACCATATGAGTGACAAAGAAATGTGTCATACTCTAAACATTAGGAAGCTCTGATCATCATACAAATAATAAATACTCAAAGCCTTTCAAAAAAGCAGCTCGATTCTAATGCTTAACCTCTAATGAACAATAGAGCATACAATTTTTTAGAGCTCCTATCTAATTTCCTCCTCTTGTAGTTGAGATAACTGCCAGGATTGAACAGCAAACATTTTCTACAACCAGTGTTTAAACTCTGGACAAGGTTTACGGCTTATAAACACATTCAGCATGTAAGATGCAATTTTAAATGTAGTGCCCCAAATTTGATACAAAAGCTTGAATTCAAAAAATGAAATTTGCCGACGATGCGTATTCTATATCAGATCAGTTCATTTTCATACGATGAAAATCTATGGACAGAAATGGTTTGAAAGCATCACAATCACCCCCAAATGTTTCATTAATCAAAGCAAACCTAGAAACCCGAAATTGAAACATACCCACAAAAATCAAATCCAAACCCTCAATTCTAGAGTTACCATCTGAGCCATAAATCGAGACCAATCTATTTAATTAGATGTTGATCAATGGAAATGGTAGACAAAATGAAATGGAAAGGGAGCAAGAGCCCTCACCTTATGATTCTCAGTGAGAGTGAGAAACCGTAGCAGAAGAAGACGAGGAGGCATGAGAATGAGAGTGACTGGGAGCATAGATCTTGTTGTAAACAAATTCTCCGGCGAGGTAAACTCCGAAGGCAGCCAGCCCGAGGCCAAGTCCGGGGACGGCGTGGCGGAACTGGTTTGTCAGCATCGGATGCTTCCTCCACTCATCCCTCCTCCTGAAGAACTCACCGGTGGGACCCAGCGGCTTCGCCATGATTAACAATTTTTCAAAAAAAGAAAAAAACTCGAGATAATCTGCAGTTCTTACGGTTTTTCTTCCTCTTCTTCTTCTCCTCCCAGCTCGGCAATTGACGATTGGCGATGAACTCCACTGCTTGACTGTGAATTTTTTTGGACCTTTTGGGGACTAAGTGGGCCGATGGGCTCTTAGGGAAATTTTTAGTAGTATTTAGAATTGAGTTACATTATATGGGCCTATACTGAGATGGATAAGCGAGTACGAATATGAGAGTTTTAGCCAACTTGTTCTCATGATTTTTGTAGAGTCATTTTTAATATTTCAATAGTTTTTTAAGTTTTTTTTTTTTAAAAAAAAAAAAAAATTCTAACCCACTTGGACTAAAAAGGTAATGATAAAAGTTTTAAAACTTTTTCTCATCGTTGAAAAGCGGCCAGTGTATTCTCAAATTTTTGCGAATTCGACATCAAAACCCTAAATCGATCCATTCATATGATTATTAGAGAGATGTGGATAAATACGATGTCGCCATATGAGAATTAATTAAATTGCTTGAAATAAGGTTAACACCATTGTTTCAATTTGCTAATGTTAAACTGGGGAGGGGACTGAGCATATACAGGGGAAAAAAAGTGTATTCCTATCATTTAGCTAAGCAAATATTCTAGCAAATGTCTAAGGGATATTTTAGATATTGGAACCCTTTGCCCCTTTGGGTTTAGGCTTCATACTTGCAACAAAGACAATTTTTATTTTATTTTTAGGAGCAGAAATCTTCATATTGAACTGTTTGATAATGGGTTTGACATTTTTCCTGTTAATCTTAACAATCCCAGCAAAGAAAATCGCATAAGATAATAGCTTTGATGGATTGGAAAGAACATCCAAGTATGAGAAATATTCATCTAACCTCTTTTCACCATTTTTTATTGTTCCATAAAAATTGCCTGGACCTAAGAATATTCATAAGTCCAGTATCTAAAAGCTTTACATGATATTTCATGTGCCCATTAAAAAAAAAATGGAAAATCAAGAAAATGAATAGCAGTATGTATAGGAATTTTGAGATTTTTCTAATAGAAAGGGGGAAAAAAGAGAAAAGAAAGGATTTTCCTGCTTCCTCAGTTTTCCCATCCCATTCAATTCCTGAGTCTGCTTGTCCTTGGTGTTTTTGCACATGCTCCAAACAATGAAAATCGCGCACCCTTTCTTGAACGCACAGGAGTTCCTTGTTGAAGCTACATTATCATGTATATTCAGATTTTCAGGCATAGAACATGAGAATGAAGTCCAACAACTTGACAAGAATATTGCAGTGTCATGTCATACCTTAGCCCTTCTTTGGGGTTTGGTGCTATTCCAACAAAAGAGCCCGCTGCAACCACCAGCTGGTCCAGATTCATAGCCCCTGAAATACATTCCAAAAAGGCAATTATGGTCCTGCCCTCAAATTCCATATAAACAAAATTGGAAGTGTTTTAAATGCATGTCGACATGACAACCAAACTGGAGACATGTATAGGTGCAACTTACAAGTTCTCTTTGCTGTAATTGCCAGCCAAGTTGTCATGCAACAAGCTAGGGGACATGGGAAACCGATCAACCCTTTTACTAATCTGATCCTTTTTGAGAGTCTTTCCATCATCAATCTTCAAGTTCTTTATGTCTCGGCTTAATTCATCTTCCCACTCCTTAGAAGACACATTAGCTGAATTTGTAGAGTCCAATTGAACATGTTGATAAATTCCTTCTTGTGGTAGGACTTGATTTTTCTCAGGCCTCACACGACTTGTTGATCCAGGAGTTCCTTTTTCCATAGCCTGTAACCAGGCAGTTTCTAACCTTTGCTCACGGATAATGGACTCTATCCTATGCACCGGAACTTCTGGCTTTCCTTCTCTAGCAGAACTCTGCTTACCATTTGCAGCAGAAGGCTCATAATTTCCAGCCAACTTGTCGTCCGAATCATTGAAGCTTCCTCTTGATATTTTTATGGACTCCTGATATGCATCGAGATTAGAGTGATCACCTGTTGCATTGGATAAAATTTCTGTGTCTTCCATTTTCAACAAATTTGTTGCGTTCACCGGCTTTTCAGTATCTGGGTTTACTTTGCTTGCAGGGACATCACCATCGGGCAAAAGAATAATCCTAACCTCCACAATGCTCCTCAAAACAGTTTCAAAGGAGTTCGTGATGCTGCTGTGAAACCTTTCTGCTCTGGTTTTTATATCACTATCACCAAATGCAATGTAACCAACAAAATAGCCTGAAAGATTTAAGACCACACAAGATGAAGAGGAGTGCACTGTCAAATATAGAAATAAATGTTCTTCCAGTATGTCTTAAAGGTTACCTTCCGCTTCAGATATGGAAACAAGCTTCCCATAATCAAGAAGCAGTTGTCTGAGAGTCTTAGAATGGCACTTTTCAACGCACTTTAACCAGATATCATCCAATACGTCAGATGCCATGCGCCGAGATGTGCTCTTCCCTGAAAGAGCATCATCGGATGAAACATCTTCTTTTGTAATTCGGTGCTGACCAGGACTTGGCCCAGAGCCAACATTAGTCAAAGAAGATGAAACTTCTTTACTGTTTGATTTTCGGTTTGCAGCCTTTCTGAAAGATGTGGGGGAGCCCGACATCCGAAGTGCAAACTGGGCAGAAAGCTTATGATTTTCAGCACTATCTCTCAATGTACTGGAAGGATCATCTTCTGTAGCCCTGGAGCTCTGTCTTCTACTGCTTCCAGAATGTGTTCGATCAGGTGAGGACATAGATCCAAGCTGTAACAATGTCGCCGTAAACCATGTTGACCGTTCACTTGTAACCCTTAATTGTTTTTCAGCTTCAGAAAGAAGTTTCAAGGCACGCTTCAATCTACCTAGCTCCGCTTCAGTCACTGTAAATGAGATCCAACCTCTTTTAGAAGCAGAACAAATCTAACACAGTTGCAACTTATATCTGTTGCTAAAAATTTCTATGTTATTTCTTGAACATAATTTATGGAACAGACAAGGGCCTGCGTTATGCGCAGCTACATGTCTGTCGAAAAAGAGATACATATCGTAAACCCTGCCGTACACATTGGAAAGTTTACAGAAAAGACAAGCAATCCTAATAAGAAACTAGACGTCTCTCTTTACTTTTTCACCAGATAAGAAAGGATTTCTCTCAAGTTCTCATCTGTTCTCCCATGCATTAACCCATTACCAACAGCCAAACGTTACTAGCTCTTATGTTTATCGAACTAAGACTACAGACTCCAGCTTCGTGAACATTGACCAAAAGAGAAAATTGAGAAACATATCTATCCAAAATTGGCAGAAAGGATAGCCTAGTGCAAAAGAAGAAAGAAATTACAACTGTAACATAAAAAAAGGGCACTTACAGCTTCTCCCATTGAAGAACGAACTGTTATATCTAGCATCAGCAAAGGGATAAGTTCCAGCAATGATATCCATTATTATAGTGGCCATTTGGGACATTAAAACTATTGGATCAACTCCAGAATCCATCAATTCTCTAGCTCTCCTCACAGTTTCTGCAGTGTCAGATGACATTGCTAGCTCCAAAAGTTCCAATAATTTCTCATCAGAGATAACCCCAACCTACAGACAGCAGCATGCATATGAGAAGAAGAGAAATATTGCAGTAGTTTCCTATCAATAGCGAGATGGCCCTTGAAAAATCAACAAAGAATCACACCAAATATGGAGCAAATGGATAACATATTAACATGCTTGGCCATATGAAAAAGTGTATAAATCTACAGCACGAATATTAGGAAAAAAAACACAAAACAAAATCTGCCAGCTGGATAAGATATTAATGGTCGAGACCAGAACAAACTTTACTTAATTAATTTAAAATTTAACTGTTCCAAATGACAGTGTATACTTACAAGCTCATTTACTAGAGAAGTAGTTATCCTTTTCCCCAATAAACTCAATTGGTCTAGCATCGTTTCTGCATCACGAAGCGAACCATCTGCATTCATTGCGATCAAATCTAGAGCATCAGATTCAACATCTAAATTTTCCTCATCAGCAATCTTTGTCAATCTCGCCAAGATGTCAACATCCCTAATCTTGTTGAACATGTATTTCTGGCACCGCGACAAAACCGTACGTGGCACGTTATCAAGATCAGTTGTTATCAGGATAAGAACAACATTTTGAGGTGGCTCTTCAAGGAACTTAAGCAATGCCAACCATGTCTTTTTAGGCAACAAATGGCACTCATTAATGACAAACACCTTGTAGCTCGAAGAGACAGATAAGGAACCCGCCAAAAGGCCTTTCAAAAGGTACCTTATGCTATCAATACCTTTCTTATTAGCACCATCAACTTCTATGGTATCCTTGCTATTTCCAGAAACAAATTCATTACATTCTCTGCAAACTCCACAAGGTCTGGTTTCATCAGAGGCAAGGCAATTCAAAGCTGCTGCAAGCACTCTAGCAGTTGAAGTCTTCCCAGTTCCCCGAGGACCTTGAAAAAGATAAATGGGTGCAATTCTTTTTTTTGAAATTGCATTCATGAGGGACTGAACCACAATATTCTGACCAATCAATTCTTCGAAAAACATTGGCCTGTATTTATGGCTTAGACTTCTTAGGTTATCTGGGGATCCTTCTTCTTCTCCTGGCATGGGAGCAAATTCTAATCCATCTTGGCTCCTGCAACTTGTAGACCACCGCTTTCCATCTAGCCGACTCAAGGCCTCCAAATCGAGCTCCCCATAGTTTGTTGAAAGCTCATCATCACTATTGCCAGTTCCAATGGACGACCCTATCCGGCCATCACCCCTATTCTTTAACAACGGAATAAGCCCTTGAGCAGCGGCCCTTGAACTAAGTTTCCTCTTGTTATACCCAAGCGATGACCCACGGCGGCTTCTCTTGTACATTCTGTGGCTTCCACACAAAATAGAGCTTCCTGTCCGCCTCAAAGTATCTGAAAGAGAAGGTGAGAAACAGCTACTAGATCCACCTTTGTACTTCGGTGTCGACCTCCTAGACCAATAACACGGGATCCCACATCCTTGGCGACCAGGTAAATCCAACTGATCATCCATATCGTCGTCCCCATCATTCAAGGATACTGTAGTAGCATCCCAAGACCCAACTGTACTTGGATATCTAGCAACATACCTATTATAAGAGCTAGTAGACATAGCTGGGGTACTCTGGGTGTAGTATGAATCCTCTTTTCGGCTGTTTCTTAAAAGCTGAACAGATGAACTAGTCCAATTCTTATTCTTCAGCTTCGTCAGCAGAGGCGAAACAGCAGAACCCCTCCTTAAATCCTCTGAATTACAGTAATCTGTTGTATCATCAGACTGATAGACCAAATTCGACATGCCATTCCTGCCAAGACCATCCAAAGCCCTCTTTCCACCCCTTGCCAACATTACTTGTTCTTTCACATTTTCACTACTTTTCCTAAGAACCGAATTAGAGTGACTATTTTTCTTGGGCTTCTTCTTAATATTCCGCCTGATAGATGGCTTAAAGTTAGCATCTTTACACTTGAAAATCATGGAAGCATACTTCTCGCTTAAAAATGTATCACTCTTGGAATCAATACCACCATTCCTAGTGTCACTCAAACTATCCCCCACACTCTCCTCTACTTCTCTACTTGAAGAAGACTGTTCTACATCATCATTTTCACCATTTTCAAGTTCATCATCACCACATTGCCTACTCAATTCACTTTCTGACCTTTGCATTTTCCAATTATACAAGTACACTTTCTTCCCTTTCTCTTTAGCATTGCCATTAGTATCAAAGTCATTAACCTTACTACTACTACTTACATTATTATCAACCAATCCAAATGGGAGTTGAGAATGATTCTCACCATGATTGTACTCCCTGCGGCCGATTGGTTGCTTGCTGAAATCATCCTGGTGATGATGATAATAATGCTTAGCTGCCGCGGATCTTGCTGAGTTGAGTGGGGACCTCCATGATGATGTAGTCCCTGGATCTCTCAACACTCTGGCCGCCTTCTTGATTTGAGTTAACTCCTTCTTCAAATGCAGATTGCTGGGATCAAAACCAACACCGCCACCACCACCACCACCGCGGCCGCGCATTTCTGACGCCATTTCTCCGGGACCCACAACACCAAAATCAGTGTAAAATCCTTCAGTACAACTCTTATATATCCAAAAAACACTAAATCAGTTCATCTTTTAACCCCACATTGTATTTAAATCATGTCCTAAAGTGGGGGCCATAGAAATGGGCTGATGATGTCAAAGCTTATGGAGTGTTGGTTTGGCCAAGTACACACAGAAACATATTCAAACACATGACATCCACGGATTGACACAATAAACTGGAGATTTTTCAGAGTCCAAAAATCTAATCTTTATTTTTTTTCCCCCTTCTAGGATGGCACAGGGGGGAGTTCAGATTAAGGGATAGATAGAGAGAAAGCAGTAGGGTTTTCTTCTCCCCTTTTGGTAAAAAAAGATGCGGGATATATTCAATTTATGTCAAGGAGGAGGAGAAATAGCGTTGAAATCGAAGAAAATTGGATGTGAAAATGGAAATGGGAAACTTTCCCTCCTCCCTTCCTCTGTAACTCCTTTTAGCCCGCCTTAGCAAATATAGATTCACGTAATACTACTACTAGGCAAACAAGTGATGCGAATTGCGAGAGAGAGAGAGAGAGGCTCCGAAGATTCTCTTTGCATCAATGTTTGTGTGTGAGTGTGTGTTTTTCTGTCCGAAAGTTTTCTGGTCTTTTTTACTGAAGTTTTTCTCTGTCCGAGTCCTCCCGTTTTGAGTCTTTTCTTGTATAATTTTTACCACATATATATGTGTACTTGTCAACTTTGAGTACAACCCAAAACTGGGATTTTTATTACTATTTCGAGGCGATGAAGTTTGCATATAAAAGTTGTGGGAATTAATTACGTATGCGACCACATGAATCCAACACCATTAAGTAGTATTATAAATATTAAGAGGACGAATATTGTAAACGCGACACTATAAGAAACGAAATGAATAGCACTCATTCCGTTCTAAAATTATTATTTAATTTGAATTTTCAGTGTTGGTACAATTTAAACTAAAAGTGATAACTCTAAATTGGACAATAATTTTGAGATAGAAGAGACAATTTTTAAGTTTAACTCTATACATATTCAAATCATTTTTTTTTATCGCTATATATTTATGTTATTTAATTGGTCGACATATTAAAATATTTTGATTATGATGCAATATATGGAGAGAACATACGATTATTAACAATTTCATTGTTATGGAATTTTTAAATTCAATATCGATGTCGTTATTTATTTATTTTCTTTTATAAGAAAAAAGTTATCATAAATCTTGGGGGGGAAGGGTAGGGCTTTAATGTGGAGAGTGTGGAGGCACGTGTTAGTGAGGTGTTGCATAGTTTGATGACAATGGGAGAAGCCAGTCAAGGCCGTGGGAACAGCTCTAGTCATATAATAAAGCATCAATCTATTAATGAATTTTATTTATTTATTTATTTCTAAAATGGAATTGGAATTGCTAATGAATGAGATACTCCTCATATTTCCTCAATCATTTCCAATTTAGAGCTTCAGTCAAGGAAGACATTTTTCCAGCCAATCAAGGCATAAACTTTACTACCAATGATTTGGTAACGCGTCGAGGAATAGTAATATTTCTATTTCCCTCTAGTTTTGGTACCAGAAAAGATTTTTCCCTTCGAAACTTTTTATGAGAAATTTAAAGCGATCGTTGTTTACTTTTTAGGGCAAACGAAAGATTTGATAATGCAACATTTTGAACAGGAGATTAATGATTTTAATGGCATTTGAGAACTTACTTCTTCTTTTTTTCTTTTCTTTTTTTGACATAATTGCATTTGTTAACAAGATTTATTTGTGTGATTCAACAATTTGGATGATAAATGTGACAAAATGTATTGAACCCGTATTCTTTTGGAGTTACATTTGCAATTTTTTTTGGACTTCCAGATAATAAAAATATGTTAGGACGAGACATTTATTTCTATAAAATTTTGAAAAGACCGAAAAAAAAAAAAAACCAAATTGAGGAATTTAGAGTGGAAGCAACCCTAACAATTTATGGGGGAAGAAGAATGTGATTCAATAGCGGTAGGGGTAAGATCTTAAATTGATCGATCTTGTAGATAGTTTTGGATCGAATCTGATTTAGGATGAGGTGAAGTTTTATACTCCCTCCGTCCCGTAACTATTGTCCAAAAAATTTTGTCCCAAAATTATTGTTTAATTTGACTTTTTATGGATCAAGTTACACATTTGTCTTTAGTAAAAAACATTATCCATAAAATCTTAGTAGTTAAACAATTACTTATGTAGGGGTATACACGGTTATTCAAGGTAAAATATAATTAAGTTTGACCAAAAATAAAATCTTTCATTTTAGTAAAACTGGACAATAATTATGAGACGGAGGAAATATATAATTAATAAAACGCACATATATTGTTTTGTTCATTTTACCAACAAAAGAAGGGGAAAATAAACACTCATGAGAGTGCATCGCATCACATAGTATATTAATACAGATTACAAAGTTCATGGTACAAACAAATTAAACCATCCTGAACGAGATATAATTACACAAAAATATCGCAACCAGCAACCATTTTTAATCCATCATGAGTCTTATCCTTAAAAAAAGGTATTCTTAGTGGAAGGCAAAGCAAACATCAAAATGAAACCGAAGAAAATGACTTCATTTGGCCGTCTATATCTCATTCCGGATATTCACAAATGCCAACTTTATATTGTTGTCAATATCCCAACTGGGATTTTCTTAAATCTACGTTTTTTTATTAGTCAAACCAAACTGAAAAGGACATGCAGTAAAGCCATCAACTTCACCTCCAAAAGGAAAAAAAAATGAAAAAATTGCACTTATGAATCCCTGATTTCATTGAAAGAATTCAAAGAATGCATGTGAATTTGATGGGTTGATGCCGAAAAGAATGGCCTACAACACACTAATTATTTCTTTTGATTTTAAGGTCCAAATATTGGACCACCTATCTCATTCACGTCTCTCTCAATTATATCCGTTCTAATAATTTGACGACTTAAGATTAGGAAGAATGTAATTATTCAATTCATTAACACGTGATCCCCTTATATATGAACTATACTTAAACAAATCATTATAGAGAGCTTCGGATATGCGTAGGATTCTTCTTTCTATGTGTTGCTTTTTGGGTTGTGGGTTTTGTTATTAATGTTTGTTGGTGGTGTTTTGTGTGGATTACAAATAACATGCAAAAAAAAAATAAAAATAAAAATTGGTAAAATCACATGCATATCATCACATAGGTAAAGAAAGGGGCTGAATTAAAATCCTGCTGGATTCCTTTCATCACGACGACATGAACATGTCTTAACGTGGAAATGTACCAATCACAAATATATTTCTTTTTTCACAACATTGTCACAAAACGGCAGCTTATTGATACTGTACAAAGGGGAAAAAAAAATCACTATTCTTCTTGCTTACTCATACGGTACTATTAAGTGAAGTATATAGAAAAAAAAAAATTCGCTCCTCCTCCTTCGCTAGGCTATCATTTCGTCCATACTGGGGAGGCTTTGAGCCTAGTTTACAAAATAACTCTTGGAGGAGATAGGAGCAGGAGTTGCCAAGATATATACCCCAGAACCTTAGCCCATAATTCCTACCGTAAATATAGCCCAAACTTATCAAGTTCCTTTTCTTTGCTGAGAGAGCCCAAACCAAATCGTAGCCCAAATATTTGACCAAATCAAATGTGGCCCAATATTACCCTTTCCCTTATGCTCTGCGAACCATCCCTTTCTTTCTCGCGCTTCAACCCTTTTTCTGCTACCTTTTAGCTCGTATACACTCAAAAAAAATAACAGGCGAAGAACAAATTGATAAAAAAAAGAGAAAAAGAAGAATTTACACTTGGAATTTTGAAGCTTTCTTCACATCTTCCCACTCAGAGTTCAAAATATTCTGTGCACTCTTTAATTGTTCTTCATCATCCTCTTCCAGACGAATAAATTTTTAGCGAGGGAGAAAAAAGAATCATGCCGGACGTTCACGCCCTTGTCAATGACTTCTTAATCAAGCTCAAAAAGCGGTATTGTTTTCGTTTCGTGAAAATGTTTTCCCCCAAAAATTTAGGAAATCTTTTTTTTTTTTTTTTGGTGTGATTTTCAGTGTATTGATGAGTTTAAGTTTTGTTTTGCTGTGATTTTTGCTGAAACAGTAAAATCGAGGGCTCAAAGACCACGGCGAAGGTCACGGCGGAGGTTCTCCGGTCATTCATCTCTCAGCAGAGGCTTCCTAGTACGAATCAGGCTGGAGCTCTTATTGATGCCGTGAGAGGCGTTGGGGAGCAGCTAATTGCTGCTAATCCCGTGGGTGAGTTCTGTGGATATAAGAAACTAGCTACTCTAGTGTTTGCTGGCTATTTGTTTTTGGAATTGGTATTTAGGCTTGTTAAGACATTACAGAAAGGAGAAACGGAACAAGGCGTTGATCAGTTGGATTTTCTTGTCAAGATTGTATATGTTTGTGCATGTTGTAATTGATAGGAGTTCAGCTTCAGTTTATGATAAGCAATGGCATCTGATACAACACTCTGAAGTAGAAAAATTAAAATGATTGATATACATGTGCTGTTCCGTGATAATGTTTGATTATAATGATAGTTGTAGTGCATGGAACGGAGCATGATTGGTTAATTAGTGTCAAGACAAAATGCACTAGTTCTGTAAAGATGATCTGAGAGATTTGGAGAAGGTTGGAAAAAAATTGCTTCCATTTGCTTAGAAAGAAGCTCATGTGTTTCTGTTTCACTTTTTAACGTAAAAATTGACCTTCATTGGATGATATGAAAAACATTTCAAGAAACACGTGTTGTTGTTTAATATCCTTCATGGGTTATTTACCTCCTTTAAAAACATGTGCTATGATATAGTTATGAGACTGGAATTCTCTGATTTGTGTTTGCATTTCACTGTTTGGAGAAGATACTAGAATCTGCCTGTCTTTGAGGAAGTTCGAGTTGCTGAGAAACTTTGCACCGAATTGGTGTATTTTGTTTGATTCACTTTGCGATATACTTCTTTATTTTAAAAATATCAGAATGTGCTTCACTTAAAATGTACAATGCGCTATTATAATACTTCTTTATTCTCTTTTACAGAGCTTGCTGTTGGTAATGTTGTAAGGCGTGTTTTACACATCATTAGGGAGGAGGAGCTTACGCTCACTTCAGCTGCTATTGGTGGGATGGGTCTATCGGCTGGAAGTGATGACGAAGATGAAGCTGAGCATGATGGTCCGGATTTGTCTGCAGCAATTGTTGCCGCTGCTGCCCGAAACACTCTGAGGCCTCCTTCCTTACAGACACTCCTCGAGGATTTACCTCATACAGCAGCTGTTCCTCACACATATTCCTCTGGAGGCGACTCTGATGGAAAAAGCAAATGTGAGCATCATAATTGTTTCCAGATAAATATTTTTGTCATTAGTTTCAGCAGGTTGATTTTGTTTCTCCCTTCTCAACATCATAGTCTATGTTCAGTTAGTTACTAATGTATGTGAGTTATAGCATCACAGTTAAGAATGCAGTGCCATTATTATGAAGAGTCTTAGCTTGATTTGCACTTTCCTCTTTTTGTCTCAGCTGTTGATAGGAACTCAAATGCTAGGAAACTAAAGCATAATGTCATCGAGGCTGTTAATGAACTGATTCAAGATATAGCCACTTGCCATGAACAGATTGCTGAACAAGCAGTGGAGCATATACATCATAAGTATCTTCGTCGGCACTTTTTACATATTTTCATACTATGTCTCCTGAACTATCAACATTGTTGTCTCTGTGTTTGTGTTTGTGCCAAATTGAAGTTCACTGCATGCATTTGCTACAACTGAATATCGAAAGAGTAGCTGATGTTTTTGCATCTGAATCATGAACAATATTTGAAGGTGGCATGCCAATTTTTGTGCTAACTTCATGTGATGCTTTCTCTTCATTTGTTAGAAATAGTTAACAGAGCTGTTTCTATTGTTGTGTAGTGAGTGGTGCATAGAACATGGTTCTGGCTTTCTACAATTTAAATTTCTTAGTGACTTTTGCTTGTATCCCTGGTTTACTGGCGAAGGTGGATTTCTTCTTGTATGAGATGTGGGCTATAATTTTCCTCCTACTCCAGAACCAATATGCTTGAGAAACTAACTGCTCCGTACCTGAAAATATGCCTTGGAACTAAAGTGGGCAAATATATAAGCATTTAAATTAAGGAACATGGGGGCATAGCTGAGAGTTTGCTGCTTGAAGTATACATGAAAAGTAACTGGCAGCTTAGCTTGATTTGTGCTTAGTAAAAATAAGTCATTTGCTTGTTGAGGACTTAGCCGACCCCACCGAGTGGGAAAAAGGCTTGTTGTTGTTGTTGTTGCTTGTTGAGGACTGTTCCAGGATTATTTCCTTATATTTGATATGATATTTTTGCTTGTTGAACCATAGAAGTTTCATTTTTTGCTTTTAGTAGATTGTATGCGCAGCTAGTTATGTAACCCTGCTCTATTTTCTCCTTGTTTATCTTGTTCCAGCGAAGTAATCTTAACTTTGGGCAGTTCAAGAACAGTAGTGGAATTTCTTTGTGCCGCAAAGGAAAAGAAGAGATCATTCAAAGTGTTTGTTGCAGAGGGTGCTCCGAGGTTATTTGAGATGTTTTGTGTTGTTTGAAAGGAAATAGTAGATATGGATTTGAGTTGTCTGTCTCTGAGTTGTCCGTCTCTGACCTGTCCTCACTTCTTTGGTATTCCCTTGCTAAAATCAGGTACCAGGGGCATGCTCTTGCTAAGGAATTAATCACAAGGGGGCTTCAAACGACAGTAATCACTGATTCTGCTGTCTTTGCAATGATTTCCCGCGTGAATATGGTATGCTGGTTGTGGCTTATTGATTGATTTGTTTTTTATAATATTCTTTATGAGCTTATTCTGAAAGCTCTTTCTGTCAGGTTATTGTTGGAGCTCATGCTGTGATGGCCAATGGTGGGGTTATAGCACCTGTTGGATTGAATATGGTGGCACTAGCAGCTCAAAGGCATGCTGTCCCATTTGTTGTTCTTGCGGGAATTCACAAGGTATATTAGCTATCAGATAAAGGTAGCAACCATTAATAAATGACAGAACACCATCATGTTTATATGCAAGAGAGCTCAAGTTACTGAATATGATTTTGAAAGTAATGAATCTGTGGAAGAAAGCCTATAACTTCATAGTTGAGTTATTTGATCCACTTGTTTGAATGGGGGAACAGATATTGTTTCAATTCTCAGTTGAGGCTGTGTGGATAACTTCTGGAATGGTGTTTATTAAGTTCCGCAAAGTTTCTGTGACTTGTTTGAACCTTGCTGATTTTAAGTTTCTGAAAATAATCCTTCGATATTTTATGTATATACTCTTCTTAGTACTCAGTGGGAAATGTGGAATTTATTTACTGTCTATATTGAAATATCAAATGAGTGGTTATCTTCTGTCTGCAAAAGACAATGACCAAATGAAGTAATATCTCAATTGTTTCTTTGATGTGTAAATCCACCTGTATCCATAGTTTTCTTTTTCGGAGTAATAGATAAACTTCATTTGGATGGATGGAGCATTTTATTTGGCCGGAGCATAGTGCTATACTATCTCATCTCTATCCTAGCAATTTCTTCTCATGGAATTATATGCCAATGCCCTCTTTGAGAATCTGATGCAGGAAAAAATAAGAATTAGGGTTTAAGAATTATTAAGAAATTTTAATTTTGGGATGTTTTAGTATTTTACAGAAGTTTTAAGTCTTTTTAGATATTTTCCTTTTTTAAGTTTAGGGTTTAACTATAAATAGGGTTGTTGTACGTTTACAGAGGTAGTTTTTATGAAATTTGATAATTAAGTTTCAGAACTGCGAGTTCTCTTTTCACGGTTGAGTGCCTGCGTTATGGTTCTTATTGGTTTTTGTCTAAAAACCATTGCCTTTGTTCATGGTGATCATGAATCAAAGTGGTGTTTCATCTTTTCATGCTTCTGCCCGCATCTATTGGCATCAGAGCCATAGGTTTAACCCAAGCCGTCGGAGCCGTCAACAATTGATTGCATGGTTGCAAGAACTAGAGGATGTGACGCAACAGATTGAGTGGGTGCGTCAAAGGATTGATGATCTTCAGGACGAATTGAATTATCAACTATGTTGTGTTGTTTCTTCAGACTTACCGGAAGGTAATATAAGGGTTGAGATTTTCTCATGTGAATCAGAATTTGATTCAAGTGAGGACCAGATCATTGATTGGAGCAAGCCACTAATTTATGATGTTTACCCAGATGAGTTTCTGGATGAACTGGTTGAAGATGGTGTTCTTGGACTTGTTCAGATTTCTCCGCCAACTGAACCAGTAGTAGACAAGGAGGATTTGGAAAGAGCTTGATGAGATTGAAGGCGGAGATGTTGATTTTTGTCCTTTGGCAAAACCTGAGAACAAAGAGGTGACTGGTTTCCAGAATTTAGGCAGTGATGGTTTTGTTTTGGATGGATCTGATGAAGATTATATTCAGCAAAAGTTGGCTTTATTGAAGAAATTTGGCGACCACATGAAGTTATGATCCTTGTTAGTTCTATCAACTTAAATCTTGCATATCCGGTCATGGTGAGGAAAATTTATGAGTTCATGTTCTGCTCAAAACAGCAAATTGTTTATGCATGGAGAAGACGAAGAAGGCTTTTCGAAAGCAAAGGAAGCAATGGGTTGAGTTAACTGGTGATCCTTTTGATCGTGGAAAAGGCAGGCAAAACTCGAGGACGAGTTTTCTTTGAAGCAGGGGAGAGTTGATGCAGGAAAATATAAGAATTAGGGTTTAAGAATTATTAGGAAATTTTAATTTAGGGATGTTTTAGTATTTTACAGAATTTTTAAGTCGTTTTAGATATTTTCCTTTTTTAAGTTTAGGGTTTAACTATAAATAGGGTTGCTGTTCGTTTACAGAGAGGTAGTTTTTATGATATTTGATAATTAAGTTTCAGAACTGCGAGTTCTCTTTTCACGGCTGAGTGCCTATGTTATGGTTTTTATTGGTTTTTGTCCAAAAACCATTGCCTTTGTTCATGGTGATCATGAATCAAAGTGGTGTTCCGTCTTTTCATGCTTCCGCCCGCATCAGAATCATTTTGAAGTTCATTTGGGGGTTGTCTTATATCTTTTTGGTGTGATTAAGGGTTGATTAGACTTGGTTCCTAGCTTGTCTGATTATCTGATTACCCTTGACTGAAGAAATGTAGTATCTCAATTGTTTCTTTGATGTGTAATTCTGCGTGTATCCATGGAATTCTTGTACTGAGCAATAGATAAACTTCATTTGGAACCTTTTTTCCTAATAAAAGGGGGAGGGGAAGAGCAGGGTTGCCTGCGGGATAGTGCTATACTTCCTCATCTCCGTCCTAGTGACAACTTCTCATGGAATTATATGCCACTGTACTCTTTGAGTATCGTTTTCGAAGTTCATTTGGGTCTGATAGCTTTTTGGTGGAGTGTTGATTAGATTTGATTTCTAGCTTGGTCTATTTATCTGATTTCCCTTAAGTGACTGGTTGCTGACTGATTTATTACTGACAACATATTTTTGTTCCTCGAATGACCATATGTGAATTTTAAAAGGACTTTATGCTGTGCTAGGATGTTTGTCATCTTCACCTTATTGTGGTAATTAGTAATGAGGTTGGAACTGTTCCTCTTGAACGTTTAATGTATGGCTTCTGATTAATTCTTTAAATCCCCGACATAATTAGTCTTTCTCAAAACTCTTCTTCCTCTTCTTCGTCCTTTCTTTTTTTGTTTATTATTATTATTATTTTTTTGGGTGAAGTCATTCTCAAATCTTCATATTTAGGGGTTACCATCTAACTTGAACTGGATGTGGTGTAGACTTTTCTTGTGATGAGCATTTTGTGTTATTAGTTATCTTACTCCTAAGCCATGGATGTTGTGTTTCCTGACCGCCTTTCTGCTTGACTGCAGCTTTGCCCTCTATATCCTCACAATCCAGAGGTCCTATTAAATGAATTGAGGTCGCCATCAGAGCTCTTGGACTTTGGAGAATTTTCGGATTGCTTAGATTTTGGAAGTGGTTCTGGTTCTCCCAATCTTCATGTCGTCAATCCTGCATTTGATTATGTACCACCAAATCTTGTTAGTCTGTTCATTACAGATACGTAAGTTTGCATTCAGTTGTCATTTATGCTGCATTTGTGACTGTAGCAGGAATTTTTCTTTTTACTTTTTTTTTTATAAAGAAATTGCTCATAGAAACTATTTTCATGTGACCACATAGATGAAGGGATGCTGATAGTTTAAGCTGGCCCACTTTTTCTTTCTGAAATGTCTGATGAACTGTTGCTTCATCTCTTTGCAGTGGAGGGCATAATCCTTCTTATATGTACCGACTTATTGCTGATTATTACTCAGCTGATGATTTAGTTGTCCAAAGGAGATCAGCTTCTTGACACTCTCCTAGGGTTGCTCTCTTTCTCTTCAGGTAAGCCTTTTCAATTCATCGTGGTGAAATCATACTTTGAATGGGCAAATATCATTTGCCGTTTTTCGGGCTTCCTAGCCTGTTAGCAATTCGGAACTCATTACTGTCTTGTATGTATTAAATAAAGGTTGTTGGCATGATCCTACAATAAACAGATCAAATCACCTTTATGGTTCTAGATCTTGTTGTAATTGAAAGCATAGGACATACGAGAAGAAAATCAGGACATGTTTCACTATTATAGTAATGCAACATTCTTCTGGGAAAAACTTGCAGGTGTTGGTGCTTGGTTAATCAAAGATAATCACAATCGGACATTGTGTAACAACGTGACGAAATGTACATCACTCTCACTCATTTAGACAGTAGCAAAGACAGTTTTGATGGCAATCATTCAGGCAAAATGGTCAAGCTAGGAACGGATTATGCTGTTTTGAGGAACGGATTATGTGGTTTTGACATCTTGCTGGGATGCAAAAATGATATACGTCAATAGAATCTAGTAGTTATCATGAAGAGTTGTAGCTGTGGATGAATTAGTTTTTGTTGCATGCATTTATTGAACATGGCGAGATATCAACTGATTGTTGCCTGGGTTATGTTCTGGGTCTAAAATACGAAAATTTTCTTTTGGTTACTGTATGGTTCCATTATTGAGGTGGGGGAGAAAGTATCAATCTGGTGATGTCGGGGCTTATATAAAACACCTTTTATCTTAATCATGTTGGAAAGTGTGGAGCAACATAGTAATGTGGTGGAATCATGTTTTTGGTGCCTTAAACGTACTTTGTGTAGTTTTGATTGTTTAATTAATAGGGATTTAAATGACGCCGACCTGTTAAGCTAATTTGTTTTGTTGTGCAAATCGCTGGTCTTTCATTTGCTAGATACAGTATATGGTAGTACAATTTTGTAGTGATCACATATGATATTCACTTTTAACATTCCCTCTATCAAAAGAGGCGAAACATAACCAATCTAGATCAACTCAAACAACTTCATGCTCAAATCGTTCAAAACTCCCTCCACCATGGCAACTACTGGGTGGCGCAACTCATCACCCACTGCACGCGCCTCCATGAGCCGCCGCTTTACACTCTCCGGATTTTTGAATCGGCCCACCCCTGACAACGCCTTCGCGTTTACCAATTTGTTCAAGTATTACTCCAAGTGGGGCAACCGGATGGATGTTTAATTTCTCACTGTTCGGCCTTAATGCAAAAGGCCAATGTAACAGCTGATGATTTTGTGTACCCGTTGTTGATTAAATCGTCTGGTAAATCTGGCATTGCTTTCCATGCCCATTTGTTGAAATTGGGTCGTCTCCGTGAGAAGTTTATCGACAATGCGATTAAGAGTTGGTACGGGAAGAATGGCCCTATTCAGTCTGCTTGGAACATGTTTGATCAAATGTCTGAGAAGAGTGTCGCTGATTGGAACTCCGCTATTTCTGCGAGTTGGAACTAGGGAAAGAAATTAAAGGCGGTAAGTTTGTTTGGTTTATAGTGATCCATTGGTGTTTTATGAATGCCATCATGTTTATATGCAAGAGAGCTCAAGTTACTGGATATTATTTTGAGTAACGAATCTATGAAAGGAAGCCTGAAATTTCATAATTTCTTCGATTCACTTGTTTTGAATGGAGGAACAGATTCTCAATTGAGGGTGCGCGGTTAACCTCTGGAATGGTGTTTTCTAAGTTCCCCAAAGTTTCTTTGATATGTTTGAACCTTGCTGAATGCTGATTTTAAGTTTCTTTTAATAATCCTTCAATATTTTTTGTATGAACACTTCTCAGCACGCAGTGGAAATTCGGAAATTATTTACAGCTTGTATTGAAATATTGAATGAGTGGTTCTCTTCTGTGCGCAAAAAAACACCGACTCAGTTGTTTCTTCGATGTGTATGTATCCATAGCTTTCCTGGGTCTAGCCTTGTTGGAACTCTTTCTGTTGAACCTTTATTGTGGCAGATTTTCGAATTTGAAAATACTACTACATTGTAGCTAGAGTTTGCCTTCAGAATCAACCAAATTTTTGGATTCCAATGAAATCCATCACAGAGAGAGCCTTGTTTGTTCTAATTTGAATGCTTTCATTTACTTGTTTGAAACTTGCTGACTTTTTAAGTTCTATAAAAAAACCATACCTCCTCCGTATGTTAAAAATAAACCCTAAAAAATTTAGTAGAAATTTGTAATTAATTAGTTCTACTATCAAGCGATGGATTTTATTCTGCAACAAATTACAATGCTTCTTCATACAGAGGAATTCAAACCCGGAAACTGGCTGGAATCCATTACATCAAAAACAGCTCCACCTTCCTCTTCAGGGGGGATCGAATTCGAATGTCCTTTGATTACTTTTATTCTGATCATCAGCTGGCACACGGGTAGGATGATACATCTTCTTATGGAATTCTACTCGAATGCCTGTTGAAGAAGAAACCTTCCTCAGCTTCTGGAGGCCATCTTCTCTTTTCTGGACCTTTTCTTCTTCTCCTTTCTTAGAAGAAGTTGACTTTTCAAGGCCAAAAGAAGCGCTACCTTCTTTCTTTTTCCTCCCAACAATCTGCATCCCCTCAAACTCGTCCATTGCCACTTTCCTTTCCTCTGTCTTCTTCTTCAGAGCTTCCAATGCCTTTTTCTTTTCAGGTATCTACTTCTCATATTCCTGCAGAGTCATCATTATTTCCCTCTCATCTTTGCCATCCCCTGTTTGATGACCAGGAGTACTAATACTATTATCTTCTTGACTTCCCCCCTCCGTGGCTTTCCTCTGTTTCCATCTCCATAATTCCTCTCATGGTTTCCATCACCTCTGTTGGCATCTCTTCCATAATTGAATCTATGCCCATCAAGATTCTCTTGACTAATCCTCTTCCTAGAATCTCCTTCCACCAAATTTCTTGCCAGAAGAGTCTCTCCTAGATGGGTTCATCCTATCATCAGTACCATTGTTCTGAGGAATTCTATTGTTTCTGTAACCATTATTTCCGCCATTAGTATTGTTGTTCTAATGTTGCTGATAGTGATAACCATCAGAATTAGGCCTTCTATCATCGAATTGTAACCATCAATTCGGCCATTGTAGCGACCTTGTCCATTATTGCTTTCTCCCGGTTGTTGATACCCGTTAATTCTTGCACCCTGAGAATTTCCCCCTTGCCGATTTTTTGGTTGCTGACCACTGGCCGAAACCCCTGTGGCCCTTTCCCTCTTTGTCTCCGTTGTTGGGGTTTAGACATTGAAGAGGACTTGGTGGCGGTGGCAGATTTCAAAGAGTTTGCGGCGAGGGGGGCGGTGAAGTCGGAAACATCATCGCCGACGGTGTCAAGAAGAGCAAAAGAATTCTTCAAGCTGGAAGCCATATTGAAACAAAGAAACAAAACTGTTTGATCAACAACATTTTACTAAATGAATATGACGGTAATTTATTTAACGCAAGGAGTTGTTAAGAAATTAAAAAAAAAAGGAGAGAAAATAAAAAACGAAAAAGAATCAACTTCGAATTGGATGATAGATGTCTTACAATACTTTTTAGATTACATTCGTAGTCTTGGATTTAATATTATCATTTTCATTACTTGTCAGAACTTTATTTCTTCTCTCGAAGTAACTCTTCATAAAGCGACATATAATTAGCCGTGGCTAAAAACTGGACGCGGCAAAGATAACTCTACCAAATTTAAATACAAATTATAAAATAGGGAAAACGAAATGTTTTATTACTTTACAAACATGTACAAAAACATATAATGGTAAGCACAAACATAGTTCTCCCTTTCTCCAAAAAAAAAAAAATCGTTAAATCTATATTGAGTAAAGTCTCATACTTCAATGTGCATTATGTTTTTGGGACATAAAGAATATAATTTTCAGATCAAAATAAAAAATTAAAAAAATAATAACGCAAGTTATGTTAATGAATATGAAACAGTTTGAAATCTTTTGGTCAGCTATTTCAACCGTTGAAGTGGCTTAGTCTAACTCGTTGAGGTACTTAATTACCCAAGAGCATTTGTCTTAAATATTGGGACCAACTATCTCTCTAGTTCAAATGCCTTAGTACTACAGATTAAGATTATCCATCCATTGGAAATGTCTTAGACTCTGTTCGTTTGCATGGCATTGGGAGCTTGGATTTGGAATTTGGGCCCCTAATGCCAAATCTGGTGTTCGGCTACCAAAAAATAAGATGGCATTGGCATTAGCCCAATGCCAAAAGGCTTCCAATGCCACAATTTTAATTCCGGGCTTGAACTTATTATTTGAGATTCCAAACTCTTGTGGGATTGACTAGTTCGCGGGTCATTTCCGGGTTAATAGCGGGTCATAAGTTATCCGGATCTCCCCATCTTTACCATTTTACTGCCTAATTCTTTTTTTTTCTTCTCCTCTCATCGACGAGTCTCTGAGCGGATGATTTCTCCATCTCCACCGCGGCGCAATACCGGCAACGTCAACCTCACTGGAACCTAGATTCTTTGCCCAATAATCCCTGATAAAAATCTTTGGGAAATCATCCTCGGCCTCGCGTGAAACGCCACAAACGCTGCACTTGCAGCAAGGAATTGGACTGCCGGAATACCCTGTACTGAAGCAATTCGACCTTTTTCTCCGGCTTCCGACGGTTTCCTTCTTCACCATTCAGCATTGACCACCTTGTATGTGATCCTCTTCTCCTTCTTTTTCTTTTCTTCATTTTGAATTTTGGGTTCCAATGGTTTGAGTGATAGATTAGGTTTTGATATAGATCTAAGCAAAAAATTTTCGATTCAATTCATTTTCTGATGTTTGTTGTTTGGAGGTGTCCTCTCTGATTCATGCGTTTGAATTCATCATTGCAAAATTTTGATTCTGTCCCCAAAACACTTTAAGTCAGTAGATGTATATTTTCGAGGATGTAGATAATTTATGTCAGATATAATTCATGCTTCTTAAACCATAATTGATGTCCTTCTTGCCATGATCTGATAGCATCATGTTACCTTTGAGTTGTGTGTGGTATTTAACTAACACCTCAGTGGGTCAATGGACCCATGTCATTCCTAACTAATTCAAGAGAAATAGATGGAGTATTTTTCTTGCTGGAGGATCTGCAATCATGTTTCTGGATTTCTTGACTTGATTGTATTGCATCTGTATGTTTTGATCAAATTATATTGTAGATGTATTTTACCGTACTATATCATAAAGGTGCTCATAAGAACTTAATAAGAGCATTGGATACAGGATCTGATATCGCAGCAGGTCCTTTGTGGATGGAGTATATAGCATTTTTGAAGTCCTAGCCGGTGAGACATTGCCTCCTGATTAGTTTAGCTTTTGTCAATTGCCAAACATTTTGTCATCTTTGCCTTTATTTGATCCTCTTATGGTATGATACTGCAGGCTCATACTGCAATTGAAGAAACACAAAGGATGACTGCTGTTAGGAAAGCTTACCAAAAAGCTATTGTTACACCCACCAGTCATATTGAGCAAATTTGGAGGGACTACGAAAATTTTGAAAACTCAGTTAGCCGTGCCTTGGTAATTTTCAGATCCTAATTTATGTTGATGAAATGGGGCTGTTTACTCCTTTTTCTTTTTTTTTTCCTTCTGTATTCTGTTAGACATCTGAGGAAGTCTTTGTATAATATGCTGAAGTTTGGCCACTATTTTTGTCAAATGGGAAGACCTATGTATTATTGGTTGGCACTCTTGTTAGGATAAAGTTTTCCTCTGCCATTTCATGATAGCTTACATGGAGTTATCGTTTCTTGTGATGTGTAATATTCTGTAGGCGAAAGGATTGGTGTCTGAATATCAGCCAAAATATAACAGTGCAAGGGCTATTTACAGAGAACGGAAGAAGTATACTGATGAAATTGATTGGAATATGCTGGCTGTGCCACCATCTGGTACTTCCAAGGTATTTTCTTCACTTCTTGCCTTTTCTTTTTTTCTCTCTATTGATATTTGTTGGCTTTGTGCTGGAAAATTATGATGCACTGAAGCAACATGTTGCAACTTAGGTGGCTGTTGATTGTGAAAAGCTTTAGCGAATAAACTTAACAACTCTTTAAAAAAATTTATGTTCCTTATAGATTAGCTTTCTGGACAAACAGAAATTTCTGAATTCTGTAGATACGAATATCTTGAAACTCATCCGTGGATAAATATGAAGTTTAATAACCAGATATGGAGAAGGGCTTGGAACAATCTATAATCTCACGTTAAGTCAGTGACAATATTGCCAAAAACTACATTGGCCAAGGTTTTTGTTGTTGGCATGATTCTAAAGTTTAATAAATCATTGCCTTACTTTGCAGGAAGAGGCACAATAGATGGCATGGAAGAAATTGTTGAACTTTGAAAGGTAGCAAAGTTTGGCCTATAGTTGACGTGGTATGCATGAAGCCAGGTGCTCATTTTTCTCTTTCGAAGTTCTTCTTTATTGTCAAGTGATTGATTGTGTGGTGCTTGATTTCATCAGTGATTTTACACATGGAGGTATTTGCTTCAGGTCCTCTTATGTACAGTCCATCTCCACTTAACTTGATACCTTTGTTATTTGTAACAAAAACTCAGTTCTGTAGGTTAGAAATACTCATGCAGGTGATAAAGGAAATAATAATTCTTGACTGATGTTCCAAAATTTTTTATTATTCTCGCCATTAACTTAATGAGTTGTTGCAATCCCTTTCTTGACTTGAACTTTTCAGTTCACTAAAATATTACTGCAGTTGTACTGCTATCTGAGCATTCCTGATGTTAGGAAAATCTTGTGGAAGATAACTATTGGGCAGAGTTTAAGTTTTCAAATTGTTTATAGTTGAATTGATATCAGTATCTTACTTTCTTGTGGGTAATTGAACAATGATAAAATAATTGAAGGGTTAATTGTTACATTTTCTCGTAGCTAAACATATTTATCATGTAAGGTATCTTCCATCAAGAAGCCTTTTCCTCAGCTGGTGTGTTAAATATAATTTGGCTTGCAAATCATATTCGAGTTAAATTTCTTGTTAGCTGTCCCACTTGAAATATTCTTCTCCATATCAATGATTTGCAGCATTTTGGTCCTCACTTTTTTTCTATATGCGTTGTTAAAAGAAGTTAATTTATTGTTTTTGTTTTACAGTGCCTCATGTATTTATACCATTATCCTGACATATGGTATGACTATGCCACTTGGTGTGTTGAAAAAACGATGGAAAATTTTGAGAGAAGCGTCTTTTTATAATGTCAAAACAACTGTGAAGATTATCAATGCTTGTGTTATCCTTCACAATCTTATTCGAGTAGAAGAACCTAATGATCCATTACTGGAAGAAGTTGATCATGAGATTCTTAACCGAGTTAATCCAGATGGTGATGATCAGAATTAGGAAGAACAGAATCAGCCAAACATGCAAGGTGGTGCGAATGTTGAAGACTCTGATCGCATTACACTTGTGCAATCTACACATGAGTGGACTAGATTTAGGGATGCATTAGCTCAAGCTATGTTTATTGATTATCAAAACAGGCGTAGATGAAATGGTTTTGTTAATTTATGTTCAATAAAACTATTAGTTTTAAGTTTCATTGTTTGTATAAGACTTTAACGTTGTGTGGTATTTTAGTTTTAGTGGTAGTAACATTAGTTGGAGTAATATTGTCACCAGATTCTATGTTTGATAAGAATATATAAAATGTTTAGGTGGTTGTTACATTATATATAAAATTGGGCGAATATCGCCCCTTCATTTTATAATCAGTTTAGTTTCTTTGGTTTCAAAACAATCACTTGAACTAAATTAATTACTATATACGTAACCAATTTTTGTAATTTTTATATTTATATTAATGTAACAGTGTTGGAACTACCTAAATTGATCATTATAATGAATATATAAATAATTGATAAATTTAAAAAATAAAAATTTAAAGAGTTTCCTCTTTGTCACCTTAAAGATGGTAACAAAATATATTATTCTAGAAATGATACTATTTAACATAACAAAAATTGAAAGTTGAAATAATTTCAAAATAAATCAATTTTTTCTTTTTTCTTTATTTTTGTAAAAAATAAACAAAAGTCAAAACCAACCCAATTACTAGACTATACGAACAGAGAATTTGGAATCCCAATTGAATTTGTGACCAATTTCATAATTTTGCCGAACGGATAAATTGGCATTGAATTAAAATATCTTGAATATCAATTGAATCCCAAAATATTCTAATGCCAATTGAATCCCAAAAACATGTAGCCGAACATACCCTTAGTATTATCTATTCAACTATATCAGTAGTTGTCCCACTCGTTAATAGCTTCAGTCCTTGTTGGAATAATTTTTAATCTTTTGACCGAGGTTTTATTCGTAGAGATGCCTTAGTCCTATATGTTAAGGTGTAATTAATCTCTATTAGAGCAATTTTAAATCAATTGGCTAAATATTCCACCTCAACCACTTATAATATTTGATCAATTGTTTCACCCATTAAAGCGTCTTAGTCCATCAATTTAGGTGTCTTAATCTCTATTATAATACAATTTTAATCTTTTTGTTCAACTGATCCGTTTCAACCAGCCAAACCCACTCTATATCTTCCCTTGATAAATATAATTTTAATTCATCATTAACAATATCAAAAAAAATTTAAAAGAAATACTTGCGTACCCTTCAAAGCAATAAAAAAAAAAATGTAACAACTAAATTAAATGAGCTATTTTTCAACAAGTCAAACAACATAACTAAATACATCATAATGTACCAGAAATAGTACGTTTTAAGTTAATTTTTATTAAACTCTCTTCACATTCCATGCCATGCCTCGTAAAACAAAGTTAATATAAGGCGAAAAACTATTTAAACTGTTAATCCTTCCGTCGCTTCAGATGATATCCAAAGTATCGATCATCACCATTTGTACCCACTGTCGTCCGTTGGACGAAGCAAACAAATAAATATAGAAATTATAATCTATACAAATTACTCCCTGCGTCCCATAATTATTGTCCAGTTTTACTAAAATGAAAGATTTTATTTTTAGTCAAATTTAACTATATTTTACCTTGAACAACCGAATATACCCCTACATAAGTAATTGTTTAACCACAAAGATTTTATAGATAATGTTTTTTACTAAGGACAAATGTGTAACTTGATCCATAAAAAGTCAAATTGGACAATAATTTTGGGACAAAATTTTTTGAGCAAAGTGGACAATAATTATGGGACGGAGGGAGTATAATATATTGGAACACAAAAATGTTGATTATAAATATATATAATACTTCATTCAAGTATGCCTAAGTAATACCAGTTAGGGAGCCTTAGTCAATTGTCTCACATGTTGTGTTGGGCTATTCACCCGTTAGAAATGCTTTAGTCCTATCCGGTTAACAGTCATTCTTGGAATAGTTTTAAATCTTTTGACCAAAGCACCTAAAATGAATACAAAATTCAATATCCTAAAATGAAAGTATACTAAATATCCTAAAATGGAATGAACGTCCTTCCTGCAATGCATTATAGGACATAATTTTGAAGGCACCGTTCTCAAAATTCTCAAATAAATTTTACCATTTCAACAAAACTAATGTGTACATATCGTGACATGAAACCAATTACTCACTGTTGAAGACTGTTTTTTGCACTCAAATCTCACCATTCACAAATTAATTTTCAAAAGGAAAAAAAAAATGAAAAGGAAATCACAATGAAATTTTGAAGTTCTCTTTTTAAATATATTTATTTTCCATAAGGGGATAAGCAGTAATTTATCACGCAAGATTGATAGGATGTGATTGGATATATATTTATGGGAAGATTTTTTTATTTATTTTTAATTTATTTGGGTAAACATTAGGGGAAGATTTTCCGATAGAGACAAAAATGGTGCACAAATATTATAGAACTACGTTTGTTACGGAATTATTGGCCAGTTTGAATTTTCAGTTGAAATTATAGTATTAAAATTGAATATCCAAACTGGACAACAATTTGGGACAGAAAGAGTACTAATAATTCTCCTCTTAATAATTTAATATATTTAAATATACTAAAAAAATTGCATATAATACAACGTTTATGGATTGCACCACGCTACATACTTTCAATAAAAACTTCCATTCTTTTCAAAAAAAAAAAAAAAAATAAGGGATCATTGTTTTAAAACTAACTTTTTAATTATTATTAGTATTATTTTTCCAATTCCGAAAAAAGAATAAATTTAATTTAGAAATATAAATTATAAACTGGATTATTTAGGGCTTATTTGGCTAACCATTCATTTTGCATTTTGTCTTATTTTACCTCTTGAAACACATCTCAGACACAAAACTCAATACTATCTAAATAATTTTTTAATTTACTTTTTAAAATTTATTTCAAATATTATTTTTACACTATTTTTTACACCACCACCGGACCACCTCTGCCGCCACTGTCCGTCTCCGTCGGCATCTTGGCCGGAATTTGGCTGGAATCCGACCGGTGGCGGTCAGTCGACGGCGATGAGGGGTCTGACGGCGGTCTTAGTGGTGGAGGTTGTCCGATGGTGGTCTAAAAATATTATTATTTTATTTAAAATATTATCCCAAATAATTTTTAAAATTTTATATCAAATCACATTTTAAATCACATCTCAAACCCAAATAAAAAATTAAAACAAAAATTTAAAAAAAATGTTGGCCAAACAAGTCCTTAATTGTTCAAATAAATAGTTAATTATACAAATTTTAAAACAAAATGTGTATTTTTTTTTTTTGGACAAAAATAGTAACATAATACCGCTAATTCACATAAATCCAATGTTGACTTTGTTTTCTGGTAGGAGTAGGATAGAGGGAATATAAATATTAAAACTGAATGTTGACTTTTTTTTGACACAGAGAGAGTATCGATTAATCAATTATCAATTTTAAAATAATTTCTAAATACTCCTAATTATAGGATACAAGTTCGAATCAATTTTTAGTATTAGTGATTCGTATATTAGAACTGGGAATAGTAGTAATATAAATCTACTAATTACACTATTTTCTACTACTATTTTTTCCGTTCTAAAATTATTGTCTAATTTGCATAATTTAAACTGGACAACAATTTTGGGATGGAGAAGTATATAATTTTATGGAAATGGAGAGTGTATTCTTTTCGCGGGCTAATTCCTTTCAAGTTTCAACGAACATGGTAAAAACCAGAGGAAGACGAAGCTAGTTCAACTACAAAATCAAATGTCAAGAGGCCATTCACCATTTTCTCCTTCTCCTTCTCATGGTACAATTGAGCAGCATTACTCGGAAAATAACCAATCACGACCAACTCAAACAACTCCATGCCCAACTCGTTAAAAACTCCCTCCACCATGGCAACTACTGGGCGGCGCAACTCATCTGCCTCTGCAAGCGCCTCCATGCTCCGCCACTTTACACTCGCCGGATTTTTGAATCGGCCCACTTTCCCAATGTCGTCGTGTTTACCAATATGTTAAAGTATTACTCCAAGTTGGGCAACCCAATGGATGTTTCCTCACTGTTCGGCCTAATGCAAAAGGCCAACGTAAAGCCTGATTCCTTTGTGTACCCATTGTTGATTAAATCGTCTGGTAAAGCTGGCATTGCCTTCCATGCCCATTTGTTGAAATTGGGTCGTTCCCATGAGAAGTTTATTGACAATGCAATTATGAGCTGGTACGGGAAGTATGGCCCTGTTGAGTCTGCTTGGAATGTGTTTGATCAAATGTCTGTAAAGATTGTCGCTGATTGGAATTCCATTATATCTGCCTGTTGGAACTGGGGAAAGACATCAAAGGCTGTAAGTTTGTTTGGTTTGATGCCGGAGAAGAATGTGATTTCGTGGACTGCTATGGTGTCCGGTTCTGCAAAAGCTAAGGATTTGGAGGCTGCTAGGAGATATTTTGATCAAATGCCGGAGAGGAGCATTGTTTCGTGGAATGCAATGATTTCGGGTTATGCTCAGAATGGGCAGGCTGAAGAAGCTATCCAGTTATATAACGAGATGCTGAGTTCTGGGTTGAGACCTGATGAAACAACATGTGTGGCTGTTATCTCATCATGTTCAATGCGTGGTGACCGTGCTCTAGCTGATTCGCTTGTTATGATGATGAACAAGAATAGGATTTCTCCGAACCATTTCGTCAAGACTGCACTACTTGATATATATGCCAAGTGTGGGGATCTCAAAATGGCCAGGGAAATGTTTGATGATTTGGGTGTGTATGGGAACTTGGTTACATGGAATGCAATGATTGCCGCTTACACCAGAGTTGGTGATTTGACTTCTGCTATGGAGCTTTTTCAAAATATGCTGGAAAAAGATGTAATCTCCTGGAATACAATGATTGCCGGTTGTTTGCAGAATGGAGAATCAGCTGTGGCTATAGATCTCTTCAAGGAGATGATAACCTGTAAGGACATAAAGCCAGATGAAGTAACCATGGTTGGTGTAATCTCGGCTTGTGGCCATTTGGGAGCGCTAGAAATGGGAAACTGGGTAGTAAAGTTTTTGAGTGAAAAACAGATCAAGTTGAAGATTGGAGGTCACAACTCTTTAATATTTATGTACTCCAAATGTGGAAGCATGACACACGCTTACAAGGTTTTTCAAGAAATGGATATCAGAGATGTGATATCTTACAACACATTGATTGCTGGATTTGCTGCTTATGGCAGTGGCGTTGAAGCTCTTGAAGTGTTTTCAAAGATGCAAAAAGAAGATATTGAACCAGATCGCATAACGTATATTAGCGTCCTAACAGCCTGCAGTCATTCAGGGTTGTTGGAAGAAGGGAAACAAGTTTTTGACTCAATTGTAGATCCAGATATTGATCACTATGCCTGTATGGTAGATTTATATTGTAGAGTGGGTAGACTAGATGAAGCAAAAAGATTGATTGATGTTATGCCAATGGATCCTCATGCAGGAATCTATGGGTCTCTCCTCAATGCTAGCCGAGTTCATACACGAATTGATCTTGGAGAGTTTGCAGCAAGCAAACTCTTTGAGCTTGAGCCAGAGAACTCAGGAAACTATGTTCTGCTGTCTAACATTTATGCAAGGGCAGGTCGGTGGGAAGATGTTGATAGAATCAGAGGATCGATGAAGAAAGGAGGAGTAAAGAAAACAACTGGCTGGAGTTGGGTGGAACATGATGGCGAGTTACACCGATTCATTGTAGGTGATCAGTCACATGAACGTTCAGTAGAAATGCATAGAGTTCTGGCTGAACTGAAAAAGAAAATGAAGGTTTCTGGTTATATAGCTGACAAGGACTGTGCTTTAAGAGATGTTGAGGAGGAAGAGAAAGAAGAGATGGTTGGAACTCATAGCGAGAAGCTGGCGGTCGCGTTTGCTCTCCTTGTAAGTGAACCTGGAACAACCATTAGGGTGGTGAAGAACCTAAGGATCTGCAGGGATTGCCACGACGCAATGAAAATTATCTCACAGTTGGAGAGCAGGGAAATAATGGTGAGAGATAACAACAGATTCCATTCATTCAAAGATGGGGTCTGTTCTTGCAAAGACCATTGGTAGTTCGGCTGAAAGGAGGGCCAAGTGTTTGGTCTGAACACTCTGATAAGCACATAGTACTGCATCGGGTTTGTAATACTGTTTGCATTATGCCTCATCTATAGAAGCTCGGTTTTGCTACTAAGTACTAACAGTCTTCAGCCACTGTTTGGTTTGACCTTTTCATTTTCTCCTATTTCACGAGCAAAAATGAAAAAACAACGGCAAAACGAACCTCAAGACTAAAGATACCCGATTACTATTCCGTATCAAATGATGCCTCCTATTTCCTCCTATTTCACGAACCAGTGTTTGCTTTTGTTTTCTCATGTTGTTATATTTACTTTTGAGTCATTTGTATCAAAATCTGCCATCCTTAAATATCATCTCTAAATTTGTCATCACATCCATGCTATAACTTCTAACCTCATTCTGTGTTTATAACTTTATTGCATTATCTGAGAAGGAAACAACGGCAGAGACCAGGCTTTGTGCGGTTGCTTGCTTCAATCGTGCAGTTGTACATTTTAGCTTGTGTTACTGTGATTCCGAGTTGCAATCCTCTGCACACATTTGGCTGTTGAAGGCAACACCAACAGACCTAAGATACCATACAGTAAAAAAAACACGCACTCAAACACAAATATAGTACGAGCATGAAAAGCACAGGGAGAAAGATGCATTGAAAGATTGCTATCTAAGGCATTACTTGAAAAAAAACAAAACAAAGTACACATGTTTATGAAGAAATCCGGTCATCAAACACTAGTTCATTCATCTAAAAGAGCAACAAGCTTAACTTCAAGCTAAATCCAGCAAGAAATATCAAACTACGAAACCCGACTTAAATATGTCCCCAGTGGTATTGACCTAATCAATTTCATCAATCACTATTTAAGCTCTTGCCCTCTTGGTACTGCAAGTAGGGCACTTGTAATGTTTGATGTGCTCAGCTTTTGCTGGTGTAATCTTCACACATTTGCCGTGGAACCACCTCTCACACATATCACAGCAAATCCAGAATTCGTCCGTCGCATAATTATCACCGCAAGCTCCACAAAGTGTAGCGCCCTGTTCTTCATCGTCCTCGTCGGTGTCAACACTCTCTTCTTCGTCCTTGGGCGGAGACATCTTGACAGCTCTCGGCTGTGATTCAGGCTGTCGTGATGGCTAAAACCAAAAAAAAAAAAAAAAAGAAAAAAGAAAAAAGGAAGGGAAATATAATTAGAAGGAAAAGGAACCATCAGAGATAATAAAAACCCATCACAAAGATTTAATAGAAAACCAGATATCCAAGCTGACTAGAGACAACCCACCATCTTAACACTTGTTTTGTTTTTGCTGCTGTTATTGTGAAGATGGCCTGCCTCCTTTGCCTTTCCCGTAACAACTTCAAACACCGTAGGTAAATCATTGATCATCTGAAAAAGCCTCTTCCTACAAACGTCAAATCCATCATCAAATGTTAAGGACACAAACTTCAAATATGAAACAAAAACCCAACACCTGTAGCACAACCCTGACCAGGACAAAAACCACTGCCATAAAAGCGACAACATATGCATGCAAAAAAGACCAACAACTGCAGAATGAAAAAGGCTTTATCCAAAAATATACTCCGTAAGTCGGAAGCTCTCAAAGGGTAAGCCAAGAATATAATAAAATGAAGCTTCCCGGAAGATGAAATCAATGGATATCATAGGCTAATTAGGCATGATGCACTGGAGGGTCAAACAGAAACTTGCCACACAAAATGAGATGCTATACTTCAATCACGCTTTAAACTTGGACAGTTAACACAATGGACCAAGGATAGTAGCTTTAAACTTGGACAGTTAACAATGGACCCAGGATAGTAGCTCTTAGGCACAACCTAAAAATATCAACTCATGACTTCAGGTAATCATCGAAGATACCAAGGCTTCCAAGTAAAAATTAATGGCATACAAAGTTAAAAAAAGGGGTTGCCCCATACAAAATAAGTTCTGGGCGCTTGCTTTACTCAACAACTTTGGGATCACATTGAAGGTATAAGGATTACTGACTCTCTAAACATCACCGAGGAGGATGACGACGCACTAACAAGAACAACTATAAGGTCTTTCCCCATTATTGGAAAAAACCGGATATTTAAGATCAAAAGGAAACGTGCATTAAAGTTTTTACCTTTCACTCTTCCCAAACCCAAAACGAGCGCCAAAATAAAAAGCAACAGAGAGCAACCATGAATCACTGTGAACAGCAACTAGTGACAGCCAGTCCTTCTCTTGCATTCCATCCCTAGCAAAATTTATGCCCAGGGCTGGCTCTGGAAGTTCTGGAGGCACTTCCTCGACAGGTAGGTTGACTTCCCAATTCTCATTAGGCAGACCATACAAACACAGATTCTCCTTTTCTGCAGGATACAGCCAACTTCATTGTTACATCTTCTATGAACGTGATGGAAAAAAAAGTTAATGCACGACTTACTGAAAGTCATCCAAAGCTCTGAGTAAAATATATTTTGTAATTTTATCAGGTCTCGTTCAATTATGATTCATCAAAGTTCCTCATTATAAACAACATATACCAGACAACGAAACCTCAAATAATGCCTAAAGGAGTAACAAATGACAGCCCAATTCTAAACAAGGAGGAAGCAGCAACAATTAAACCTTTCCTCAGACTGCCAACCTCAATTGATGGATGGTTGGACTTATTCAAGCATTGAGACGCAGGAAAAAGAAGGGGAAAAGCAAAGGTTCCTCGAAAAATAAAGACAAAGCTCCTAAATTTAAAACACTCCAACCAAAGCCCAAGTATGACAACCTAATTATAGGTCAAATAAAAACTAAAAACAAACTCATTGAAATGTCCTTTCAGATCACAAAAACCTCAACATGGAAGCACAAAAAACTTCCAGCGATTCTAAGTTTCCTTTATTTTTCAAAAAAAAAAGAAAAAAAAGAAAAAAGAAGACGCACAAATAGACCTGCGGATTTAGAAACCACTTCGAAACACTTGTTCACAAAGACTGATTAATCACAAAAGACATTCAAATCAGAGACGAACTTCAGAACATAACTCACCAGGATCGCACTTCTGATAGAATTTGTCAACTTCTGCCAAAAAAAAAAGGAAAAAAAAAAACAACTTCAGCATAATAATCATAAAAAGTAACAAAATTCAGGTACCAAATCCATATACACATGATAATATCAGCACTCAAAAATCCACCCAAAACTACTAAATTACACGCTATAGTCAAAGCGAAGGTGCAACCCCAACCCCCAACCACCCCATGCACAATCACAGTTCAACACAAAACAAAAAAAAAAAAAAAAAACAAAAAGAGAAAAAAAAAAGAAATTGGAAGAGTAAACGGACCGGTGGTTAGGGCTTTGATTAGACCACCCCGGCGGCCCCTAAAATCGTTGAACACTTCCTCAACAGTCCTCGGTATCGGATGCGGAATCCCCTCCATTTAACCTTTCTTCAACAGTTGATAATCTAACTTCCACACTTATTCCTTCAAAATTAACACCGAAATACCACCAATTCTTCCCGCCTTCAATTTAACAGTGAATTCACTCCGGACAAACCAAAGCTTCTCCGAATTAGGGTTTTTCAAAACAGAGCTAAAGGTTCTTCTTCTTCATTAATTTTAAATTCGGAAAAATTAATCACTCACACACGCACTAGCAGAGAGCTAAAAACATGAAATTTCCGTGGAATCAGACAGAGAGAGAAAGAGAGCAAATAGGAATTGAAGAGAGAGAAAGGATAGAGAAGACTGAGGAGAGAAACAGCGGGAAGAGTGGGGGGAAGGAAGAGAGAATGATAATGATGAATGAATAACTAAAAAAGTTACCGATAAAAAGAAAATTGGGATTTTACTTCCTAATCCTATTTATATTTAAATTATGGGGATAATACACAAGAACCCCCTCATAGTTTTTGAAACCACACGATAACCCCCTGTAGTTTAGAAAGCACATGAGAATCCCTTCATAGTTTCTTCAAATGTATAAAGTGGATGAAAAAAGTTAACACTAACGGTTTAATGTAATTTGACAGCTTTACCCCGCTTTAAATTGTAGTGAGTCTAGTGGTAAAGAACCCTTGAAATAATTTCCTACTCATTGTTTTCTACTCTTCAAACTCTCCCCAAAATCCTCTCAACCTCCTCCATCACCACTCTTCTCCAACAGCCCATAAAAACTGACTGTCAGTATCACCAACACTCACCCATAGACATATTTGCCTTCTAATCAGTGATTTGGGCTTATGAAGAGTTGTTGGATACGGCGGCTGCTATAGGGAATTTGGCCACGAGTTAGAGGCGGTGACTGGTCTATGGCGACGACTTGCTAGAGGCGGCTGCTTAGAGGATTATGCCATTATGATGTTTTTGAATATTATGAATATTAGGAATTTAACAACCCTTCAGCCTTAGTAGATTTTAGTGGTTGTTTTGATTTTTATTATTTTAATTTTATTTCTGAAGAATGTTTAAGTAGGATGATTCTTAAACAAATCCAATATTTTGCTTCTAATTAATTAAAGTTTTCTTTTTTCCTTTTTTCTTTTCAATGATTTCAGTTGAGAAATTTGGAGCCCATGGATCCTTATGTATATAATGCTCTTTTGAATTTTTTTTTTTTCAGATTGCCAAATATAAATAGCATTCCCTCCATTTTTTTTATATTTCTTTCTAGAAAAATCATGAAAACTAAAAAAACATTAAGTATTGTAGTTAAAATACAAAATACCTTTATTTATTGTCTATACAATTCATCACAAACCAATAAAAATTCATTATAAATATTGTTTCATTTCCAATGCAAGGTTAATATTAGTAAAAAGTGGTCAAATATGCCTGGCTTTGTGAAAACGACATATATTTAAAAATATTCACCAAATCCTAAAATGACATATATTTCAAAATGGAGGGAGCAAGTTTCAAAATTCATAAATTTTACCCAAAACAATCATAAATTTATTTGCGAATTGTTGCAGTAGATCTAGACATTGTTCATGTTGATTTTGTGATTTTGATTGTGTTTATGAGTTGTGATGATTCTAAAGAAATAATTAAAAGCAGAAAAAAATTATTCAAGGAAGAATTGGAAATTGGAATAAGGGAAAAAATAGTTTTATTATCGAAATTTTTTTTGGTTAATCAATCTGATTTTTTTACGAAGAAAGCTTTGAACCCATCCTGAATCGAATTTTAAGTCTTTATATGGGAAGCTGAATGTCTTAAAATGGTTGATAATAAAGAAGAAAACCTAAAAAAGAAAATATTTTTTCCTTATAGAAATGATTTAAACATAACAAAAGGGTATGTTTGACCTACAAAAGATTATTGGCAAAATCTGGAAGTCCCACTTGCAACCACGCGCTTGTGATGTTTAATTTCTGTTAGTTTTAACTTTTTCTATCCACTTTACACATTTAGAAAAACCATTAGGGGGTTCTTATGTGCTTTCTAAACCACAGGGGGGTTATTGTGTGGTTTCAGAAACCATGAGGGGATTCTTGTGTATTATCCCTAAATTATATCATTTCTAGTTTCTTACCCTTATAGAATTTGGATTTTGTTGAAATTCATGGTCAGTGGCGTGTTTCTATTGGGTACTTCTTGGGCAGTTTATGGTATTATTATTATTATATTAACGTTGCCAATTAGTATAATAATATTCACAAATTTCAGCTGGAAGATGTTAGCTTTGTTTTGTTTAATTTTTTTTTTATTACCAGCATATCTACTAAATTAGGGTTTAAATAGGATTTATTTGTTTTTTTTTTTAAAAAAACGCGCGGCTTCAAATAAAATCTTTCAGGGCACGTAGCAGTACGAGGTGAACAAAATCCTTTCTTTCATGTTTGTTTTTGGCACTTTTCAGGCTGTTTATGTGCTTTTTTTGATTGTTTGAATGATGTTGTATATTTTGTGCTCGATGAAATGCCTGTGAGAGTCTGTGATAGGACATTGATATCGGTTTGCTTTTATTACTACTCCGTACTTTGCAAGTAATAGAAATGACAATGATATTGAAGTGTGGAAATGATGTCCCAGTTTAATTTAACAAGCTTAAGTTGTTTGGACTGGGGATGTTTTAAGAGATGAGGTTTCATTTAGTTTTGTTCTTTTCGGAACTGCAGCAACGATGGGATTGTGCTGCGAAGATCCTGACTTTGCTCGCTTCCTTATAGATCAGAAGTTATATCATTATGAATGTGGCATATGGAGACATGAATGCATGTTGAAAACTTTGGAAATTTTATGCAGGATTAAAAATTTTGTTGTGCAAAGCTGTTTTAGGAACATACATTGTGTGTGTTAGCTGGGTGTTTTGATTATCCAAAATGCATATGCAGCTATCTTGGCTGCTTGACAGCATCTCTGGAGCAATACGGCCATTTTGGTGCTGTGGAGAATATATTTTCTATATTTGTCCAAATGGGGGACTTTTTGTTCGGCTGCTTCTGAGTTTTGAAAGACTCATAGTGGCCATCTATAGCATAACCAAAGGTGATGATGATGCATTAGCAATAGATATATAAGGAAACTCCGGCATGGGGGATAGCTAGGAATTCAATTTGAAAGGAGGAATTGATAAGTCATTTAGTTTCATGTGGAGGTGAAGGGCTTTTGGTTTCAAACTGAGGAAATTTCATGCAGGGGTTTGCGTGTTCCGGATTTAGCTTTTGTACTATGATTTTCAATTGATCATGCTGCAAGAGCATGGAGTAGAAACTCTTAGTGAACAGGAAGCGAGCAAACTCTTGATGCAAGTTCTGTGAATTATAGAATCTGAGATCTTATGTACCTCAGTGATTTATAGGTTGTACACAGGATTTGAATGGTAAAGAACTGCATATATACTCCACAAAAAACCATTCTAAACTATATTCCTGGTCATAAATATGTGGAACATCTGATTTCCTGGCAGAGGGAAAATTGTTGACGAAGCATGCTCTGGACTTGAGACAACTATGCTCATAGTTAACAAAGCTGAGATGGTCAATACATGTTCTGGTTCTCTTGATGCCGCTGTTGGTCATTTGCATATTCACTAGAATTTGGTCACTGAGTGGCTGCCATATCTTCACGGAGTTTGTAAGCTGCTATTTGAGGAATATATATTCTTCAAGTATCAACAGGTGAGTTATTTGTTATTAGTAACATGTGATCTCATTTAAGTCCCTCACCTTAAAAGGTTATTGCTTCTTCACAGCTTATGAAATGCCTATGTTCTGAATAGCTGTTGAAGCTTTGTCTTATACTTGGATTTCTCTTTCTCCAAAACTAATTACAAGCTGTACCTTTGTGTATAAAGAATTCAACGATGCCCAGGTTTTCCAATTTTGAATGATATTCATTATTCAAGACAACATAACAATGATGAGCAGTCTAGAGTAGAGAACTTTAAGTTGTCATTAGTCATTACGATTGGTGGTAGTAGTAATATCACAAAAGGTACCTTACTCTATTGGCCATTGGGTTCACAAGAAACAGCATTCTGGTTGACCACAAAGTGGCTTGATTAGGAGGAATTCAAGTTAGTCTTTATCTAAGTAGGAAAGAAGGACCATATTACTTGTGACTTGTGAGTATTGTATTCCATAATGTGCAATTCTTCCTCTCTTTCTCTTAACTCAATCCTGCTCTCTCACTGGTAGATATCAACTGTTGTCTTTGTACTCCCCAAAAGACAGTACCTTTTAGTTTCATATGATATTTTCTAGCTTTAACGGTCAAGAAATTCCCTGTTGAAATCCTTAGATTACTTTCATTCTGACTAGGTTAAAAGAGGATCCTGGTTTTACATCTTCGGGCATGGAGATCTGGTGTTCAATGAATTGAAGAACTCTACTTATTTGTAATTTTCCATTCGTTTTATATAGCTATTTGAATCTGTTCCCTCTGAATGTCATACTGTCAAGCTCAATAACTCACGCTAAGTAAATTTGCATGAGGTCTTCAACTTTGCGCTTTGGATGATGCTGATTTACTTGAGTTGACTAGGAATTGATTATTCTTTCACATTTCTCATCTTTTCCATATAGGCCTATAATGCTTGTATTTGCATGGAGAAAATATCAATTTGGTTTTAATTGATCTTTGAACTATTTGGATGCACTTAAACTGATGGAATAAAGCAGTTAACGATCTTTATTAAAGACAGTAGCTATGGTTGCTTTATGATGATAACGGCTTGACTTCTCCATTTTCTGAACTAAGAATGACATGTTTCAAACTGGCCTAGTTCAGAGATAACCAACCTTCGAAGAAATTTTAAATCCCAAGGGCATTTTCTGTGTACTTTTGTAATTACGATTATCAGATATCGTCAAATCACATGTCTTTACATTGTTCTTCCTTGGACGTAAATGAGAACACTTGTGTTGACAGTCAGTTTTTGGAAACCGAATTGCTTTTTTCCTCTTATTTCTTCTTTTTTTTCAATTCTGGTTGCGCCATTCATTTGAAATTGATGATGTAAGTTGTTTCTCTTGTAACTTACAATATTTGCGTTTACTGTGCTTCTGAAAATAGTCTTATCCTATATGACATGCATTGGAATGATTTGGACAAGTATTATCAGTCCTTTTAAAGCTGGTAACGGCTCAGTGTTGGGTTGGATTGGAAGTGGTAAGAGAACTTTTCAGCACTGCAATTACTGTTATCTACTCTTAGATTCCAAAGCAAGGTGGAAGATGAAGCATGCTCATGTAGTTATAGCAAGAAAAGAAGTTGAGTAAGGGATGATTGCTATAATAAAAAAGTTGTAGATTTTGGAAGGAACGAAGACAAGAAAAGATATTTACGAAGTCGTGCCTGTAGAGATTCCGACTGGTTATATAAGGTTTGCTGGAGGCTGACGTTGCTTCATTTCCTTCCATTTATTCTGAGAATTGCTGCGAATCT